CACCCACAAAGATGTAATATCACATCATTTCCGCTGTGGAAATTCTAGTTCAAAAGACTATTGAAGTTATAAAGTGCCGACATTGCTTAAAATTTTTCAAAAATTCAAGTGCCGACGGGGGGCTCAATGAATTTTGGGGGGGGGGCTCCTGCCCCCCCAACACCCCGGTGGCGCCATCCCTGATTCCTGTAGAACAGTTGTGTAAAGTAAAAGAATATATATTTAGATACAGCTTATCTTTTTCTATTATTGTGATTCATTCTTTTTCATCTAAATATGATCGATTGGAGCACGTAAAAATAGAAGGGTTTAACTTTGTAAGATGTTCTTACTCCCACTACTTCATCAATAATAAAATAACGAGTGCAAATTGATAAACACATAGCCACAAGAAGCATAAGCCACTCTAAAGACTTACAATCACAGACAGCCATTGTTCTACTTTCATTAAAGTTGATTTGCAAGAATAGTCCAGGGGGAGATTTGAACAAAGTTTTGTAGCACAGTTTTCAATAGATGAAAATTTTCTGCACCAACCAATGAATGTTTTAAGGTAAAAACAATTTGTGTTGATGCTCTGTCCATGGACGAATTTCAAGTTTTACATACTTAAGTACAGCAAAATCTATTACATGATTTAATGCATGGCTAAGGCGCTGGGGTTTCTACGCAGAAATTCTAAGTCCCCTTGTTCATGCCGAAAAAGTAGCCGACTTTTGTATAAAGAGTTATTTTGGTCAAATTGTTTGTGAGAGCTCCCATCTGCTCTTTTTATAACACTAAATTCCTGGTGGACCAAGTGAGCAAAGTTTGCAAAAGAAAGGAAAGCAAAAGTTGGTTTTGTAGAAAAGCTAAGGCCATCTAGCATTTTTAACTGAAACACTAATAAGATTCATGACAGGTTGGATGACATCTTAAAGTATTCCCCCAATGATTAATTCTTGGCACATTACTTTTCAACACCATAATAAATGGTGCCTTGTTCAAAACGAAAATAGGCATCACAATTGATTATATGATTGAACATTGGTAGACAAAAAAGGCCTTTTACAGGGCCGCCAACGAAGGGGTGGGAGACAATAGGGGGAGGCCATGGCCCTCTCCAGTTTTTTGCAAAACAATAGAGCTTTTTTAAACAATTTTCAACATACATCGGAGCCCGTGTTTTTAAAATAGTTTCTGAACAAAAAAGACCAAATCCTTATTTTGACATAGAACCAGTGATATAGATCAAATTCAAACGCTATTTATCAATTTTCATTCCTCATTAAGATATCCCACATTATGGAAATGAAGTATTATTAGCTCAATACGACAGAGGGTAGTTAAGGTTTTGATACGGTGCAGATAAATGCTTGCTTTTTAGCCACTGTAAACATTACAATGCGTAAAGAAATATTAATAGTGATCAGGGTTGCGGTTTTTTCAGGCGGGAAACGACAGCGTAACTAAAGAGCCAAGTTTGTTAGAAAATCCTGTCCTTAGCCTCTTCAAGGAAGTAGCTTTGCTGTACTTTTTATTAGTATTTTTAATAAATAGTCAGTTAAAAAGGACTCGACGTTATACATGAAGAGTTGAACACGCTTTGAATGAGCTTAACATGGTTTTCATTGGTTTATGATTGTAACTTCAGGAAAGTACCCCGAAGAATTAATTACTTTTTAGGTATTTTTGCTGAAGAGAATGCTTGATTTAAACAGGAATTCTAAAAACTTTTGACGGCAAAAGAGATGGTTATCAGATTATGTTTATGATGATATTATCAAGCTACCCAAATATCTAAAGATATGGGTGCAAGAGAGAATCAGAGAAAATATACTTTAAACTTTAGAAGTGTTTATATCTTGAGAAAAAAACTGCTCTCAAACATTAATATCAACTCGAACATTGTAATCAATTTTCCAATTGTTTTACCAGCGCAAAGAAAATTCAAAAAAGCGTCGTAAAAATAGAAAACTGCTAATCGTTGATTTGTTTTATCAAGTCTGTTTCTATCTCTGTAATCGTGGTCTTTAAGTTTGTTTAGTTAGATCGTTAGAAATTAAACATGACTGTTACCAAATGCCACTCTATATCTTCTTCCGTACATCATTTCTAAGTGCTACCATGAATTCTGAAAATCAGGTGCAATGAATGAAGGAAACAGCTTAAACTTTTAGCTGAAATACCTCTGTCTAGAGATTGCAATTTCGATTGAAAAGCAATCGTTAACTCATGTTTATTGTTATTCTTAAAGCATGAGCTTTGCAATATTTTACACTGAAATGCATTTTAAGCAGATGATAGAGAAGTCGCAACCAAACTGAAGAAGGCTGACTCTTAAAATTCCAAATTGCAAATAGTTTTTAATACCTAGAATTCTGCGTAAAGAACTCTCTAGATCTTTTTAGAGCTGTTATAGAATTTATGACTATGGAAACTTGCATGGTTCGCAAACACTGAATATTGTAAACCACAAGGCAGTGATCGTATTATTTTGAGTTTTAATTCACAAAAATGACCTTTTTGAGGTTAGCAATTCGGGTATCGGAAGGACAAAAACCTGTTCTGTCACAGTCCCCCTATTGAATTATCTTTGCTATAAGAAACGTCTTTTTGTATTCGCAAGAATTTTTTTAGCCTCATTCGGACTATTTTTGACAAAATATTCTCCTTTTCATCACAGGTTCTCTATAATACGCAGTTCTCTCACTATCCTTGGGTTACTTTTATCATAATACCTCTGCTAACAGAGCCGTAATCTTTGCAAAGTACGGTATGAAATCGCAGTTCAATGACAAAACTGGCCTATTTTGTTATACTAATCTTAAAAACACTGTTATGTATGTAGTCTTATCGTGAACCCACTGAAGTGATCGAACAATTGAAATCGCGAGAGGTCATCCCGGGACCTAGCTTATTATTCTACTTAGGCTGAACTTTTTTAACAATCAAGCACCAACTGAATGCACATGTTTTGACAACCCGATTTTCACGAGTAACACCTGACTAGCTATATGAATATGAATTCTTAAAATTCTTCTGCCAACCTTCTCAGCATCAAGTTCTCGCTCGCAGTAAAGTTTATGGAAATTGATTTCTTAATTTCCACAGTATCTAACCATATTAACGCAAAGTTTGTACGGTTTTGTAAAGTTTCAATATCGATCTTCCATAAGTCGAATCTGCTCAAAGTCGTTTGTTTGATCAACTGAAAAATTGATGCATGTATTCTGACAATCGGACATAGGCGCCGAGGACAAGAGGCTTGGAGGGCTTTAGCCCACACCCCCTCTTAATCAGACAAAATGTTTCTAAATTTAGACTTCATTTGGTCATATCTATCTCAATGAATCAAGAATGTTTTGTGGACGATTCTTGATCAAAGCCTGACCCAGTCAATTTAATTTGATAAAACCCACCTTGCCAACGTTGCTTTAACTTCCGTAAAGAGAGTCAGGCTATTTTAAATTCGATGATAATCTAAATTAAATTTTAAATCATCATTCATATGTTTTAGCAATATCTTTATCGCTGCAAGCTTTAGCAAGATATTTTCCATAACTTTACTGAGGCCAAAAAATTTTTTTTCAGCTTTAGATGCCAGAAGGAAAGAGACTATTTGATTTTGCAAATTTAGATTGAATATGTTTTTTTCTAATTTAATATTTTCAAAACAACCTTTTCTAACACTTCCATAATAACCAAGCTTTTCGTTAATAGTTAATTCAATCAGTTGCAGTACAACGCAACGTGTCATGGAAATGTTATGCCACGCATAATCTGACACGAGAAAGGTAATACGTAGCGCCATTGGGATGGCGGGTTTTTCTTACTCCGTCATTCTCGACGCCCGTATTTCAGATATGATTTTATCTCTGTCTAAAAGCGATAATTGTTATCGTGATAATAAACTGTTATGAAATTTACAAACAATCATGAAACTAAACGTATTAAACAAAGTATCAGGCGCTAAACAGTCCGATTAGGGCATGTGATCGATAAATGTACAGTGAGATAACAACATCACGAAAAGTCTGGTAACATATGGGCCATGTTTGCACGCACTTTCTACGCGCCAGTATCTATGCTTCTGTAATATAAGGGTGAGGTTGATTGCAAGGAGAAGGAGGCAAACGATCATTGATGATCAAAGATATACTCTTTTGTTCAATATATAATTAAAGAAACAAAATTCTACACCCTACTTTTGTTAGGCATTGCATCTTCAAAATAACCAAAAGAAAATAGAGTTTCAGTCTCCTATATTGACATAGTTTCTAAAGCCGACGACGTAATGTATCTAAAGTCAGAAATTCAGATATCAAATGCTGAAATTTGCCATGATTCTATCAATCATTAAGAAAACCTGCAGCAACAGAGCAGGCAAAAGTTGCATATTTTGACATACAATTACAGGCATTTCTGGAATTAGTAATTCCTCAAATTTAGAAGATTTCTTCGGCGGTACTGTCTGAAACGTAGCTCAGAGGCTCTGAAGATATCTGATGAAATAATGATTAGATATGCAATGCATTTTCGAAACCCACTGCAAAAATTCAAAACTAGGTGTTTACTTGATGTTTCTACTTACAACATCTGAAAATAATTCAGGGCCCGCGCCACCAATTCTGAAGTGGAGGGGTCCAAAAAGGGGGCTACCTTTAATACCAAAAATGGAGGATTTAGTACCTATAGTTAGCAAGAAAAGTGGGGGAAATGGCCCCCGCCCCCCTGTAGTGCGGGCCCTGTAATAATCCGCAACTGTTGTTTGTCTTTTCTGATGCAGATAGATTTTGAGACACTATGATTTTCGAGTCTTTGATTTTGAGAACACTAACATAGCATTCATGTTTCGATGGGGGGTTTCCCAAACACAATATTAGCACAGTGAATCTCATATGGTTTTTAGAACTTTTTACATAGTTCATATAAATGTTTTCAAGGGACACCTGCCCCTGCGATCCCCTTAGGTGTTCTGCCCCTTAATGAAAATAATTTTAAGCCTCACTTCGAAAGCGAGACAGTTACGCGCCAAATCCTTGACGAAGATTGTGGACGATGGTGAAATAGGCCTGCAAGGCTTTGTAGCTATATTTGGGTAAAAATTAGTCGACACTATGGAAATTGAGGCCACGCAAGCAATGGATGCTAATTGCGAAAGTGAAGAAGAAGATGAGAGGCCTAGAGATAAGAGAATTGTGAGAAATTTACCTTTTGTAACCAAATCTTTTGGAAATTGATGTTGTGTGGGGGCTTTAGGTTTATTAAACTATTCCTCATAGGGAGGTTCTGGAAGCCAGTAGGGAAAAGCGGGGTAAAGCAAAATACTTGAACATTGTGCATCATTGAGTTTTGATGTTTTCTTCATGCAAACAACTATTTCGACTCTAATGATAGGTATTTTACCTATGCAAAAGTTAGAAACAACTGTTAAGCTATCTGTATTTGCTTTTTTTGTATTTTTTTGTATTTGTTGCTACCTAGCATCCGAAGGTAGTTTTTAGGACACTGAGAAGCTTATGCTTATCGAGCAGTGTCTTGGTCCTTCCTCTCGATGTGACCACACCTCGTGATTCCTACGCCTGGAATTACAGAGAGCTGGTGGCCCTCCTCACTCTGGGTGAAAGTTTGGTCATGCCAGGGACTCGAACCACGGACCCTTGGGTCTGTAGTCAGCGCCTCTAACAACTGAGCCATCCTCTCACTTCATCCAACTTATGCAAAAGCCTCTTTTCCATAGGATGAAAAATTAGTGAAGAAATCAGTCGACACACTCATTTTAGGGGCATTTTATGTTTTAGAGAAGACAATGAGGGGGAGAGCTACTATTATCTGAACTGTTCCAGAGTGGGAAATGTTTTTTGTGCGTGGGGAATTCTTAAAATGGGACATGGATTTTTGCATAACAGGGGTTATACTCAATTCTTTCAATTTCTGGGTCATTATTTGTCACACAGGGTTATAGGAAGCATCTCAAAATGGGGGGGGGCATGAAACTTTGAGCGCACTTTTTTATTAGAAAGGCACTTGATGGACATAACATGGGATACACAGCTGAAAACCTTTGCATGTGGTGGTGGGCATGTGCCCCCAGTACCCTCCTGGTTCCTGCATCTCTGTTGTCTCTTTTTTTATTAGTAATTATTTCAAATCATATTGAGTATTTTCATCTTGTAATTAGGTTTTTTAATAATTTATATGACCCCCATAAAGCAGTTATCTAAAATTAAGTGCTAAAAAGCTAAAATAAATAAAAATGGAATGAATTTTTTTGTACTTAGTTTAATTGCATTTGAAAAACAGAATTATATCTGAACTATCTTTATACCAGACAGTTCAGCTCAGTTTTTAGAGAATCACCCTTTCTTATTTTATTTGAAATGTAGGTGGCAGTCCTGAAAGTGCATAAACAGAAAGGATATGAGGAACAGGAATTCCCCATTTATGAAGGTTTGATATTCATGATATCATTTTTGACAATGATTTCAAAAGCAAAGTACTAAACATTCAGTTGCCAGACACTTGAAGAAGACAATTTATTACATGGGTTCTTGTTATAGATTTTGCTAGAAAGTTCTGCTTGCACCTAGAAAGTTTTGAAGCTTGATGGAGCACCTAGCACCAACCACTCTGCTCCACTCCATTTTACTGAGTTCTGAAAATCTCTATTTCATCTCTCCTCATAAAACTCATCTTAAGTTAGAAACTGCTGTGTCCCCCTTTTTTCCACTTTCATGTAATTTTCTATTCTTTCTTGTAGTTTTAAGACAATAAGTAAATATATTTTTTATAAACAGGCTCTAAGAATGTTGCTTAATGAAAAGAAATTTGAATTTGAATTTGTCCTGTCTAAAATAAATTCAAAAACCAAATATTTATTGATTATGTTTGATAAACTTTTCTAATAATTTGTTTTCACATTCTTTAAACTGATTTGCAAACATACATTAAGGCTACGATAAACATTTTCTGGATGAAAACATCCATTTTTGATTCTTTCAAATTCTAATAGCTAAACTTCAAGGCACACAATCATACCATGTTTGAACCTAACAGAAATTTTGAAAATTGAAAAAATCCCATATAAATGAAGGTTTCCAAAATTTCTTTATAAAAACTATTAGTTCAGGTCTGAAAACTGCTTGAACTATTAAGCTGAGTATCCTTGCTTTGTTGCGGTGGTTGCATGTCTCATTAAAATATTGCATGGCGCATCCATATATCCCATGTACGGCTGTGTTTATTTAAACAATATTGTTGATCTGAAAGCTTCAAATGACCTAACCCAGATTACACCCTGGTTTACAAGTGTTCCTTGCAAGTTTGATCAGTAAAATCCTGTTTTCTGTGGACTCTTGATTCCTCTAAAAACACGTAGGAAAAAGCTATTTTGTACCCATGGAACCAATAGAATGGGTAACCAACAGATCACAGATCAGCAAAGCATGTCACAAATTTTTGTATTTGCTCTGGTAAGTCTTTTATAGCCAAATACAACTGCGAGGGGTGGAGAAAAATTAATTACAAATTTTTGACAGGGTATAGTTTCAAGTAGAAGGAATTTGAAAAAAAACTGAGGCACCCTTTGGTAGCTTCCTGCTTGTATCAGTCAGATTTTGTTACCTCGAGCGCAAGGTACAAAATAGCTTTTGAAGGTGGTACACTCATTTAAGCAATAAATTTGCCTGGAAAGTATCAATTTGCTATTTTCTGCCAACGTCATAATTGTGACGAAAAATATCATAAAAAATATTCCATTTCATGTTCATGAAATGTTCTGGTAATAACGCAAAGCTGTATCAAAGCTCTAATTTACAAGTCGAAGCCTAAGTCAGTTTGGAGTCGCTTCCTGGAACAGTCCTGTTCTAGATACTAAAGTTTTATGTTATGTTATGTTTTCTGAGTATGAAAAGTTAATAATAGATAGCTGTAAGACTATTTAATTTCAATGTTCCATTTGATGAAAATTGTACTTAAATTACAGGCCGCAACATTGTTGGAAGGCATGAAAAGTCTGATATTTATATTTCTGCTGCAGTAAGTTTGCAACTTTTTTTATTCCAGATTAAGATTTACTGCCGAATGTTTCTTCTAGGTTAAATTTTTCATATTGTTTGTGCACGTATTATATAATTAAGTGAAGTTTGAAAAGTTATAAGGGCTGTACTGCAGACATTTTTAATGGTGAAAATTTTCACCCCCAGTCGCTAATTTCAGTCAAATCAATACACGGGCACTGGAATAATAAAATTCTTGTTCTAATTTAAATCAAAAAGCTTAGTTGGTACAACGTAAGATTAATTCCATTCTTAAAAATGGAATTCATTAATTTATGAGGCTTTGAGGCCTTCTAGACAATGAGGCTCTGGTACAATTTGTCCACCCCCCTTTTCTGGTGGCCCTGGCTGATGAGATTTGGAAATCGAATGTCAGAATAACCATAATGAAATCATAATAATTTGCAAAGAAATTGAAGCGAAAAGGATTATTATTTCTCAAAGGCACATGAAATTAAACAGTTTTGATAATCGGTTTATACACAGTTTCCGCCTGCATTTTGATTCTGAATTCAGCAAATCTGGTGCCATTGTACTGATAATTGAATATAAGGACGTTGAAAACAAGTAGCCCACGTGGATGGTCATTGAATTTTTTGCCAAATTAATAGGAAGTCGAAACAAGCCTTATATATAAATTTATCATTTTTGGTAGTTTTATTGGATCCTATAACGGTAATAGATTTTAGACTGCAAATCAGTCGGTGGATAATCAATTAAAATCTGATTGAATCGTCTGAAGAATAGAGGCTAATCATATTTGTTGGTGAATATGCCTTATCGTGTAGTGCAGTGTATTTCCTTTTCTTGAGGAAATTAACTTTATTGTTGTAATAAAACACAGTGGCCTAAAAACTTTTTTATGGGTTGTATGTCAGCTTGCAAAGCTCCTAATTTCAGTACATCGTCAGACTGGACTTTAATCATTGAAAAAATCGGCAGACATAACCTATGCAGATGGCAAACGTGATTAGCTAAATGTCATATTTGCGACAGTGATCTCCTTGACACTATGCAACCGATGATTCGCTTATTTCAATCAACCAACTCCCTTGCATACACGACACCTCATCAAGCAAGTGTTTTTCTAGTGAGAATCATCCTTTGAGACATATATCTTATCTAGTGTCCAACCTCATCCTTTTAGACATATCTCTAGCCTTTAGCGCGCAACGATTTGATAAATTTATTTGTTGCTATGAAATGTAAAAACACAAAACAAGACTCGAGAGTCTGGACACGAGCTCAATCACCGTTCTCGTCCCTTAGTTTGCGTCTCATTCTCGTCAGGGCAGCCGTTTTATGATTTGATCAGGACACTCCCAGTGCAATTTTGATTTCGTATCTCCATTTAATGACTTTCCGACAGTTTATTCGTGGTAACTCTGTTTTTACTCGGCTAAATTTCTTTCTTTAGCGTGAGCATCTAATTTAGAGCTTATGAATTTTCTATATGAGCTGTCAGCTTAGTTAGCATTTAAGTCTATTAAATGTAAATGGAAGCGTTTTTTATTCAAGGAAGTCTGGACTATCCATTAGTGCTGCTGAAAGTTTAATATCGGATCCTCTCCGTTTCCTTGTGGAAAATGATTCTGTGAATTCAGGGCGTTTTCAAATACAGGACCATTCGTCAATAACATAAGTTAGAAAAGCCCTTCCTATCCTATATAAGATCCGAGCGGTAATAACACTAGGCAAAAAGTAAGAATTTTTTGCAGCTAATGAAAAAAATTAATTACAATATACCTCAATTACGCAAATTTCTCGATTGAAGTCCGGCAAGAATAGCATAAAATGATCCAAAAAATTGTCTTTAAATTAGTCCTTATAGGTTTCTGTCTACACGAAGACGCTGATAAATATGATATGAACTAAGGACGCTAATACCCAACTTTCTTCGGTCTCGATCGTTCCGCATCTTTCGCGAGTGTTTCTGCATAATCATCCCTTTTTGCTGGTACGGCATTTTAGATGACTGGAAAAATTCAAACAATTGAAGCTAATCTTTTGTAAACTGTCATTTGGAGGGCGAAGTTGTTAAGAGTGCAAATACTGCCTTCCCAACCACAGAATATCTGAAATCTTGTCCCGAAACAACTACTTTCATTCTTACGCCGATGTTCTCAATCGGAATCGAGCAGTGGTGTAGTGCTATCAGAAAGATAAGGGGGGCTCTTGCACAAAATGTAACGAAAAACAATAGCAAAAGTAGAAATTTGACAATTTTTGGTATCAACAAGGGGGGCTCAGCCTCCTGAGCCTCCTAGCACTACACCCCTGGAATCGAGTATGCTAAAATCGTCCATTGTCAAATGAATATTAGGGAGCGATGAGCATACTGGCAAAGTTTCATCATTTTTGTCCTGAAACAATCTTCGTTTTTTCCCCATACCGTGAACTTCAGGTTCAGCGTTTTTTTCTGCTGTTGTTTTGACAATGTTTGCTTTCAGTGTGCGAAGAACTGAGTCAATAAATTTTTTTGTAGCCCGTATCAAAGAAGCATGCCTGTATAGAAGTTGTATCTGGGGTACATTTGATTTTCGACTATGGTTCGAAGAACAAAACCAAGCGTGGACAGGTAACTTATCTCGTTCAATCTTTTCTTCAAATTGATAAAAAATTGGTCGCATTCTCAAAGCCAAAATTCGAAGCGAATGAAGGGTGTAGTCGGAAATATTTAGTGAAAGGAACCATTTTCACGTACTCATTTGACAGAGCAAGAAATTTGGCTCTACAGAAATAGTGGTATTTTTTTAGAATAGACTAAAGTTTTAAAAGATCTTAGCTTTAAACTTCACCAAGCAAAATCCCAATAGCTAAATAAACTTCCCAATAAACTGCACCACAGAATAGCTAAATACAACAGCTAATTTAAACCAACTATCTACAAAAGAAAAATTTACAGAATAATACTAATACTAAAATTAAACATCTACATAAATAAAACTTCGAAAGGGGTTTCCACTGATTTTGTTTTACCGACAATTTTTACATTTAAAGTTATCACCCTTTCAATTCTAATTAATAAAAAGTGTATTATTTGCTTAATTATTTCTTTCGGCTAGTTTTCTTTGCTCCTTGTCAAGTTGCTGTTCTTTTCATTCCATTTAAAGATATATACAATAGAGATTAACTTATTTGATGCCAAGTTTTGTTTAAATTCCATAGCTGGTGCTACGGCCTCAAGTGCGATATGAATTAACTGATGGTGTGAAGTTGGCATTTGCTGATTGCGAATGCCGCTACAGCTGTACTCATGAGCAACCGGTCAGTTTATACTTTAACAACTGTCAATTAACTGTCACAGCTTTATCATTGATATTACGACCAGTAAATGACTCTAGGTTAGTGCGTGTCAACAGCGACCGCTGAAAACTTATGGTCAGCGGTAACAAAAGTATGCGCTGTCAGCTGACGTAAGGTCACCTCTAAGGTGAGGCAGTAGCAAAGCATAGGCTCATAGAGCAATCCAAGCTGGACACAGTTTCGAGTTAACTTGTTCCTCGGTCTTGTGCGCAATTATAACATTTACTTCGCGCCATTTATCTCGAATTATGTACATGCAAATTTGCCTTACCATGTTGAGTATAAAGACGATAAAGAAAACTTAAATATTCCGCGAACACTATTGATCAAACGGATCTGTACTTTTGTAAAATATATGGCTGTTTATAGATCAAGCCAGAGTCATCTCTACTCATCCAATCCAGTAATGATTAAAAAATTTATTCTTTGCATAGATGTGATGTTAGTTAGCGTGCTAAGGAAGCCGAGAATTTGCCAATAAAAGATTAAAATTTCCAAGTTTAAATTTTGACTTATTCCAAAAAAGTTTTAAACCAAGACAAAATAGGAAGGGCCTGTGCTCAAATGGCCTTATTATCAGCCATTTTGACATTCAAATGTATTTATATTCTTCCTGTGGAACCTACGCAAGAAAGACACGCTTCTCCCTAGAAAATCGATGACATCTGCCATCTTACCCACAGCTACTAATTAAAAACCACGATATTCCGGCATTTCTCACGCCTGTGACTCTCTGTTTAGCAGTATACAGGTGTCTCGTGACAGTTTATTCCTTTTGCTATCTCCATAATCTCACGAGAATATCTTGCGTTTATGATTATTCGCCGGGAAAAGGGTGAGTCTTGTTTAGAATGCTCATAATCTACTAAGCTCTCTACGCTTTTTGCAGTTTTGAGAGAAGATCTCTAAATAAAAGTTACGAATTGCAAGTGTGAATTTATTTTTTTCTCGTTGGCACTGCAGGGTATTATAGTGAGAAATTCTCATGCTTTAGACTTTGTCCTTAATAGCTTAATACGTTAATAGTCTTTCTTATGACAGATATTAAATAGAATGTCTTTACATGGAGTATTTTTGCCTTTTTAGCAAGCCGATGATACAGATTCGATGCAGGAATCTGTCGAAGAAAGGGCATGTGTCACAGACGAAATAAACACATCTAGCCAATCTACGCAAAAACTTAGTAACCAAGATAGGCATTCCACCAACCAGATTATAAAAGGGAGACATGCAAGTGTTTACTTCTTCTAAAACGACTCTAGTTATTAAAGGATCAAGAAAATCCTAACAACATCATTTATTGCCTAATGTGATATGATTTTTTACATCTGATTCGTGATTCGTGATCTCATATTCCATTGCATAGCTTCAGGTCTATTTTTTTTAAAGTTTCAATGCTAGAAATTCCACCTAATTCTCGTTTTGACTATAGGCCGGGGCAAGATAAATTCAATAGACGGAGCAAGATAAGCTTAAATGTAGAAATTTTTCATATAATGGGCCAGGACAGTCGATATGTGTGTAATCTAATTTAGTTCAATTTAACAAAACATTTCAAACAATCTTTGTGTATTATTTTTGCAAGTAGAAACAAATTTGGGACACTTGAAAATATCTGCATGAGCCATCAAGCCGAATACCACACTTAATTTCATGATAACAACAATGTCAATCGACTCACGATTAAGGCCATGCTTGAAGGTGAACATCATTGTAACCTAGTCCTTGGTCGACACCCTCCAACAATCATTTGATTTTCTAAGTGTTGTTCTTCGCACTTTCTCACTCTAAAACCCTTAATCGCAAATTTAGGATTTTGGTCATAAACTCATTTGTATTTGATTTTACAATGTTGCGATACAATTTTTTAGGCCAAGATCGTGAACAAGGACGCTCAAAAAATAGCTGGTTTGTACTATTCCTATACTTAAAGTTTTTAAGATAACTTTCAAGAAGTATAAAAACAAGAAATATTTCCGCGTGGAACTTAATCAGAACTTATTAAAAGCCCTTTGAGAGAATAAGAGAAAAAGATGTATCGATTGTCGTTTTTATTTGCATATTATTTTTATACATTTGCTTGATTTATCAAGCCTCGTGTTGAAATAGCCCCTCTTTAATGGCAGGTACAGATGATGAAGAAATTTACGCCGCAGATTCAGATGGAGATAGCCCCATGAAAAGGCCATTTATTGCTGAAACACCTAGAGGCCCAAATAAGATAACTGTTGTCAAGCAGACACCAGGTTGGCATTCTGTTGATGTTAGCATGATAATTTATTTATTCGTTAATTTATGCGCCTTGTAGGCAAGATGGCCTTTCCTTTGTGTGCATTAAGTGTATTGTATGGTAGCAATAGGTTTTCAAAGCAAAAACAACTTGCATGTTTGCATTATCCTCCGTCAGTGATTTGTTCGTTTCAACAGTAGGGTAGGTGACAATGACTTATAAGTCTTCGCTCCCAGAAAGAAATGGAGAGAAGTAAGAAGTGAGGCTACGCTGGTAGTTTCGTGAAAGTTGTTTTCTTAAGTTCCCTTGAGTCGCTGTTTGTAAGGTTCTTTATGGCTATCTAAAGCTTCTGTTACAGCGCAAGGAGATGCGTGTGGGAGGGGGTGGGGGTTTGTTACAGCGCAAGGAAATGCGTGTGGGAGGGGGGGGGGCTTAACAATGAAGATTTTTGTGAAAGTGTGAATATTTAAAACGACAATTTTACCAAGATAGTCTTTTTTTATTCTAGTTATTTCGAGCACGTATAACAGCATTGTATATATACTGTTTTCTGTTATAAATAGCAATTTTAGAAAACTTTGGATAAAATTTAACGAAAAAACAGAAGTGATTCATAATGAAACAACAGCTTTTTAGACCATTTTTCTCATTTAGGTACCGTGCTTAGGCGAATTCATGGTGCTCCATTGAATGATACTGGAAATTCCACCAAGATATTAAACCAAAGCTCTGAATTGAATGCGTCATCTGACATGAGTCTAAGACTCGACATGACTCCAGCATCTATTTCAAATTCACCAGCTGTCACTTCAAGGTCTGTCGACGGATCTTCCACAGCCTCCCAGCAAAAATGTGCATTGACTTCTGATTCTGTTGATAGTTCAAAAGGTCTAAACGATGTAGATATGGGTCTGAAAGCTGTTGAACCTGACTTGTCGGATCCGAAGAACTTTGAATCTGATTTAACGGGTCATTCTGCTCTTGGGTCAGATTCAACATGTCAGAAAGCAATGAGAACAAGTGATGAGTACAGTTTCCCTAAGCAAAAATTGGAGAAAGAAAATGGCAATATAGATGTAAGCATAGATCGACAAGGTAAGCTAAATGATTTAAGTATCCTTGGAGCTAAATTAGTAGTCCAAGAGTCAGATGGCGATGCAACTGACAACTCAGAAGAGGCTGAATACCAATTAGAGATCGGGAAGACTGGATTTTTCACCCCGAATCTTCTTGAAAATGTAATGAATACAAAAACTAGGGTTGAAAACAAGACTGGGGTTGATAAGACCGAACGAAATGACAGTGAGAATTTTTCCCAAGATTGTATGTTGATAGCAACACAGGCATATGGCGTCGAAGACAGCGAAGAGCCACAAAGGGCCAGTGAGATTACTGTCCTAAATGATGTGCGAATGGAGGAAGAAAGTGTGTCACCTTCTGAGTTGTGTATCCAAGAGTCTGATGAAGAAGAGGGCGAAGAAGATGGAATAATGACTAGGTCTTTTCCTAAGGCTGTTGTTTCTGGTAAGGTTTCATCTTCTCAAATCAAAGATACAGAGATGAATGACACGAAAGGTAATCTTGTATCTGACGAAGACTATGATACTTATGATTCTGAGCAAGAGGCTGATACTGGTCCTCCGGCCAAGTCTGGACAAGTCGCAATGACTCAACCTATATCAAATTCTGATCAGGAGGCGTCCACTGTCCCTTTACTACCCAATGATCAAGAGGCCAACACTGTTCCGTTACCTCTTTCCGATCAGGAAGCCAGCACTGTTCCGCTGTCTTTTTATAAGCAAGAGGCCAACAATGTTCCTTTGCCTTGTTCTGATCAAGAGGCTGACACTGTTCCTTTATCTTGTTCTGATCAAGACGCTAACGCCATTCCACTGTCTCCTTCTGATCAAGAGGCCAACACTGTTCCGTTACCTCTTTCTGATCAGGAAGCCAGCACTGTTCCGCTGTCTCCTTATAAGCAAGAGACCAACAATGTTCCTTTGCCTTGTTCTGATCAAGAGGCTGACACTGTTCCTTTATCTTGTTCTGATCAAGACGCTAACGCTATTCCACTGTCTCCTTCTGATCAAGAGGCCAACACTGTTCCTTTACCTCTTTCTGATCAGGAAGCCAGCACTGTACCATTGTCTCCTTATAAGAAAGAGGCCAACACTGTTCCTTTGCCTTCTTCTGATCAAGAGGCCTGTACTGTGCCACTGCCTCTCTTTGATCAAGAGGCCAACACTGTTCCTTTGCCTTCTTCTGATCAAGAAGCTAACACTGTTCCGTTGCCTTGTTCTGATCAAGAGGCTGACACTGTTCCCCAGTATGATTCTGATGAAGATGCAATCATATCTCCATCGTCATCTAAGAAAAGCTCAGAAACTTTGCGAAGTCTTGTTAATGAGCAAGAGAGCACTGCCTCTCTCAGTAATTCGGAAAAAGAGACGACAACTGCTGCAGAATTAACACAGCAAAAGGACGATTTTGGGACTCAAAAGAGGGTAGCGAAAAAAGGACCAAAAGATACACTTAAGGATGATAATGACGATGATGAAGTTTTGGAACGAAGAGATAATGTTGGGGGAAGGGAAACCGAGAGTCTGGGTACAGATCAACCCTTGTTTGGTGCAGAGGTGAGTTTCTATGTGTTTGTTAATATGCAAGAAAACCAATATTGGAATTTTCTAATGCCAGCAAAAATTTGATGTAAGAGTCAGCCCGATTAAAGTCACAGAAAGAGTCAGTCCGTCTGTTTTTTGTATATTTCCTCAACTTTTGGATTGTTTTGAAACAAACAGCGGCAAAATCTTTAATCCCCAGCCGGCGTAATTGGAACAGGTTTAAAGCTAAGCCAGGTTGTTGTTTGTCCCTCCACAAACCTTTATGCTTGGACAGTGACTTGTGTTTGTCTTCAAATGAGAATTGTTTTATTTATTCGTCTTTGCTCATGAACATATTCACAAAATGCACAAAATACAGCTTTATCGGGAGCATGGTAGAAGCTAGCTTTATGTTTTGTTTGTAAACGTGATTCGTCCCAGAATTGATGCAAGATGGTGAAGTCAGGGGATTTTGAAACGGTCTTCCTCTGCTTGCTTAATTCTCATCAGTGATGCTATATATAAACACATTGCATTTTTATTCAGACTTAACACAGGCACGACAAATTTAACTTCTTGAAGACATTTATAATAATATAATGATAGCTTAACCTTTTTCAGGACTCAGGAAATCCGGCATATGATGACCTTTCCGATAATTTCGATGTTCTTTCAACGAAAAAACAATCTTTCAAAACCAGTGTCCGTAAAACTTCAATCAAATGCTTGACGTTGCCTGGGGGAGCTGCATCTTTGAAATCACTGCCCGTGAAATCAAGCAGGAAATTGGAGCAAAGTTCAAAAGGAAATTATTCAGGTTTTCTTATTTATATTTCCTACTCTTAGGTATGTTCATTTGACCAGTTACAGAACTCAAACTTTCGTTGTTGTTAGGTGCCATTGAGTTGTAGCCGAATATTTCTGACTTCATGGATCGGTTGTCTCCTGTAATATCTTTCTGTACCAGGCTGTACCAGAGACACAAATATCATAGAATTCCATACAGAAAATAAAACAACAATTTTAGTACTACATTTCTATATCTCGAGACTAAATTTCCAAGGAATCTTTCAAATGCTCTGCCTCAGTGTCATTTAATTGTATTATTGCACGTGGTTGATTCCAAAGCATTGATTCCAAAATAAAATGCCTGCCCTAAAAAGATTGGACGATAATGATGCTAAGTAAAATCTCTCAAAACAGACACTTTTCAGCGCCGTACTACTTCAATGAGAGAACAAGTAATATTTTCATAAACATTCGTTCCGGCCATCATATAGCAGAAACCTCTAGCAAATGAACAACTATTTTACAGTGGACAGTAATTCTAGTCCAACTGGTGTCCTTTATATATTTATGTAGCTATTGCGCATAAATCAGTTGATATGTACTTGCAATTTATATTTGAATGCAGAAATGCCAATTTTTGGTACCGGGTTTGCTGATCTTGCAGAACCTTCGGCCATTCTAAATATTTTCGCTACACTATATAAAGACGTTTTTATGTTTGTCCTCGACAATTTACACATATTTACATGTCCGTAGCCAAGCATTTACACAAAGAGAAACTGAAATAATGAAAGTTAACTCAAAAGTTATGCTTGAAACGTCGTAATTACATTTGACTTTCAAATGTACAAAGTCGTTATTTAATTAATACATTAATTTTTTGGTCATTATTCATTAACGTACAACACCCTGAAATACATTGAAATAATGAATGTTAGAGAGAAATACTATTAACCAGCCTCTTTTCTCCAATTTCCTCGAGTAAATCACGTTTTAAGCCAGTATAGAATAATGACAATTTCTTTGGCATCGTAAATGCTTGGCGTTTTCCTTTTTGAGAAAAAACGTTCATAATATCTTGTTATCCTTTTAGTCAAGAAGCAAGATTTTTTGGATGATCTTGAAACACAAGATTACGGAATGAATGAGTCAATATCCAACAATGAGCAGAATGTTCCAATTAACGAAGGTTTTTATTATTAATATAATATGGGCCTTGTTGATACTTAAGTGGCCGTTGGCTACAATTTGTGTTGAGGGGTGCGAGGGTTTTCCTTTTACGTTCCTGTTTGATGTCCAGCCCTACTTTCTTTGTAGCAATTTTGGGTTATTAAGGATAATGTGTATTTCTTAGATTAAAATTTTATCTTCAGTACTTTTTTTAAAAACACTGCCAACGAGCTACTCAAATGTGTCTCTGTCCTTGATGACCTCATTCCTGAAATATCCTTCTCTCCTTGGGACAGTTTCTCCAAAAGACAATTATTTAACTTTCTACATTTGAAAATGTAATGAGCACGTTGATTGACTTGTTTTTTCTTGTAATGCCAATATTTACAAGAGACATTTGACCATTGGCCATTGCAGCATTTGTTCCGGAAACCCAATCCTATGACGACATAGATGGACAAACACAAGTTTACGCTCTCGAAGATCAACCAACTATTTTGTATGAAAATTCAAGCAACATCAAAACCCCTAGATCGAAAAGACCAGTTGAGCAATCAAGCTTTGGTGCGTTTCCTTTAATTTTTTACCTAAGAAAAAGAGAAGCCTCTTTCGCATATAGCCTCGCTACTAAGAACGTTCCTCCTTTACTTTTTCTCCATGCATATATATCTAACATATTAAACCAGCGTGCAATTTTTTTTCTCGATAAATAGAGACCTGTTGAGGAAGCCCTCCAAAAATGGAAGCCTTCCCTGAACGGACAGTTCAGGGATCCTTTGGTGTCTACCAAAACGAGATGTTTGTGCATTCCATTTGCATTTACATAAAAGCCCTTTAACTGATTAGTTTTTGCTTCATTTCACGTATAATGTCTCTTCACTTTTTGTCACATCCCTTTACATCAAGATAGCTGCATGCACCCACCATTCATATTTTCAATTACGTCACCATCATCACTATAAACTGCGATTTATTTGCAGAGGACGACGACAATGCCACTCAGGCATATGGTTTGTTGTGTGAAGGCGCTCCATCTATCAAGGAGTCGCAGAGTGATACTGACGAGGCAGGTTAGTCCTTCGCAGAGGCTTTATTTATCAAGGTCGCTTTTGAATTTGTTCACAGTAAGAACCCACAAATAAGAACCCATAGCTGTCCAGTTTCTTATAAATCTCCTTTAAGTTTATCACAAACAGAATTACATATCAGAGCATGCAGTTTGTTCCTGGGATATTGCTTCTAATGTTTTTCCATGCGTTTTGCTCTGTAGTAAGAATTGTAAGGTTTTTGAAACAAGTTATTCTCATCAGTTTTTTCATTTTCGTTCAAATTGCAAAAATAAGCCTACAGTTTTAATTAATTTGTTTGTTATATGTTGGTTTTTGTTGTATGCTCATGAACGTCTATCAATGAAATGTTCTGTCATTGAAATTTGTACAGCCAATATTCGGAATTCGCCACTAGAATATTAATATAGAATGATCAGAAGTTTTTAATCGTCATCAGACTAATTGCCATCAAAAATAGAAATAGTAATTTTAGCTATCAGTACTAGTAAGCATTTTATGCTACGAAAATCAAAGATAACACAAACAAGGAAAATCTTATTGCTTCGTAGTGCTTTTTCGCTACTACTTTCTTCCTTGTTAAAAACGTCAGAAATTGCCAAAAAGGTGAACAGAAGTTCGTATCCTGAATAAACCTCACCGATAAGATACGAAGTGTCCAAGATTTTATTTGTCACTTTCAGTTCATTTAATTACTGATAATTGTTCTTTCACCTTAAATCTATTTTGAAAATCTAAAGAAGTCAATAATTCATAATTTCAATGCAGTTTTTTCAAAGAACTGGTATCTGCAATTAATTAGTGTGTTTTACGAATGTTTAAAAATGTTGCATGTTATTTTTAGTCACAAAATGTCTTGTCCTTTAGTTCACTTCTGTTTCCTACAAATAGACAAGTGTGCCACACAAGCCTACGGTCTTCTCGACCAGCAAACTATTCCGTATTCATTGGAAGCTGATACTGATGAGACAGGTAGCGAAATCCGTTTGTTATTCGATCAAATCTTTTTTTAGTTTTAAGATAATATTCACTTTGTTTTCATATCATTGAGATTTAAATACATCATGATCAGTTCTCAGTACCATTATTGCTTATATGTTTATTGACGCACAATTTTCACCAACATATGTATCTTTGTGTTTCGCGAAGGACTGTAATGGCGAAATAAATTTCCAAAGATTCTTGTCATGTTCTTTAAGTGGTACTATTTATAAAAAACTAACTTTCATTGAAACAAATCGTTTTCACAAGCCGTTTCATCAGCGATTTTTCGTTATTGTGTTGCAAGCCATTTCACTATTTTTTCTTCTAATAATTGATTCCACCGTTTTGTTTAGATTGCAGTATAATTTTCTCCTTTTCACCTTCTTGTCTTTTCTCCTCGGCATCACCCCTGTCTCCCCCCCTTTCCTTTCTAAAACTGCACCGATATTGCCTTCTTCTACATTGCGTCTTATCTTCCATCTCCATTTGCCACGTGCCATTTTGCCTCTATTACGCTACTTTGTCTGCAAAATTCCTCTATTACGTCACTTTGCCTGCAAAAAGTATTCCTTAAACTATGACTCAATATACCTTTTTGTATAATCTTTTTTGTTGAGCTTGTTATTGCTTTGTAGATGAACTTGCGACCCAGGCATACGGAGTCCTGACCAAAGCAAGCCTTGACAAAGATGATGATGACGATACAGGTACTTTTCTAACTCCCTTTATCTCATCAATTATCAACATGAGTCTTCTCTAATTTTATACATATCTACTTCCATTTCCATGATATTTCACTTCAATTCATCACAACCAACTCATGACTTCTTCAGAATGCAAACTTTTCAGTTTTACGCAAATTCAAAGCCATTGAGGCATAGCCTTTTCTGGAAGGCCCAAAAATGTATTTAGATCATTCAGCTTTTTCTGAGGGCTTCAAATATCCAATTAAAGAATGTCACTACTGGAAAGTCCAATTAAAGGAAACCGTTGTAAAACAGGCTCCTTCTTAAAGCTATCAATTCCCAATAACTTGCAAAGCACCCAATCATTAGAAACATCCAGTAACAGGCACCTCCTTTTTGCATGAACTTTTCAATGATAGATTCCTCAAATTAACAAAAACTTCCTAAGAAGCAATCTTCAATCTCAAGAAATTTTACTATTACAGAAACCTCAAAAAAGTCGGTTTTTCACCACAGCCAGCAAATATATTGGCTCCATGTCCCCTCGTCCCCTCCCCCTCTTTTATTCACTTGCAAAACAATTGCCATTTTCAGAAAACAGTTACCTGTCTGCTCTGGGCAGTATTTTTGTCACACAGTTGTCTGTCACATGTAAAATTTGCTGTATCTCGCTACTTTTATCACGTTTTATCAATCAGGCGATTTTTGTGCAACACAAGCCTATGGCCTCTCAGATGAAAACAAACCAGGACTGGATGCCAAGCGGGAGGAAACTGAAACCGGTAATATCGGTAATTTATTTGCAAATATTGAGATTTTGAATATGATAATGTTGATAGTTTAACATACATTCAAGTCATCAGTTCTTCTAGATCTTGCTTTGGCAAGTTAATGTAGCAAATAGAAATTCACGTTTTATCATTGCTAGTGAATTTCAAAGATTTTTATGTTGCTGATACATTTCATAGCATGGAAGATTTTTTCTTTGCAAGTAAATATACGCAAATGATTCTCTCTCGTAAATCACTTTCTTTGAAACAGCTGTATAGACAAACCCCTAACCACGTAACCTCCCACCCAAAATGCAAAGTTGGTGCATATAGCAAGGATATCATTTATTGAACTGGGGGGGGGGGGGTACAATCACTGCACAGTCTATCTAGGATTGCCGGCTTTAATCGATGAAACTAATTTTTGACGACTCTCTTGGGTTATTCCTTTTTCATAAATGCATTACACGAAATGCCCATCCATGGAGGTTAAGTACCTAATTAACCTAGTTGTTGCTCTCTACCTGCCGACTGTGAGTTTTAGAACAATGAGAAGCTATACTTATCAAGCAGTTTTTTTGTTCTTTTCCTCGATGTGACCACACTTCCTCATTCATACGCCTAGAATTAGCAAAGGAACTTCCCATTACCCAAAATGGCCCATTATACTCGTACGAAGAATGATTCAGTGGTAAGGCTCGACCTATTACAATGTAGGATTCTTGTGCACAGGAATGGTGTTTTTGAAGTCAACAGTAATGATGTTAGCAGTAATTATGAAGTCAAATTTCAGTGTTTCTTTGTTTATCATACGTGCTTGTAAATGTTGCCTTTAAGATACATCTTAGATCAAACTTACTCTATGGCAGTATTCATTGCCCCCCCCCCCCCCCCACGCACAATTTTTAGACTTTTCACGCATTCACGTAATGCAAAATTGGGTTTCCATGCTCAGTCAAACAATAAATGTAATATCAGCTATTGCTCATCAGAGCCCTGTTTGAAGGACTACAACACTAGTTTCAAACTTTGAGTACTAATTTGAGATTTAACTATCATTGGTTTATTACGCACTAAATTGAGGCAATTTTTTAAATTATCATTCAAATTTACATTCACGAATTCAAGGATAGTTAAAGCCTTTTCACGACATAACGCAAGTAAAACTCATGTTTCACGCTTCACGTAGGAATCCTAACTCACGAAATCACGCATAAAAAATCGATCTTTCACGATTCACGCACGAAAATATGGCCAATAACGCATCGCGTAAAAATATGGTGGGCCCCTCTAATTAGGCTGAAAAACTCTGCTAGATTAAAAGACAAACACACCCTTTTGGTGTTTCAATGGATGCAGCGAAATTCCATTCAAAGTTTTCTCAGTTGAATGACATTTTTCAGTTAGTTGGCCGTTTGTTGGTATTTAACAAATCCCCATAATCATGGAGGACGGTAGAATTTTCAGTTTTTTAGATCGATCCTTATTATCACCTTCTATTTCCTTTTATTGTAATCATTTATTTTATTCTACAATCGTGATAAATAACTTGATTTTTTTTTCTTTCTTTATTTAAAGTTGGTACAATCTCTAGCTATACATACAAGCTAATTAAAACCAACTAATTTAAATTACCAGCGCTAAATATAATATAAATCAAATATAACCGATGTTGCTAACATATTCCTTGCATAGATTACAAGTACAATTAATGCGTACTGACATTGTGTTGTTATGCTTATTGCAATAACGTTTTTTATCAAAGATGATATCGAAACTCAGGCATATGGAATTCTTGGCAACATAGAATTGGATGAGAAATTTCTGACAAAATCTGACAGTGAGGAGACAGGTACGACTTGTAAAAAGCACCAAAATATTGTCATGATAGTATATTAAGATGTTTTGTATTAACCTGAAACTTTTTATTTTTGTATATAAGATTGTCTGAAAATGGATTATGGGATGCTTGCGTAGCGCAATGGCTCATTGTTAGCAATGAGCCTTCAAGCATTCCTTCATCTATGATTGAATATCCCGTATGTATAATCTTTTTTGTTGAGCTTGTTATTGCTTTGTAGATGAACTTGCGACCCAGGCTTACGGAATCCTGACCAAAGCAAGCCTTGACAAAGATGATGATGACGATACAGGTACTTTTCTAACTCCCTTTATCTCATCAGTTATCAACACGAGTCTGCTGAAATATTTCATCACCTAATTATCGTGTAACATATTATCAAAGATACCGTTTTGATATTTATATTTTTCACTTTGTTCAAAATAACTTTTTCAGCTGCAGATGATTTTGAAACTCAAGCGTACGGTGTCTCCGATGCTGCAAATGTGGCTGACGAAAAGTATCTTGAAAAATCTGATAACGAAGAAACAGGTACTGTTAAACATGTAAACAGGGTTTTTTGGTTGATTTAAGGGCTGTGTCGCTCTGATTTAGCATACCTGGAAACTCTTTGTTTATACTGCAGCAAACTTTTGGGAAAAAGATTTGGAGATTGGGACTCAATTGCACTGAAAAATGCCTATATGCCTTTATTTTTTAAGCAAGCCATTTTTTATATGGTGGAGCAATAACAATGGTTGCATTCTCTTGAGTATAGTATTGGCGCTAATTTTTTCTCTACTAGGCAAAGAATACTTTACGCTTTTTGTTTATATTTATCTTACCATATGCGGTTATACTTTATATTGCTGTTATATATATATAAATGTTTCTAATAAGTATATACATGAAACATAATTTTAAATATATCCTATCTATTATGTTATTTAGATTTGATTTAACCCTTCGAATGCCTCGCCATGCTTTGCAAAATTGTGCTTCCAATCTGCTAGAATCGGTTGCCAAGACATCTGTATAGGGCTCACAATTTTGTAATTTCCTGCCTCTATGCTTCTCTTAGAAATACACCTCATCATTTAAACCTTTAGCCGGATAGGTAATTTATAAATGATCTTTTTGGTTTTTTGTTTAGAGGAGGGAGGCTAGAGAATGGGCTATTTTCAAGCATTTTATTGCTCAAGTACAAACTAGAATAGTGCATTTGCCCTTGCAAGAAGTAATTATCGAAGGCTATGGATTTTCTAACGAAGCCATGCTTATTAATTTGGGAGACATGGTGCTCTGTTATTCGTTAATGGTCTTTTATGGTATTTTCTATCTAGATGAAGATCTGGACCAAGCTACGCAAGCCTATGGTCTGTGTTCTAACGATCTTCCAAAAAGGGGAACAAACGATGATATGTTGCCGCCACGTAGAAGTCTTTCCGGAAGAGCTGCAAAGACAAGAAGGACCGTCACATGGTCACAAGGGAGACCAATGGAGAATGAAGGAGACTCAGCAGAGAATGACGGTGAAGAGAAGCAGGAAAATGCTGGGGAAGATGAAACACTAGAGCTCAAGGTTAAGGCGAAACAAGCAGGGAGGCCTAAACTGGGTGCTGCTGTTAGTAATTCAGGTCAGGATAAAGTCTCCTTGAAAAAAGGCAGACCACGTCGTGACACAAAGTCGATGACGGCAGAGGCTGATGACGATACCAATGTTGGAAGACGTTCACTGGCAAGAAAGGTCCAACTAAGTAACGACGAAGTAGTAAAGGCAAAGGCTGAAGAGACCATGACAGTAAAGAAGAAGCAAAGAGCCAAAAGAACTGTAAGTAGTTTTTGATGTTATTGACAGTAAGCCTTTTGTAATTTGGCTAAGGGTAACGCTACTCAGGGACCGCGGAAGGAAGCTTGGGGGGAGGGGACAAAAACTTCTAAACTGATACAAAAATGAATGATCGAAAAATGGCTTAGAAACGGTACTTAACGCAATACAAGAGTAATCTTGCATTTGGCCGTTGCAGATTTAGCCACCCTTTCGTTAAATGCTCCAAAGGTTCCTTTTTTGATTGAGATAAGCAAATAGGTATAAAACTGTTCCTTTGGCAATCTCCAAATTTCCTTTGCCTAAACAACATTATTGTGCATGCAGCCAAAAATTTGTGTTTATTTTCGCTCAAGATATCTGAACAAATCTCACAAGAGGATGAAGCAATATCGACAGGGGGTGGTCAGCCTAACACTGATGATATCGAACGGAACCAGAATGACGATTTTGTTGATAAAGAGGAACCTGTAAATTATGGAGATACCGAAAAATATTCCAAATTGAAAAGGAGTAGACGTGTTTCTAAAACAGCAAGGCAGAGAGGAAACAGCCAAAGGGGAAGAAGAAAAACTGTTGATCATGAAATTTCAGATGACGAGGAATCAGGGAATCTGTCAGAGAGAAAAAAGATTGGTGTTGTTACAGACAGTAGTGCAAAAAAAGAGAATTTGGTTGAGGAGGAAGAAGAAGCTGATACTTTCGATGAAGAAACTGACAGCCTTGGGGCTAATGAACAAAGTGTTGAGAAGAAAGACAAAAAGGGTCATCTTGAAGCGCAGCAGTTTAAAAGCAGACGCGGGAGAAAGCGAGGGTCCTCGAGAAAGTGTATTATGGAAAGAGAGCATGAGATAAAAAATGCTGGATTAGAAATGACATTTGCTAAAGATGATGCAACTGCAGTTGATACTGATGTATCTGTAACGGCGCAAGAGATAGACGAAAATAGATGTCTTGATGTGCCGAAGTCGCGCGGAAAGAAACGTGGGATATCGAGTCAGCCTGTTAACGAAAAGGGAAAAGAAGACGATAGAACTGAAAAAGATAGGACAGGAACGACTATTGATGAGGGTAATTCAACTGTAAAAGTTATCGACGTGTCTGCAATGGCTTCAGGTATCGAAGAAAGCAAATTTCTTGAGGCGCCGGTATCTGTAAGCAGACGCGGGAGAAAACGCAGAACTTTAAGCCATAATGTTAAGGAGAGTGAAAATGAAGACGATGAAATTAGAGATAATAGATTGGAAGACATTAAAGCTCAAAATGATTCAGTTGTTAATGATATTGATATAACTGTAATGGCGTCTGATAAAGTTGAAAACGAACGTCATAAAGCCCAGGTATCTACCAGCAGACGCGGGAGAAACCGCCGGCCTTTGAGTATGAATGTTCATGAGCACGGAGACAATGGTACTGCAAATGATGAGTCCAATAAAACTGATATTAATCTGGATTCATCCACTGCCGATAACGACATTTCTTTAGGTGCAACAGAAAGAGAGGGAAACCGACGTCGTGGCGCGCGGAAATCTGTAAGTGGACGCGGGAGAAAACGCGGAACTTCGAAAAAGAGTGTTATTGAGCAAGAAAGCATTATGATGGAAGATCATGGAATAGAAACAACTAGCAATGAACAGAATATAGCTGCAGATGACATCGATGCGCCTTTAGTCGCAGTAGAAGGGACTGCAAGGCGACATGATGTCATTACCAAGAAACCTCGAGAAAATGGAGACAATTCTTTGTTAGAACACTCTGCTACTTCAGTTGATACCTCGTTGTCTGGAGATCAACCCGGCAAGAACAGAAGGAGAACCAATGTTAAGGTATGGTTTATACTTATAATGGGCATGGCTTTAACTTAAAACGAAAGATTTTACATCACCCTCTTTTAATACTATACTGATTAGGGTATACTCGGACGTTGAGTGCAAGGAGGGGGCTTGATCAGATATTGATCTCAACAGTGGTGTCCAGGACCAGTGACATAAAAACCCAGGGCCCTGGGTTATGTGCCCCCGTTTTTTCCTAGCAATCACAAAGTGCACTTTTTGCATGCCCTTAGAATACAATATGGTACCCCTTCGTGCCAAATACCACTCATAAACACATCCCTACGCTCCTGTCCGTGGCTGTGATGTGTATTTTGTTTACCACTTTTCCTTGAATGAAGTGTCTAGCTGCTTCATTAAGTGAACTGTAAGGGTTTTTTATGATTCTCTTAAATTTTTTTAAGGTAGCTAATAGTCTCAAAGGAATTTCTATATGTATTTTGAAAAGGCTGTTAATGCTACCAAGATCAAAATTTGTTTTGGACACCGAGACAATTTATTCCATGTACAAACCATCTTTTCGTGGTACAGAATTTAAACATGGCTTTAAGAAATCAGACATTTTTAAACATGTTAATAAAGCTTTTTCCTTCTTTGTTCTGGCGTTTTATACTCTGAAGAGTGCCAGACGAAAGGCCTTAGTAACATGTTTCAAAATTTTTTCAAAGCCATTTTTATTCCATTTGCCAATCGCTGCCATAGTGTGAATATAAGCCTGTTTTAGGGCAAAGGTCATGCAACGAAATGCAATGTCAATGAAGAAGAAGACAAAGACCAGGATGCCAAAGAAGAAGTACCAAGAATAATGTTTACAGGATTAACGGACAAGAACATTGAGAAGGTATTTGGCTGCTTGCTGTTTTAGATCGATAGTGATGGATGATGGATAGATAATGCATTATGATATGAAATTTAGCAATTCAGGTTTTCACGTGAAAACCTATAAAACATTAGCAGTCGCAAAATGTCATTCGTTAGCCATCTTTTTTGCCCTTTGATAGGATGAGCAAAGGGGCAAAAGTGCACTTTTCATTGAAGATCCCTTGGCTTTCATTGAAATCTTCGTAATTGTCAAGGAAGATTATATGTATAACTTTATTTTTTCAATGGCATAGCTCCTTGAAACTTTTTAACAATTTTTATCTGCAAAATGTGAGCCTTTTCTTGAAGGCCTTGAGCAGATCGATATTAGAGTACCATTTATGAAAGAAGAACCTGCAGCTGTGCAACCTTTTTTGAAACCCTCTTGTCGTGAAGCTTGCTCCCTTACCGCTGGCTCGTTTCAGCGTTTCTTTTCCTTGCCTGCTTTGAAGAATATGATACTGAATAGAGCACAATACAGGTTTTGATCTGGCCACGATTATCACCTACCAAAACTCAAATATTTGATTTTATAGTCAAAATTAATTCACATAACAAGATCTGCATGAAGAACTTCAGTACCAATATCACTTATCATTAACCTAATCAAGGCTATGTCTTCTAAAATAGATCCCAGAGTTTTATTTCAATTTTCCTTGTTGGAATTGTTGAATCAGTCCCTTTTTCATTTCAGTCTGCACTCGTCCTTGGAGCCCAGCTCGCTGACTCTGTATACGAGGCTACACATTTGGTCACTGACAAGGTAGGCCCAATGATTCTTTGCTCGTGGAAAAAAGTTGCAGCTAATAAATAAAATTTTGCCAAGCAAAAGAGCTGCGACTCAATAAGTCCTGGTCACAAAAATATATCTTCAAATTTAAATCATCTTTCATAGGAATGAAGCTGCATTAAAGGACAATATTGTATTCTGTAGGTTACCTATTTGTGTAATGTTAGCTATTTGAAAATGATTGCAGAAGCCTAAATTGAACAGCATTTATCTGCTCTTTATGGCTCAAACTGTTTCGTCGAAACCTTAGTTCCGTAAAAGCTCTTCACGAACTTTTTGTTATATGTGAGCTGAAAATGTTATCGCTTTTCTAATATTTTCATTATTTTCATTCGCTTCTAAACGAGCGTCGCTATAAAAATATCTTACTCAAATTATATCATGCAGTTATTGGTGCTCTGAATAACGGGTCTTTATTTTTAAACATTTTAAGGTAAGAAGGACTGTGAAGTTCCTGTGCTGCCTGTCACGTGGCATACCGATTGTTGGTCCGCAATGGCTTGCGGTTTGCAAACAAAACAACTCTTTTGGAGGTAAGTAAGAAGAATGTGTTTAATTGATATTTTTTCTAACCCGAGCACCCTGATTCATTATTGCCACTTGGGCCAAGAGCACACCTAGCCCACCATCTAACGACTTTCCCCAGGGGCTGCAGAAATCATAAGCAGCATGGGTTTTGAGACAGGTGGACAAATGAATTCTAACAACGATCTTCTGCGTTGAACCTGCGTAGAACCTGCGTAGAACATGCGTAGGACATGCGTAGAACATGCGTAGAACATGCGTAGATCATGCGTAGAACATGCGTAGAACATGCGTAGAGCATGCGTAGAACATGCGTAGAACATGCGTGGAAGGCAAGAATTGGTTTGGAACTGGTTTCAACTATTTGTTTCATGTTTTAAAAATTAAATTTGCACTTTCCACTCGTGAGTAGATTTGACCATTATGCTCGCCTTTCAGTGATGTTATATGGAGTGGTGGAGCCCAACAAAGAAAATTCAAGTTCATTGTTTGTTGGACAACTTTGTTATTCTCTTTGCTGATTTTTTTTAATGATGTTTACAAATGTCATGTTTTTGTTAACTTTCAGATGCTGGTGAATATACGGTGAAAGATAAATCCACAGAAAAGCAGTATGATTTTAGTCTTCAAAGGTAATAAAGAAAGCATTGTTTCATCTTTTTAGTAGTTTTTCTTTCCTTTTAGTATTTATGAACTTGATGTTATAACAATCATTCCGTTGAACAACTAAATTCAAATGTTTTGGTAGAGGGAACTACCATCAATGGGTTCCTGCTTGTATTTTTTCTGATTAGAAAGTAATTGAAGGAGAAAGAAACAAAGAAAATAAGTTACCCTTTTTGAAAGAACCAAAGTTCTTCTTTGGCTGTAGGCCGCTAAAGATGTACTTGCACACTGGTACACACTCTTAATTGAAACATGATTAAGGTGGTAAAAGCTAATGAAATTAAGTCAAGGTTCCAATGTCATTTCTAACATATTTTTGCGAATTTATGAAGTATAAGAATCTTCTCTGAAAGTTTTATGGTATATATAGAATTTGAAATTCATTTAATAGTTGACCGTTTCTTTGTTTTATAGTTGAAGGCCCGACTTAGATTTGTATGTGTTCATTAACCTATAAAACAAAATGTAAAACAGCAACATTTTATGCCTGAAATGTCTTGGAAGTTTTGTGAAAATGGTTATTATGGACTCAGCTGCCTCCAACGTTGCTAATTTCTTTGGGCAAATCCATTAATAACAGCTGGTAAACGCAACTTATCATTTCAAGTCATCAATTTGTTTTCCATGTTTCTGTAGATCTCTTCAACTAGCAAAAGAAAGAAAGTTATTAGACGAATACAGCGTCTATGTAACCAAGAATGTCAAACCAGATCCGAAGCAAATGAAAGGTATATTCATATTCTTGAGAACGAAGTGTCCTGTTACCCGCTATAAAATTTAGCGTATTTGGTTGCATTATGCAGATGTTTATCAATAACTCATTAGGCTCTCACTTAGACACAAAGCAATTGCTGCTATAAGGCTAAAAAGACAATTTCACAGTCGTTTCAAAACGTCACATCATTTTTTGCATCGGCTTTGCTACTTCAATATCAGTTACTTTCGTTTCAAAATTTCTTAGTACTGAAATGAATCGCCGCAGCAGAAATTTATTTTATCTTAAGCATGATTTTTCTTTCCATTTCATAGATGGAATTTTATCATAAATATTTCTTACTTTGATATATCAAAGATTTTTTGAAACCATTTTTGCTTTCTTCAACTTAAATATGATATATAGTTATTTTAGCTTTTCAAATATTAAACCACGTTTGCTTTTGCAACGTGATACGATGTTTTTATTCAACGGGGAAGCTTTTGCTTATTGGTAAACATGTTGATTATCAAGTAATTTCTTTATTGATTAACTTGAGCTTTTGCTTAGCTCCTTTTCCATTCATTTTCCTAGATATTATACAGTGTTGTGGAGGACAGGTATGCCGTTACGCTCATCTTCTTCTTGTTGTCCTTTTATAAATTCGCCTTCCTCTTCCCCTCCTTTTTTCCACTTCTTCCTCTTCTTCTTAATTTTTCTTCTACTTCCACAACTTTTACTTCCTCTTTCTTCTGAAGCCTTTTTCTTCTTCACTGTTTTCTTCTTGCTCATTTTCTTTCTTCTTCTTCTTCTCCATTTTCTTGCACTTCTCTCTTGTTCTTCCTCATTCTTCTCCTTTTTTCTTCATCTTGTTCTCTTTTTATACCTTGGTTTCTACTACCTCAACACTTTATCGTGTTTTTTCCTGTTCCTATAATTGTTCATCCTTTAAGGCCATTTAGCTCGCTTTGATGCAGAGCCACCATAGTTTGTTTGTTTTTTGTTTTGTTGATTCACTAACTTATCCGTACTAGCTACCTCCATTTACCTCAGCCTTGGTAGTCCTTTTCCACTCCTACTATCGTTGCTTCCACTGAAGCTATCATCATCCTTACAAAGACCTTGACCTTTGATTTATTCCTCTAGCTTTGATTCTTATTGAGCCGTATCACGATTCTAGGCCCTTCATCGACTACCAAAACACGTTGATGATAAGACGTTAATTATAAGCTGTGAGGAAGACAAAACTGAAGTGAAGAACGCAGCGAAGTCTGGGTACCAAATCAACACTGCTGAATTTCTTTTGACAGGAATCCTTCGACAGAAGCTTGAGCCCGATCTGTATCTTTTCATTACATTTCATCTTTGTATGCTTGAAGGATATTGTTAAAACAGCAATACTGACTATATTAGGGGAAGAATATTATGAAAGAATGCTAAATGCTTAATGAAAGAATGTTATATCTAGGTTTTGTCCCAATTTAAATGCGCATTCAAACTTTTAAACAGTTTTATATTAGTAATTATCAACTTGCATAACCATGCATTTTTAGCTCTTTAACATATTTGTATAAATGCTTTCTTTAATTATGTCATGCTTTCAAAATACTTTAGAAATATAGAACAAGTTTAATCCTAATTTATAGGGTCATAATCTTTAATTGTTTAACAATGTAATTCCTTGTTACTACTTTATCGCTTGCGCCAGAACTCTTCAAACACTGTGCGATTAAATTTTAATCTGTTTGCCTTACCAAGACATCAAGTGACAGTTTTCTTGGTAATAGTGATCAAACTGCAACTCTCGTTCATCTACAATCGAGACCTGTCGGCTGTACGTGTTTTTATTGGAACAACTGTTGTTGATGCACTTTTCTTAAGAAATCGAATATTATAACTGGGCATTATCAATCTGTTTTATCCTCATCTGTATTCCTAAATTTCTTAACAAAACTGCAGATTCAAGTTGGATGTTGAGAGCGAAAGTGAAAAGAGAGGAAACAAACGCAATCATAGCAGATCCGAGCTTGAGACGTCGAAAAACACACCAAAACGACGGAAAAGGTAGAAAATCTTCTTTATTTGATTGTATCTATAATTCTCTCTTCATTATTTCAAAGATGTACGAAAAAGGGAAACAAACAGTTTACTCCATCCCCTCGCAAACATATTCATGCTAGTTATGAGCCCATAGACTTGTAAACGGGCGCGTTTTTTAACTTTCCTAAATGGCAAATCTCCTAATTTCGGTTATAAGCCAATATAATTTTTGCGGGGGAATAAGGTACAGAGTAAAATCAAACAGTCGTTATCTCCCCTTTAATACTATTCTTAATTTTCACATCTATAGTAAATCGCTGCAAAGAAGAACAAAGAAACTTTTCTTGAGAGCCCTTTAAATGTGACGAAATATGCAAGGCTCTTGATGTAACAGTTACCTTTTGAGAATTTTCCATTTTGATCAAATATCAATTGTTTTTGTAGCCTAAGTGTTGACAACTTTGAGCTAGCTACAATCCTCCAAAATAATCTATACTGCATATTTTTAAACAAGATCTGTCACAAGTTCTGTTTTTAATCCTACCAGTATCTCATATTTCGCTAGGTGAAGTACCTATGTTGACTTTGGCTGAATCTTAGACACAGTCCTAGATGTTGTCCTCGTCCAGTTCATTATGGGCTAGTTCTCAAAAGGAGATATTGCTTGTAAAAGGATGGTTAATCGACGAAGGTATTATGATGGCAGAGGAAACTCGAGAGTGCTCAGTATTGCGCCTTTATGGTAAACTTCAAATTGATAGAGAAACTAATGAGAAGAAACCGGTACAATGAGCTCGAACACGTGTTTTTGCAAAGACTCGGAAAGCTTCCATTAGGAAGATAAAGAACTGGGCAAGGCAGTAAATGGAAACATAAAAGGAGCCAAAGCGGAGAACCTGATTCATATTCTCATTCTCATGTAAATTAGATGCCTCATTGTGAGTTTGATCCGAAGAAATAATTTTTTGATTATCTACAAATTGCTAAATACCCATACAGTGCTTGAAGAAGTGTAATGTGTCCTTGGATGCTCAAAATCCTTGAAGAGCATCATGGTTCCTGCGGGGACAATATTGGCTGTGTTTAGGCCTCAATATGGGCTTTGACTTGTTCTACTAATCTTACCTCTCAGATTTCAATCTGCCCCTCCTTACCTTCCCACTAAATGTCCGATCAAATATGGTTTTTCCTATTTCAGATGGCTAGAAAAGTCACATGGCTAGAAAACTCAGTTTTTGCTGTGTTCTTCTAAAAAACACGAGTTAAAATTGATAAAAATGACATTGTAGTCGTTTTATTGTAGCAATGCGTGAATGCCAATAGATTCAAATTTTCATAAGATGGAAAATTTCATCATATTAAGCATTATTTGAATATTCTCAAAAAATTTATATTATTTGAATTCTTCATTGTTAACGCAATTTTTGAAAAGAGTCTGTTCAGCTTTGAAATTACTGTAAGGTATGTGTTTGTAGAGGTTTATTTTTTTATCTTGAATTCTATATTTCCTTGGTTCAACATCCTCCCATTTGGCTTCGTAGTATAGAAATGTATGAAATTGTTATTTTACTAATAGTAATATCGCTAATTTTCTTATCCCGGTACATACTCAACGGTTTGTTTCTGTTTTGTTGTCGACGTTGTAGGCTTTTGTGACCGTTCACTCAATTTCTTTCAGGTGCTAAATTTCAGACTTTCTTCTTGTTCAAAAGTCTGCCCTGTTTCCAGTGTTAATAATGATACCTTTTTGATGGACTGCTCCTCTCCTAAGTTTCTCGAAGGTGTTCAATTTGAAATTATTTATTACTCTATTTTCGCAAAAATGTCTCGATTGTCAAAGCCAAAGCCCGTTTGCCTTTTCTTGTCCGTTATTATTCAACTATAGATTGCCCGTAGCCTATCAATATATATTACTCATATCCAAGTATTTTGCAGAAATGTGTTATTATTTTATTCATTTCATTTTTTTTTAATTGAAGATATTTACAATAGTTTTCCGATCTAAATTCTTATCTATAAGAAAAACAGGTTTGATCAGCTCAGCATGCTGCCTAGGCCGTGACTGGCACTTATGTTTAGACCAAACTTGTTACTTTGAACCCTGTTGTTTTTGAGGTTGGCACCTTTACTTTATACAGTAGCGTAGCCAGCGTAGCTATCTTGCCTCCCCTCGCTACGCCACTGGCTTTATAATAAAGAAAAACAGAATATGGTTTTTATATCAAACTTCGTTTTCAAAAAAACTTTTGTCTTTTTCTTCCAAACATTGCTAAGTCATTTTCTTCCAAAACTAGCAGGGTCAAATCGAAATATGGATCGTTTAACACGAGTTGAAGCGTTATAACTTCCAACTGCTAGGATTCTTAGAAAAACCTTTCCACTGAATACTAGTCTGCAATTAAGCACCTGGGAGAAACATGCGTGATTATTTAACAGTGTATATATTTTAAAAGAGAAAGAGTTATGTTGAAATTTCCATAGTTTAGTAAATTACCCTTTGTAAATTAGTCTACAAATTCAATTGCATGTAGAGATCAAAAGCTACAACGAATCATTTCAATTATTCTCTTTGTAAATTTTCTGTGCGATTCGGGTCTAAGTAAAAGTCTGCAACAAAGCAGCGTTTCAGCAGACTTTGGGTGTAAACCGCACATTTCACCATCACTGACCAAATTAGACCTCATGTTGTAAGGTTTGTAACAATCTCTATTTCCAATATTCTGTTCTCACCGGTTTTCAAGGTTTTCAAAACGCATCCTTTCGGTGTTGGACTTAGCATGAAAGTGTTCTTGGAATGACTTGCAATAGAAGCATGTTTCGAGAAGGCAATAGCCACTTGCGATTTTTGTCTCAATCAATCTTCAAACATAAATTGTTGGGGATACGAACGGCCAAAGTTTAAAATGTAAACGAGACTTTTGAAAAATGTATTGATGGAACATGCGCAGTAAGGTTCGGGAATGCCAGCGTTTTGGAGGGAAAGTTTGTGAAACTTCTATCTCAACGCAAAGTGAACCGAGGAGCGATTCTAAGCGAGTTAGGCATCAATATTCAACAGACGAGCAAGGGAAAAAAGTTTCAATTGACCATACACTCTTAAAATTGTTCTCTATGCCAGGATGCTGTCAGTTTGCATTAGGCCTGTATCGCAGCTACGCGTAACAACCAGAATCGCAAATTACCATGAGGAAAAATCACTCCGTGGAAATCGGATGCACCTTGGTTGAAAATCCCATTGTTTTGTTTTTGAAAGCCCCTGGAAATCCGTTTGTTTTCTTGGAAATCTCGCACTTCAAATTCTGATGATAATGCCCCTTCTCCTTTATCTATTTTTATTTGTTTGAAACAACTGCTTTGCTGCAAATTGCATAGGAGCAAGAATCTTTGTGAACACGGTATCCAGATTGAAATTGAAATAACTTAAATTTTGTGCTTTAAAGGACCCTGAGTCCCACATACAGCTAATAACCTGATAAATTTTTTATACTGGGCAGGACTATTTGGAGTTGTTGCACAAAATTGTTGCTTATGTCTTTTTCTAAATAAACTCCTCATGTCAAGAAGCAAAGGTCTTATGTTCTTGCCAATGGCAAGTTCTTACAATTTGTTTAAAGGAAACGTCAATTTGGTTACTAGTTTTATGCAAAGTATGTCCATTAGGTAGTCTAAAGGAACCCAATGGTTGTTATTTGTAATAAAAGGGAAACCCCAGTTGATTGCCAATTGCACCAAGTACAAAGTAGGTATTTGGCACAATTTCAGAAACATATTTTGCTGTATCAATGAAAAAAACAAATGAACTTAGAAAGTTACCATTGGGTGCATGTCCACAACTGTCAGGATATATAGATCAAAGTATTTATAATAAATTGGATTTCCAACAGCAGTGTATATTTTGATTTTGTTGATTCAATGCATTCTTTTCCGATGATGATTTGATAAAACATTGATCATTCATCACTGCATAACATCCTTTTATAACTACAGCATGGACTGCACCATAACTACAGTTTGTGCAAGTAGTGTATTTTCAATAATACTCTACTACATTTCCTTTAGAACTATTTGCTGAATGGGGAGTAACACTACGGGCAGCACCCCTCCCCCTAATATAAATTTGTTCACCAACACTGTAACTCCAGTTCAAAGTATGAAAGACAGAAGGCTTCATTCTAATGCAGAAAGATAGAAGAGGAAGTCTGTCACTCTCTCTGTTATTTAGAAAGGCTGCATGCTTTAAGTAAGCAATTTTTATAAGTTCAGCAGTCAAAAGATAGTGCTTAAAATGCTATAGGTTACCTCATAAGAACCAATAAATTATGTTTCTATTACTTGAATTTTCCTTCACTTTCCCAAATAAATCAAGAACATATGGCATTCACTGAAGTTATCTGATTGACCATTTCTCATTTTTGCAGATGTATGTGCATGATTTAAAGGGAATGTTTGCTTAGCTGTGAATACCTTAAAGTGCCCTTAAGTTTCCCATTTTGATAACTAAAGTAATCTTTCACTGTTCTGTTCAGTGACATGCAAGTTAAAGTAAAGTTTTTAATTTGTAATTCAGACATTTTTGAATAAAAAAAATAACATTTGGTTGATCAAACCCCACCAAAAACTTTTTTATTCTAAGGGGTCATTATTTAAGACAGGCAAAGGGATTTCTTATGATGAACAAGACATATTTTCAGAATTCTGGTAATGTCAATGTTACAGTACCACTTCCATTTTTGGAAGTGACAAATAACATCAAAAATATGACTCAAATTAGACCAGTCTATGATATGTTCAAATGAGTAAGGTTTCAGTAAACAGCATCAGTTCTGCCCCTGCCTTTTTCCTTGCCAGTTGTTTTAAATCAGCATATTTCAAACAACCAAGAACACTATGCAAATTTGAAATTATTTCAGAGTTTAGATAATAAACTAAACTTGCTAATTTGTGCGTCAGCGACAGAAATAAGGGGGAGGGATAAATCTAGAAATGAAGAGTGTGAATACTTTGCCTTTCTTTACAATCAAAGACTTACGGGTGTGGGGGTAAATCTGGATAACTCTGCTGCAAGCAGGGGGTATTACAGGGCCTCTGACGAAGGGGGCCATGGGGGGGTGCCATACCCCCACTAATGAGCGAGACAATATAACTTTTTTAAAAAATTTTGTTATGATTGTTAAAATCTCCCTTGCCCCCCCAAACTTTCCAACCAGCGTCGGAGCCCATGCGTTATCTAGTTTCCTACGGATTTGTTGGTCGTAATTGAGCTTAGAGGCTTATATAACCGAAAATATTAATATTAAAGCTTTGGTTGACATTGAAGCTCTGCTCAATGATGCAATTTCATTTATGTTGTTAGGCCCAGACGAAAAATATTTTTCCGTTCAAGATTGTGTATAGCCAACATAGTTCCCAAATTTACAGTGATAATACCCGATGTCCTTTTTATTCGATTCACAGTCCTCACTATAACAAGATATCTTGATAGATAAACATGACGAAACAATTCTGCACCCGGAACCCCGCCATGATAATTCCTTCGGTTCATAATAAATCCAGCTACAAACACAAGACTAATTTCCTGTGTGCTGTAGCCTTATTTTGCTTAGAGGGCCACTCCATCTAGGCCTCTGCAAGAAAGGTACTTTATAAACAACAACAGAATGATAAACCAGTTTTATCCAAGCGAGTGAAGCTGCGAGAGCGAGATATGAAACCAGTATTTCGCGGCAAAATGGAAGCGACTGCGCATGCTCTATTAATACACTTTTCTCTGATTGGATTTAAACTTTGAGCGACAAACAAAAGGAAAGACAATAGCCGTTTCAGCTCGTATCCCCAACAATAAACCTCTGCTGCGTCGAGTTGTTAGAGTAGCTAGCAAATTATGATATCATTAGAGGGCCCTTTTCAAAACTGTTTACCTACTTTTAGTTCCAGGGGTATTAGCATATACAGCCTCTTGAGCAGGGCCGTAAATCTGTCATGTCAATTGGGGGGGTCAGCAGAGCAAATTAATATAAAGTGTCCAGTGGGTCATGGCACCACCAAGCAATTTACGGTATGGTTTTTGGAAACTGCTTGAGCGGCAAACGACATAAAAACAAAAAGAAAGATTATTAGATTTACTAAGGTTTTTCAGCTCTATAGAAGGTATTTACAGATTTTCTTAGCACGTTGACTTTTTTATAATTAAGTTGATAACATTTTTCAAAGACAGCTTGAGGAAATTGAACCCGCGGAGGTTAAAAATCGCGCTTAGTGATGTAGGAGGACCCACGGGGTGGGGCCGACGGGAAAGAAAATTTTCTAAATCATACCTTCTAAATAGCTAAAAAAGCATCTCCCAGACAAAGTTAACAAAATACTATACCGTTCAGGATAGATAAATCGACGTTTCTCAGAAGAAGACTAATTATTGTTCTGGGAGAAATTGGGAAGGGGAAAAGTCATGCTTAAACACTAGTGACAGACGTCGGGGAAAGAAAGAGGTGTTTTCTATTCGAGAGCAATCGATTTTTTCCTGAAACGAATAAGGATGTATCTAAGAACATATTAGGGCTCAAAACGAAAATTTTCTTGAAAAAAAGAGGCTGAGCAAAAATTATTGCATTCTAATAATAAAGAGTGTAGTCATTGCTTCTCTCTATATTACATGCAAAAGTACTTCTTTATTCATTGACGTGGTACTTTTACACAAATTAATTTTACTTCTTTCCCTTTTTGTCTTTTGGCCTTGTTCCTAGCTACAGTTAAAAGCAAAACTCAGAATTTCATTTTTTGTGTCTATGCTATTATCATGTCACTAAATGTGCAGTTAAAATTAAGGAGCTATTATGGAGGTCTTGGTACCGCAATTCGACTAATAGAGGTTCAAAAATTTGGAACTTTAGGACCTAGACTTTGAGTTAGGATTTTTATAAAAAGGCGTGTAATGAAAATATATGTACTGTGGGTTTGTGAAAATATGTGTAAACGATCCTTTTCTTACATGTTTTTGAGATTTATTAAAGGGGTGGTATTTGGGGCTAATCCCCCACATGGGCATCATCACTGACTCGACACCACTCTGCAAACACAAATAACTGCCATCAACAATAGTCAACTTGACACCATGACATAGAGTGGCTGAGGTTTGTTGCAAGAACACATAAAAACCTAGTTTGGTTTTAATCTAATCCAGTTACCAGGGATTCCTTTCTTTAAAAGAAAATGATGATAATATCTCAAAAAAGTCGTTTTGCTAAAGATTTTTGGGGGGTCTAGTCCCCCCGTCCCCCCGGGATTTACGGCCCTGCTCTTGAGACTCTTGGCTAATAAAATCACTTAGCATTAAAGTAATGATTAGAGATGTCATTGATTGGTGACATAGACTTATGACGTTGATCACCGGGCGTGGCCACTAGGCATGGCCACTGGGCATATTTGAAATTGTGGAAAGTCCAGCACGTCCAGTAGCGTAGCCAGTGTTGTAAGATTAGGAGGACAATAGCGAGTTAATCGAGGGAAAATGGGGTCCACACCCTTTAGAACGCTAGGAAACCACTTTTTTAAAGAGATTTTGCCATAGGGGAGGGGGCATCCGCTCCATCTTGCTTCCCCCGACTATGCCAATGAGCAGGTTCAATTGCTGGGGGCACTAGCCGTTCTTCCTCCCATATTTACAGACTTTTGATGATAGTCCAGCTCTTCAGGCTTAACCAGTGGAGACATCCTTCCTATCTTCTTTCTTTATGAAGATTCAAGAAAGATAAACATTAATTTTAAGAATAGCTTTTCATAGAATAATTTGGCTCAGGGATCATCTATCAATAACTCTGATATCTTCTAAATTTCTTGAAGAAGTTCCCCTTAATCTAAACCATTAAATTTTCTTGTCCTTTGAAGAACAGAGAATATAACGAATCAGTAACATGGGTGTTGAACCCAGAAATTTTTTTTGCTAGTAAATGCTACAAAAGATCGGTGTTGAAGTTGCCAAGCAACTTGTGGCCAAGTAATCTAAAAAATTTAGATTAACAAAAGAATAATGTCTGTTGCCAAGAGATCCCGTCAGACGTATGACGTAATTGCTTTGAAACGGAGGTCACAAATTGTTTTACATAGAGTATATGAGCTTCCACAACATCATTCGCATGGAAGAAAGACAAATTTCATACCGAAGGTGACGGGACTTTGTGCCTCCAGCGCATTAAAAATGGATTTCTTCTCAAGATAGATAACCATAAAATGCAGCTTTATATGCAGTTGTATTTTAACCATAAGCATGGGAAACAAAAGCTCTATTTTTCGCTCAAATAAAGTCAGAAATGCGAGAGCAAGGACAACCGATTCAGAGAACGAAGCCATAGGCCATGACAGATTTCCTAGTGATCATGAAGTTAGAGTTCCTGTCGACTATCCTTCAAAAGCCAGGAGACCACTATCAATATCACTGAAATCGATCGGATCGTTTCGTATACGAAAGAACAGAGGAACAAGCATACGAAAAACCACTAGTTTGCAATCTGCAGTCTCAGTTCGTATGGATCCGGAAACTGAGAAATTGAGAAAAGATTTTGATCAATATAAATCGGAAAAGGAATCCGAAATCGGTATGTTAACAAAACAATGTGAAATGACAATGAGCGAGAACCGAAGGCTTCGAGGGGAATTGAAGATGCTGCAAACAACATGCACGAAGCTCAAGCGTGAGAGGGACAGAGCTCTAGTTGCAGAAAGGGATGCTTTGGAACGTTCTTCAGCAATTGAAACAGGTAAATAGTATGATAGCAAAAAGTTTGAAAGCTAAAACTATATACATCATAACATTTAACACTATGCAATTCTGATTAGAATGTAGGTATGATTAAAATTGTAGCAGACTTGTGAAGATGATATTGTTTAAAGACCAATGTAGCAACATCACTCCTATCTTTCTTCTATAAGGGATTCTTGCAGCAACATAAACATGATTTAAATTTCAGTTAACCGATTGAAGTGGTGTTTTTAGCATGGGATAATTGTGTGTTATAAACAGTCTTTTGTACCATTTTTTAGCCATTTTGTGATTTTTTAACATAATAGGCATTATTCTATCTTATTCAAATTGTTGAAGTATTTTTCTATGTATCTTTTAAAGGTTCTATCAATATGAATGACATTGTGACTTTCTAATCTCATTTTTTGAGCAGTTATCACTGAAAAGTAATGCTGCCCGAATAATTTGTCTTATAATATAAATATGCAGCCTGGCCATAAGACTTTTAACAGGGGAGCAGTAAACAGCTCTCCTAGTAGTATTCAGGTGAGCTATAAGAATAGAAACAAAGGAAAAATTGATTTCAAGGAGAGCAATGCTTTTTAGAGCAATTTAGGAGAGCAATCTCTAGCTCCCCTCTAGCGTTTGAGGAGAGCCTGGAGGGGAGCAAGAGCTATGGCTCCTTAAATGGCCAAGCCTGAAAATGATGTCTTCATAAAAAAACTGTTGACATCAATGTTGACTGTAGGAGTCCCCCCCCCCCCTGGTAGATTTTTTATAACGTGTTGGCATTAGAATTGTGACAATTTTTGTTGTTTTCATTTTAAGAAAGCTTGTTATTTAGTAATATGTGAATAATCTTTAGCAAGAAAGGGATTTATCTCAGAATCTTGTTTCATTCTTAGAAAGGGACAAGGTCCAGCGGCAATTCAAGTTGTTCAGAGACACAAAAGCCAATGAGCTTCAAACTTTATTAAAGGAGAAATGTCATCTTGAGACCCGGTTAATGAAGTATGTAAATATCCATGAAACAGAGACTGAAAGCAATCCAGTGGGGCATGAATTTTTTGGTGAAGGTGGAGAGATCTTGGGCAATGTAAATGATATAGCCAATGCTGTTGCTGCATTCGACATGGAGTCAACTGCTGGTGCAAGTAATCCATTGGTGTTCAAGGGTGTAGAACATAGTCATTTTGGAAGTGAAAATCAAGAACCATATACCAATATTAGAAAAGGTTTGCCTAATACTCTTATTTATGAACATATTTTCTTAGAGATAAGAAACATAGTTAATGGCTTTTATTTTCAGAAAATTCAAATAAGTAATATTGCAGATAATTTTTTTCATTGTAAGGGGCACCAGAAATTTTCCAGCTCTGAAAATGTGACCCTTTCCTGGCAAAATTCTCTTTATGCTCACTGCTAAGATTTAAATGTAGCTATCTTCAGTTCAAAAGAATCAACCAAGTTTGATATGTTTTCCTTGGTGCCAAAGTTGTTAAAACTTTAAAGCATATTTTCTGTTTTGTTTTTGTCGATTATTGTTTTCTGTCAAAATTTCTTCAAGAAGAACCAAAAGAGTGACCTTTTAGATCGATATTCCATTTGATTTCTATCTTGCACAACCTTTCTTTGATGTTTATATTTGAAAAAAATTGTCCCAAAAATACATCATCTTTGATTGCATTTTTCAGGAGACTGGGATTCAGTTGTTCAAAATTTGGTAAAGTCATTAAATGCAAGCATCATGAGCATTCCACTGAACAATGTATACAGAGTTTACATTGCGTCTAGTGATGATCTGGTCAGTGAAGTAGATCTGCTCGTAGAGGTAATATTTTTTTTCTATATTTTTTTACAAAGAGTAAAGTTTTCTAAAGCAGTCAAAAGTTATAAAATTTAATTTGGTAATCTTTCTCTTAATAAAAAATTCCTTGGCTAAAATGACCAAAACTGCAATGAACTATTGCTGAACTTTTGAACTGATGTCTTCTTGTATAACATAAATCTTGTTAAGACTCAAGCAACCTATAGAATTAAAGGTTGTAAAACATGTCACAAAAAGCAAAATAACTGAAATGGCTTGTTAGAAAAGAATGAAATGGGGCCTCTAGACCTTTCAGGATAACCCCACTATGGAATCCTTGCTTTCAACCAGGCATGTATGAACAATAAATATTGATGGCAAAAATTTGAAATACAGTTGGTGGGACAATCCACCTATTGACCCGATGGATGTCCCACAACCCCAGAAGGTTTTTTATGATGCCCATGCATTAGAATTTTCATTTTTGTTTTGAGAGTAAATAAACAATGCGTGTTAAAGGTTTTGTATAATTTTTTTTTGTTCAAAAAACTGGTAATAGGGGCTATTTCTTTTGAACATCAGCAATTAAATTTATATTGATTTCTGCTGAGTACAGTACACTACAGTTTAGAGATTAAGCTTTGCTTTTTATTTTTGGTCTACAGTGATGACCATCCTATGAATTTAGTGGGTGTATACTTTAGTGCCTTTTTTAAGTTTACTAACCATTTGGGAAGACATCTACCATTCCAACCCCTGAGACATTTCTTTATTAAAGGCAATAGACTATTGATCCTTTTTTAAAAGAGCAAAAGTTTGTCTCCCAGTTAATATCTTGTATAAAAGACTACCAGATACTTGTGAATAATAATGTCCTTGTTGTTCTGCCAGCAACATTACCCAAAACTGATGCAACAATGTGAGTTTGAGGGGCGATTTCTTTTGATGCAAAATATTTCAAACAGCGCATGGGTCAAAGCAACAGAGAAGGTGAGCTTGTTTGTGATTCCTTTTAAATCCACATGTTGCAAAAAATTGCCTACAGATATTAAGTAAATAGAAATATATCTAAAACTTGCAGGAACAGCACAAATTGATAAAGAACAGTCCGGTTCTGGCAAGTAGGAATATCTAATGAAATTAAAAAGCTGTTTGATAGACTAGATAAACGAGGATTATCAATGAAGCGTAATATGCTCAAACTTACAGGGATCTTCTAGAATAAATTGTCATGTAATGAAGAAAAGTTCCTGTTTTCTGCAGACAAGGAAGGTTTTCAACAAGCTCTGAACATGCTTTTTATCAAAGAACAATTGCTACTCAGTGTTGTTGGATATTTCGTATAGTGTGTTGTTATTATCACTTTAAAGTGATTAGTTAAAGCTTTTGTACAAAGTATTATGATCAGAAGATCACAATCTAGTATGGGTTCTTGTCTACTTCCAGTATCATGTTTTTCGGTAGGGCTCGTTCTATTAGTGTTTTTCATTTGGTGGTGACCTAGATAACAGCCTTTGAAACACATTCATGTACTGCTTCATCAGTTTGCCTTGTATGTTTATGCTATCCAAATGTTGGTTGAAAACATGGCAAAATACTTTGATCTGTGTCTATCGTTTTTGCTGATCATGATTGTTTTCATTCAGTTTCCCTATTTGCTCCCTTTCCCCAGTATATAATGCAATTTGAGATAATCCCATGTATTCTACGAGTTTGCATACAGCATTATCATCATCATGCATTATTGTTCAAAATTGAAGTCATGCAATCTTTTGGTATCCAGCTACTTAGCATAAAAGCACCAAAACTTCAAGAGCATACATCTGCTGTGAATCATTACAAATGTGTTTATCTTTATTTCTAAGACAACCAACCCTTTTGAGTTCCAATTTGTTACTTTTTTAATATCAGACCTTTTTCCAGGATTTGAATGAAAGTCTTTGCAACAGGAATAAGCTTGTTGAAGAGTCAGATGTATTCATTTGCTTCCTGGGTACAGAAATAAGCGAGTATGTATCTTACTTACACCTTTGTGGCGCTACGTAAAATGCTGCCCTTTGTATATTCCCAGGTGAAAACTGAAGGACAAGGGTAATTTATGCACCGAAAGCTCACTCTGGCATTTTCTTAGGAGTGCATTGTAGAAAGAAACACTGCAATATGTCACAAATAAATTAGAAAACTGCAAAGTTAAGAAACAACTATTTGTAAAATTTCTATTTTTGTATCATGTTTGGCTTTATAATAGAATTTTAATGTGAACTATCGACTCTCAAGCTTTGTCTTCCAATGCGATAAAAAGTTCCATTGCCAAATTGAGCATCCATTTGTCTGTGCTTTCTAAAATTCATCATTGGTGTTTGCTTAGATAATACCCTTGGTGCTATGGCTAGCGATGTATCCTATATGGCTGGTTCAAGTATGATTTCCAGAATTATTAGAATCATGCTATGGATACTATATATGTAAATCACAAAAACGAGTTATAACTGATTCATTCGTATTGTCATAACCTAATTCTTATGTGGCTTATTTCATTCATAAGCATCACTGTAGAAGATATCAGAGTTGGTATGAAGCGAAAAACCGGTATCAAATACAACATATTCTGTGTCAAAGGCGATGAAAATACCAGGTGAGGCAGATTCACAAATTTTAGAAACCTTTTGCCCTACAATCACCGGCACAAGGTGATAAGTTTTGCACGTTCTTCAGCAGAATTTTTATATTTTTATTATAAAGCTTCACTCATTGTTATAGTTATTAATTCTACCTGGCCTGTGTTAATGCAGGATTGAGGCTACGTGCAATAATAGAAAACTTGATTTTGTAGAAGATTCAGTCATTGGATTGAAATGTGTATTATAGCATAGTGCCCTGATGGTTCATTCTTAGTTACTATCATGTGACAACCTTTCTGCATTATTCTTTGTCTGCGGCCTTTTATTTGTGCTTTACACGCAGTGTGATGGCAGTAGAAACTGTGTATCACTTTGCAAACAGATCAGTTTTGAATCAGATGGGGGATACAATGTGCGCTTGCCAGGTACTGCGCAACTGAAGTAAAATCACTCCTCGGTATATTGTATCCGGTATTTTGTATCTGGTATTTTGCAGCCGGTATCTTGCCTTGGTAGTCTTCAAATGGAAATTCCTATAGCTGAAAATGTGATTTCATTGGTCACTCGAAGTCGAAAATTGAATTTGAGGCTCGATCCAACAGATTATCAAATTCGATAATCGAGTGTTAAAATCGCACTCTTTTCTTATAAATGCAAATGAGTTTAGCGCGGCAAAAGTGCAGCCTTATCACCTAAGCCCCAAAATACATAGCAGATTGTTAAAGCGTTGAAGAGAATTAAAGACAGATGTTTTAAAAAGTTGATGAAAACGATATACAGTACTTATGTTGGGCTGCATAACGTACGCAACTAGAATTGAATTTTAGGGCTGAAATAAATGCCCGATCTTTCCCCTTTACTCTTAATTCCCTTACTGACATATTTCGGTATCTTCCTGTTTAAAAACATCTTTAGATAACTTTTCAGAGTTCTCGGGTAAATAAGTAAGGCTTGTTTCTTTACGAATAGCGTCCAATAGACTGTCTAATAATTCGAGAGTTTATTTGTTCTAAGTTTCTTAATTAACAGTTCCTGAGAATGAAATTTGTTATAGTCAAATCATTTTGAATGGTTTGAGCCATTATTATCTAGCCAATCAGAAGCCCTAATTTGAGTGTCTTTGTTGTACCAGTGGCCTGAACTGTGGGTATTTCAATAGATTTTGGGTATCACCATTTTATTAGCGAAAAAAGTGTTCTTTCGCGAAAATTTATTTAAAGTCCGCGGAAATTCGTATACACCGTTGAATAAGACAAATATCTAATAAAGCGACTTTATCTAATTAAGCCACTAGTTTGATGTAGAGTTAAGCTCAAAAAATGGTCCAATTTACTTACTTGGCTTTAAGTGTCCAGCAAAGTGTACCATGGGAGGTGACTAGCCAAAATATATTCAGTTGCAGAAGCAGATCGGCAAAATCTAAGCGAGTGTTTAAAAACAGATATATGCATTATGTTTTTAGGCCTCTCTGTCACTTTCTGTCTTTTCAACGTTTGTTTGGACTTGACTTTTTTTCTAATTTCAATTTAACGCTGTGTAACAAATTTGTTGCTGCGTGTTTCATGAAATAGCGAATCGAACCAATGGCAAATGGAATAAATCTCATATTTTTCTTCTAGTGACGTGGGAGCATATCTTGGCAATGAATTATGGGAAAATATTATTTCAAATAACAGAACTACGGTAAGATTCCTTGTTCTCTTCACTTGAAATGTACTCGATAGACATGGATAAACATTTTAGAATTTACTTGCTGTAGCTTTTTTTAGTTTGCCTACTAAACGTTTTGCAGCAGTGCCGCCTTGTGTTTCGTAGCTGCGCAATTATTTTTGTATCACTTTTGTAATTCCTTAAAGAGACTGTCGAGTCTCTAATAGTCGTGTGTTCTTCTCTTCCGAAATACTTTTGTACCCTGAATGTAGGTTTTTATTTCGTTGATTGTTTTCTTAAATAAGAACTTAAGCGTAACAGCCACGAATAACAGAATAATGTGTGACAAAGATTACTGTCTACTGTTCTATCGTATGGTATTCGATGCTGCAGATTATTCATTATATTCTTCTAAAATTTACAGGAACAGAAAATTAATTACAAAACGATACCAGCAGGAAGTGTGGAAAAACATAACAACCCTGCGGCAATAACATTTAAAGGCATCGAGTCATGATAAAATGGATTGGGTATACCCTAAGTGCCAAAATCCGCTGAGTCATGGTTTTCATGACTGCGATGCTATTGGTTGACCTGGAACTGGTCACATGAACTCACCTCGTACTGATTGACAAAACAATTTCTATCAATAGCAAGTTGTTAACAACGAATGCAATTATCACATGAAACAGCAGCGATTACGCTTAAACCAAATGACCCCCTATAGAGATGGCCTATTTACCATGACTCAATGCCTTTAACATAGAACAGTTATTGCAAAAAAATAAATAGAAAAGAAGGACAATGTTACACGAGAGATAGATATATACACTTTTATGTTTACAATCTCCATTGAGAATGGAGATAGTATAAAAGAGATAACAATTTTTACAAACATGCCTTGTTGAAAAGTGCAAAGTTGGTGCTTCTCTGCCCCTCTGCTTCTTGGCAGCCTTTAATTCTTTTCAATCGTTGCACTTGAAATGATATACATTTTAAAGTCATTAAAAATCACAGATAGGCTTCTGTGAAGCAGTAGCTGTTAAAAGTAAAAATTGTAAAGTAAAAGTTGTTAAGTAAAAGTTTCCATGCTTTTAAGTTAATTTTTAGGGAGGCGTAAGGGAAACTATCTTTTAATCGTGTATCTTGACGAAAAGGCTCTCCATTTGCCCTGATTATGATGTTAATACAATCTTGACAAATTTTAGGTGATATATTGCAATACTGACGACGGTATCATGGCTGCAAAGGCATTTGAATCAGTAGATCATATAATTAAGAGAGTAAGTATTCTCAAGCATCTCTTTGACACAGCTCTGGTATGTTAACTCCTGACATTTCTTCGCATTCTTTTAAGCAGTAAATGTTTTTGAGAACTTTTTTTTAACAAGTTCATTTACCTCTATGAATTAAATTTTCAAGAAACATTCGAATGAAGGTTGTCATTCTGACATTTTCTTAATACAATCAAGTTCTTTCTAATATAATTCAGGTATTTTCTTCCATCAAGACCGAGGTCGTGCAGAATAGCTTGAATTAAATGAGTGGAGGGGATTCGCCCGAATTTATCCTACAACAGTGCTTTCTTTTTCACATGGGGCTAGATGGCTTCTGCGATCTGCAAAATTTGATGTTTTACGCAAAAAAACCATAGACAAATTCTTAGTAAAATTTCTCGTGTTTCCTAACAGAAAGGCTAAACGATGAGGAAACTATTCTTTATCCCTTATTCAAAGCCAAAATACTTGCAAATGACATACTAATAAACAAAATTGATTTATTTTTAGTTTTGTATCACAGAAAAATAAGCTAAATTCTAATATTTGAGTGACTTTTGGATGCAAATTTTATTTGATTAGGTCTAACGTGAGTTAGTTTATTTGGACTTCTAAATAATGACAGTGATTTGATGAGTTTTAATATACTAAATAATATGTTTCTAATTTTTATCGTAAAAAATATGTTAAATTTTCTTGATCTTCTTGTCCTTTTTGTCTTTGGTATTTTTTGATAATATAGCTTAAATCTTTTAATAGTTTTTAAAGGAGCAACCAGATCATAGCATGGGAATGTCTTCAAAGTCAGAAGAAGTCGACTGTTGCCCCGGATTTGGATGGGATATCTATGGAGATTTTGAGCAGCGTGAAGCGTTGAAGTATCACGCGAATGAGAGCGCCAATGCCCCAAGGCTTCAACAGGTATTGCTTCCCAACATGAACATTAAGTACTCCAAGATTGCAGGAAAATGTGAATCAAATATAACATAATCTATCGTCATCATGTAATATGGATCACAATTTTGTATTGTATGGATGACGTTTTTCAGATTGCATTTTCGCTTTCTCTTCTTTTCAGTACTATGTCAAAAGACAAACTGTTAAAAATCCCAACAAAAGTTATGTTACGATTTACAAAGTTTTAAGATTATAGATTTCTAGGACTCTATTAGAACTTTCAAATTTATAATTTCACCATTTGATCTTCTTGCCAAAGCCTAAAAGGTTGCTCGTTTTTTCGCTGACAAAAAATATAATTTGTGCCGGACATCCTATGAATTTTATTTTTTGACAATTGTGCTTTTTGTTGATAATTATCAGAAGCCAACCCATCCCTCATTTGGTTCTTTTGACGAAATTCCTTCTTATTTCAGTACTTTGATCAGCTGAACGAGCATGTCACTTTTGATGGTCCTGTCCAACCGTTGCTGGTGACTGGCCCTAGTGGATCTGGCAAATCCTTCCTGTTATCAAGATGGTAAAATTTCTCTAACTTGTGTTATCTTTTCCAAGAAATTTGCACTTTTGATTCCAAGAAATCTACTTAAGCATTTCAAAGACACTATAATTGAATTTCCAAGAAATCTATTACACCATTATATGTGTTAATTTTATGTGCTTTTTACGTGACAGGATTCAAGCACAGCAAGTGGAAATGAGTGGAGCGTGCTTATTGTACCATTTTGTCGGATCTCCGTCTACATTCAGTGCAGATCTCATACAAATCATGCGGCGTTTTACTCTGCAGGTCAGTAATTCAACTTATGTACTGTCAGCATAAACTGGATTTATTTTGTATCGTATACTGGATTGGTCTTCTCCCACACGTCAGTGAAGCGATTCAGCACGTCTTGTATCGCTTTGGTGCAGTAAAGATCGTTTTAAAAAGAATAGATCCCCCTTGTCCAACACTTTAATTTGAAAGTCTCCCGATAACTCGAACGTTTGCTATCTCGAACCGTTTCACTGGTCCTTTGGATGTTCGAGTTATCGGGAGTCCGCTTTATATATGTATAATCGTTTGTTATTGCAAAAGAGAGTCTGTGTGCGATTTCCATATTGTTTTGCCCGGTTGATAAACTTGATAAGTTTGAATTCTTTCAAACAGCTGCTACAGCAACTACCATCCACTTGCAATCCATCAAAACTGGATGAAGATTTTCCCAAGTTCCTGGATCGAGCCATTTCTCGATATCCGAATGGTATCACTTTGGTCATTGATAATGCTGATAATCTTCAGGTAATCTTCTATTTCTTATCCATTTGCATCAAAAACCGAAAACCTACTTTAAAGGCATCTAGTATGGCAAACAGGTGTTCTCTGTGGGAACACCCGCTTTTAAAGTGATATCTATCGTTTCATATGACCAAAGGCAGTCATTGCATGTCAACAAGATCAGTTCGAGGTAGCTTCATATGATCATTTTCAGGCCTACCGTAACTGTTGCCCCACAAAGGTTGTAGCTTTAAGGAGGTACGGGCTCAATGGCTATGTGCAAGTAAACATCAACTATTGGATGGCATGTCAGGGACCCAGGGACCTAAAGGGACCAGGGAACTTTCACCCAAAGTGAGAAGAGTCGCCAGCTCTCTGTAATTCCAGTCGTAGAAATCCTGAGGTGTGGTCATATTGAGAGGAAGGGCCAATATATTGTCAGTGTCCTAAAACTACCTCCGGAAGCTAGGTAGCAAATTACAATACAGTGATGTCTTATCGATTTCGGCACAACTCACATTGTCGCTAGGGGGTTATTAGAAAAAGGATCTTAACGAATTGAGCTACCCTAAATTGCAAGTTTGCATCTGGAAAAGTCATCTTTTTGTATTAATTACACTATAATTTTGTTCATTTCATGTTTTAAAAATGATCATCTTTCAAAATTATCATCATCCGATTCTTTCAACGAGACAATTGGACAATAGTTTTTTTTCATTTAAACGATAACACGCTCTCAAGGATATCAGTTTTAGCAGAAGGCTTATGCTTATAACGGATCCTAATAAGTTTGGCGAAATATATGAAAAATATCCTTTTTTGATACTTTATACTGCAACATTTAGAGATAGCTGCAACAGTTCTAAGCTTGATGCTATGAAGCTTAATATGACGAACTTAAAAATGATATTTTTCATATATTTTACATTGCTTCAATCTTTATACTGGATTTTGACCACATTCTATGCAGATATTTGCAACATTAAACCTTTCATTTCACGAAATATTCTCTTTTTCATCAGATTTTTTATTGCATTGTTTTGCAAAAGTTGCTGCAAACATTCCCAATTTTGATGCATAAGGTTGAGCTAACCCAGTTTCGCTTTCTTCTAGGGTTTGAATATGTTCATGAAATGGGTTCTCGACCCCCTGCCAGTTGGCTGTCGTGTTGTGATTTCTGTTGGCACTGACGATTACCCAAGGGAGTGGAGGTGAGTTTTCTCTCTTGTCATTAACAATACTTTTTTCAGTTGATACGATATTTTCCTTCTTGATTTTTTGTTCTGCTTTGTCAACTAAACCAAGTCGCTTGTGACTGCCTCTAGCGTCCTCTTTCGGTCAATGTTTCATAGTACGATCGTTTAATTTGATAATACCTCAAAAGTCTTCAAAACATTTTCCATTACTGCTCTTAAGTTTTCTAAATCTTCTCAAGTTTTTTACCATCGTCTAAATGAGATTGAGTAAAATAAATTTCTGACTTGATCATGAATTTCAATAACTGACAAGTTGTTAGTTGTATTCCTATTTCAAAAATCAATTGAAATTTTGTATTTTGTCTGTCAACGAACATTGCCTCCTAAGCCATTTTTCCTTAACAAGGCACTATCTTTTACAAGGCATTGTTTGTTATTTCAGATCGTTGCCAAAGCTAGAGATGAAGCCCTTTGAAGAAGAGGAAACGAAAGACATTTTACAATCGCTGTGGATGAACGAGAAGATAGCATTGTCACCTGACTTGGTATGTTTGATGAATTCTTTGACTTTGTTAGTATCCTTAGATTCTTTCGTGTTAAGAATTGAGCTGCTCATGAAGGAAACGAATCAATTTCTTCAAACCTCATCGATAAATTCACCATAAACTTTTATTACTACGTCGTTCCACATGGCCCATTGCCAGTGCTAACTGAAAGATAGACAATCATTAGCTTCTTTAGCGAATTAAAGTGACTAACCAATCAAATTGCTTATAATACTAATCGCTAGATTAATGTGTTAGCGATATATGCATGTGTTTCCCCATGCAACTAAATTTTAGCAATCACGTGTAGAACATTTGTCCTGTACTATATCAACAACGGTGCATGATAAAACGTCACAATTATATTAACACAAATACGCTTACAATGTAAACAATATACGATCGCAGAAATTCTGCGTAGGACTGCGGGATTTCCCAACAGTGTGTCTCTTATCCCGAGTAGCTCATTGTGTTTACTACAGGTTTTGTCCATCTTCTACTATTATAGCCCCTGACATCTCCCACAACATATGCAGAATCAATTCGTGAGACACTAACTCCCCTCTGGCTGTGGATAATTAGGCTTTATCCTATGGCCTCTGCTAGTTCTTTACTTTGAGGACCTAGCAGGAAATAAGTTCGAGCCACGTAAGATTAAATAACTAGGAAATTTCAGTTCAGCAAATTTTTGTTTTTCACTAGATGAATAACATTCAAAACTCATTTAAAAAAGATGCAGTGGAGAACCCTCTCTTCCTTACCATAACTTGCAAAATTCTCTCGAGGTGAGCTTTTAAATCATATTATATTCAGCTATTTTAAGCCGGTTCGGTTACGTAAGTGCCCGCATTTTAGTTTCGACATAGTAGATGGCTTTGAAAAAAGCAAACATTTTACAACATACTTAAAGCTTTTTCGTCTGACACTCCTCAGAGCATAAAACGTCAGAATAGGTTCCGAAAAAACACGATGGAAAAATATATACCCAGTTGTGGATCGACATAGTAGTTTAAAGGCGCTTTGTCCCGAAGAATTTCAGTGGTAACTTGAATTTCCATTGGCTGTTGTCACAATTGGCTATTGTTACATTATCCAATCAGCAGCGTGGGCTAATTTCAAATGATTCTTCAATCACAATCTTGATGTGGAGCCTATTGTTAACTTAAAACAGTTGACTGATAGGACATATGAGTAGCCCAGTATATGGTTATGGACTTATGCTGTTTGCTTGGGCTGTATTTTTTTTGTGTGCAACCTTTGCTCAAAGCATATTTGGCTACTCATAGGCCTTTAATATGAGTAGCTCAATACAAAATAGTGTCTTTTTCAAGTCTTGTGAGTGAAAAAAGCAAGTCTTCTACCAAAATAGTTCGCTGTCATCATTATAAAATGTTTTACCAAATTTTTGCACATTTTATAATTGGAGTAAAAAAGCACAGTGGATATTTTCTGACCGCAGTATACAGTATATTGCCGTGGTTTCAGGCAACTTTTTTTAAGGTGTGATAATCGTTACATGCTGGTCATTACATTAAAGATGTAAGACGTGAAAGATTGTTTCCCTTTTTTGTCTGCAAATTTGTTATTGATTTTAGAAATATCCAAGTTTTTTCTTTTGTTTTGCAGATGTAAATCATATCAAGAAATAAGCAGTGAAATTGCGAAATTCCAGAAATTCTCGGTTCGTTTAATTTTGACAATTTTTTTCTTGCTGATGAAAAACTGCTTTTAAATGACATATAACTGGCCACATTTCTTTGACCCGTATCTATACCAAATAAGGCCAATAAAGGGACGTAATATTTTACTTTAAAGGTGCATATGGGTTATTACATGATGTTTATCAGTACTGTATGATAGATTAATTTAATATTAATTCATGATAGATTATGTTATTGGGGGCACCATTTTTTTTGAAAATGAGGAACACAAGGAAATTGTTCATCAGAAGCAAACGATTTTCATAATATTATTGTTGGGTGAAGGAGGGGGGCAAAAAGATAGTAGCTTTGGGCGTGAGTTGTTAACTAAAAGATGTGTTTTGATGCTTGACATTGAAGTTGTATGGCTAAAGTGAAGTATATAAGAAAGACATCGATTTTCTTCACTTTTTAATTGAACGATTCAAGTTTCAGAGTATTGTCTGTTCGTTACAATTAGACTGCTGATGGTGCATCACAATATCCTCATCTAAATTCTTTCGTTTTTGTCACAATTTAGGATTTGACAGAACTTTATCTAGTTATGATCGAAGATTTAGAAGATCAATACGGAATAACATATTTGAAAAATGTAAGTGACTTAGATTTAAGGGCTATTATTTTTCAGCAGATTTTTCTGAATGGATATGTTTTATTGCCTTAATTACAAGGAATTAACCCTAGATTCTACCAAATTTTAGTGGTGATTGCTTTTTATAACTGCAAGTAAAATCTTATTAACTAATTTTTTTTAATCATGTTATCCAATTTTCATGTAAATTTATGTATCTATTTACTCCATAAAAACGTAGGAAGGCATATTCTGTTTGTTCTAAACTAACATTATTAGAAAAAGTTCCAGTGAATTATCAACTCAAGACCTCATGGCCCCGAATACCGGATTGTTTAATTGCTTTTAAATCTTTTTAGATTCTTCTGCACATCTACTTTGCGAGAAACGGTTTGGTTGAAGCGGAATTGAATAAGCTTTTTGACATTCCATTGCTCACTTGGGTGCAAATGCAGAAAGAGTTCTCTGATCGTGTGTTTTTCACTAATTTCGGAGGATTTATTTGCTTTGCAAATGGGAAGGTAAGTTAAAGGTTTATTCAAACAATCTTTTGGTGGTACAAAACTTGTAAATGGCTTTGAAAAAAACGCAAACATTTAGTAAGCTAAAGCTTTTCGTCTGACACTCATCAGAGTTTAAAACGTCAGACCATAGATCAAAAACTCTACGCTAAGAAATATATATACCCAGTTATGGATCGAAATAGGCCAATCAGAAACACGAGCACATGACTGTTGAGGTTGACCAATCAGTGCCGCTTGCGATTCTGCTATCGGGCAGCATTTGCTAGAAAACCAAGATTGTGCAAAAAAATATAATGGCGACATGTTTCGGATTATTGGTAAAGCCCGATCGTCGTTCCACCTAGCAGTTTTAGAATCTATCTACATAAGCACGAAAAAACCGCTACTGTGTAGACAAAAGGAGTTCGTTTTCACCTTTGGACTCCACTGGTAACATTCTCAATAGGTAAGCGGCACTGATTGGTCAACCTCAACAGTCATGTGCTCGTGTTTCTGATTGGCCTATTTCGATCCACAACTATATATATATTTCCTAGCGTAGAGTTTTCGATCTATGTTCTGACGTTTTAAGCTCTGAAGAGTGTCAGACGAAAAGCTTTAGTTTACTAAATGTCTGCTTTTTTCAAAGCCATTTAAAGGTTTATTGTTAATAATACTTCATAAAATAAACTTATAAATATAATTGGAAGTCGCCTTAGCCAAAATGTCTTCTTATTCAGGAGCAAACTACTACTTTCGATTTGGTTCTTTTCTTACGATTTTTCCGTTCAGTAAAATGTCTGATATTTAAGTTTCATTCTAACAATTATATGCAAAATTTCACGGCATAAGTCGAAAGTTTCCTACTTTGATAAGGCTATAAGACCATTGCTTTTCTTATGTCGTAGAAAATATCGAGCTTTCTGCTAACATCTGAGATTGGTATAAGATGTTGACAAAACTCGCGAAGCTGTATTATCTCATATCTAATGTATATGTTAAAAATTAATGAAAGTTAATGTTTACAGTGCTCGATGCCGTATAGGCAGGGCTGTGCCCGCTTTTGGTGTATAGAACAGGACGGTTCTAAGTCGCCACTCCGAGTATAACCCTTAATACAATCATCGGGCAACTGTTTATCGAAGAATGTATCTATATCTGAAAGTTTAATTCCACCGAAGTCAAACATTTTTCAGGCTCATTTTCGAAACTCGTCATTTTCCCTTCTAAGCCTCCCTACTTCTGTTCTCTATTAAGTTATTTCACAACTGACCACTTCATTTAAAACGGTGTCATATTTTGGTAAATTTTATGTATTGGTAATTTTTCTCTTTCCAGGTCGTTAGTGCCGTCGAGAAGTATTACAATCTAATTGATAACCAAAATGAGGTGGAAATAGTTAGAGGGAACCTTATCCAGTACTTTAAAAGCAAAGACACACCAACACAAGTGACGTATCGGGTGGCCGATGAGCTACCGTGGCTTTTGTTAAAGAGTGGTCAATTGGAAACACTAAAACACGTCATAAGCTGTGTGGCGATTTTTGTTCGCTTATTTAGAAAGTAAGTTTCGTTCGTATATCATTTATTAACCAAAATCTATTGCTTCCAATTTTGAAATGCAAGTAGACATCATCTTTGATATGCATTTACCCTTTGTACCGTCAGAAAAAACATCAAAGATTCATAAAATTCACAATAAATCTGGCAATAGTCTTTATTAGAGAACTATTTATTTCTATCAAGTTTTCAAAACAATCACGTTTAGTCTCCTGATGAAGAGATGTGGAAAGGAGAGTTGAAATATAATTGAATGCATTTTAACCTCACATATAAGCCTATGTAGCTGATAGTGAATGTTTCTAGATTTCACAAAAAGGGGGAATGATTAATGTCATATGTCACGTTGTAAATCATGCCTCCATACTCTTTTAAATTACATTTTCAATGGATGGGAACAGCCTATTTTTGTAGGAATGGGTTTTATATCTCTATTCCAATACGACCTCTGTAACTGTCCTATGATGCATCTACCTTGGTTTGTCAAACTTACCTCATTTTATATTATTTTATAGTTCCGTAGGACGTCACAGAGATTTCATTTTGAATGTTTAGAAGTCTTCTTTCTCTATACGATTCGAAAACGGCCATCATTATTTTGTTTAAAAAAACTGCCCAAACCATTATTGTCTCTAAGTAAATTTATTTATTGCCTACCTTTATTTCCGGTCATCGTACCGCTGCCCTTACCCCCATTTTTTTAAAGTAAAAGATCTTTGGTGTACAACCTTATTTGAGAGCTAATTTGCACTATTTAACTCTTTGAAAATTCTAAACAAGACGAATCAAAGGATAGAGTTGTAGCCACTAAGGTATCATTTATAAAACAACTAGAAATAGTTTAGGAAAGTTAGAATAATATAGTAAACCTAGTTGATTTAGAATCTCATAACTTTAATCTCGTAACTTTAGAATCTCCTTTCTGATTAACAGAGGTCGCACTGCTGAACTTATTGGGTACTGGAAGAATTTAAATCTTGATGTAGCAGCTATGTCAAGTTTTTATTACGATTCTATCAAAGCTATGGAAAACGGTAAGTAGTATTATGCAATGAATATCTCTATTCCTATTTCTTATCTCACGACGTTTTGAGAAGCTCTAGTCTAAGAAATTATCTTGAGCTTTGGATTATTTGTCCTCAAACTTTCGAGGAAGTTTATTTTTTGTAGCAGCAGCTTACATAATCATCAGTTTGTGGAGTTTCTGAATTTCATCCATATTATTGGAAACAACTTTTTTGTTATTTCTAAATTCCCAAAATCAGGCGATTTTGTTACAACTTGACTGATACACGTCATGTAAGATGTGAATATACTTAAGTACTGCTGTTGTCTGTCTAGATTTATGAATTTTAGAACCAAGATCAAATTACAGTGATTAGCATGCAAGAAACATGTGACGTCATGGCAATGCATCCTCAGATCTATCAGATTAGTAAAACTAGCAATGTAACAAAATATCAACCAAAGAATAGTAAACAATTCCTATACGATTTGTCTTTGTTATTTCGTCGAATTGCCGCTTTTTTGCCTGGTTGTCAATTAAGAATGTGGTAGTTGTACGAAGGTCATAATTTAAAATGCATAAGCCAATGTTGACAGGAAAAGAATAGCAAACACATTCGATCTGTTAAAATCATATCTTTGTTTGTTTAAATGCATGCATAATCTTCAGATAAGGTATAATTATATGTGTCTACCAGCGTTTAACTAGAAAGAGTAGAATAGATTATAGATTTCTTGCTATGACCTTGAAAATGCTGCTTTTATTTTGAGAATAACTTGTTAACCATGTCATAATGTAACCAAGAAATATGAATTTTCTTTATGGAAAAAACACCTTACAGCAATTCAGACAATACAGATAAAATATAAGATTAAAGAGGAGCTCCAGTTCAGCGAACGTATGCAGTCTATAAGTCTGTGTTACTACTTGTTTTAAGTTTTGTATTTTGTACAGGACATGTTACACTGATAAATTTTACTTTGATTGATTTTAGATCCAGTGTTTGGAGTGAAAACCCCTCAGCTTTACGATACACTGGGAAACTTCCTTCGAGAACTTGGCCTGCTATCACAGGTAACATTCAATTTGCACTTGCTCGTGGCTTATATAATTAATTGAAATGTTTTACTTGTGTCATGATTTCTGTCATAAATCAAAATTTTTGTTAAATCTATCTGATGGATTGTTTATATGTAACAGCTTGTCTATGGTATGTTTTTTATGCGTGAATGATGCTGGCAGCAGGTTTGACCAGCAGTTTTTACCTCATATGCTACTGTGACGGTTACCTGATTTCCTGTTCGACTTCTAATTTTTTCAAATATTTGTCATTGCCAGTTTATCTTCAGAAGCATTAGTAAGGGCCAGTAAGCGGTTGCTTTCATCTGATCATTTGCTTAAAGACTTTATACCTAACATGAACACTCAACAATGTTAAATGATAAATGCTCGGGATTTTGTTTTCCCTGCATCCACTGTCTACAACTTTTTAGGGAAACGCCATACACTTTAATCCTTTCCCAACTGTTGCTTTCAAACAGATATAGCACCTGTCTTCTCTTAAATATTACAGGCTTTACGACCCCTGGAGCGGAGTTTAGAACTAAGAGAGTCATCTTTAGACCCTGATGATCCAAGCATCGGGCAGTCGTTTCACCATTTAGGTGGCCTCTACACGCAGTGGAAAAAATTCAGGTAATTTGCCATGTATATGAATAAATCTACGGTATAAACTTTGCCGATGCTTCTTATTTATCTTCTCTCCAACGGTCATGAACTCTCTCTGCACAAAAAGTACTGCTTTCTGGGTTTAACGGAGAAAGATTGTTGAAATTTAGATAAAATGAAAATACTTTGAATTGTTTGCAGAAATACAAAGCAGTTTGATCAGAAAAATCAGAACAACTAGGATCAAATATAAGTGGAAAGCCGTTGTAGCAAAATTCTGAAAGGAACCAATGCTCCTTATATTTGGAGCTTGTTAACCTAAAGGTCTATCAAACTAGATGTTGCAAGTATTGAGAAGGCCGGAGAAAATACTGGGAGGCTCGTTATAAAAGAGGGGTGAGGGTAGGGTGGAAAATGTTTCAGTGTGTTTATGTTTCAATTCAACCCAGTTAAACCTTTGTGCACATTTTTACCAAGCTTCACCTTGTTCCTTGGAAAAAAAATTCGCTTTGGTCATACCAAAATTTTGTTGTTGTGATACATTATATCTTTACTTAGGTCTTAGCTAGTTTCTGTTAGAATGTTGCTTTCTGATAAATTTCTGTTTTTTAAAACCAGTACTGCAGAGACGATGTTTAAGCAAGCTCTGGAAATCAAAGAGAACGCTTATGGTCCTGATCACTCGTCGGTGGCAAAGGTTTGTGAAACCTTAATTGATATGACGTCCTCAGATAGGAGATAAGTCTTTGACTCAATTAAGATTTCGGTATGACGTACCACCTCCATGGCGGCACGATCCAGGCTTAACCTTCATTATTTTCTGACGTCACTGTGAAGTGGTGCCATGCCCTACCCTACCTAACTTTCATATGTCACTTTAAGCTGTCACTAAAACTTCTAATTTGAACTATGTCCAAAAAGTTGTCCATATGTGGTTCACAAGTGCGTTTGGATCAAAATGAATTTTCGTCACTTGCTGGTGGTGGCACTCATATTGGGACTTGTAGCTTGGAGCAGATAAGAAGTACCCTTTGACAAAATGGAAAATGGAAGCTCTCTGACCTTCCTATTCTTTCAGTTACCCTGTCTGTCTTTCAAGAGTAAAAAAGGGTATTGACAATCTAATCGGCTGTAAATACGCCGTTTAATCCGTGCATATCCAAATGGTCTTTTTTCTAAGGATGTCACATACAGAAAAGAAACACAAAGGGTTTTTATTGTCTTATTAACGATCTATTCATTTTAGAAATTTCTATACAGGTGCATTGTCAAAGGAGAAGCAATCGAATTCCTACAACGTCAACCAAGCATTTACCTGAATGAATAAGTTAATTCGTTGTATTAATATAGAGTACTTTGTGCCGCAAAATTTGAAGATGGCACGAAATAGCTGAAAGATAGCGGGCTGAGACACTTTTCGTCCGACACTTTTTAGAGAAACGTGGGTGGAACACTAGTTGAAAAGTTAGTGCTAAAAGAACAGAAAAATGGATTTAAATTTTCAGCTTACTTTCGGTCATTATTCGAAGATTGTACTCTGAAGATTTTTTTTATATCCATATAAAATAATACAAACATAGGCTATATTCTACTATACTTTAAATAACTATGCAACACTACAGGACGATGCCATGGGAGCAAAAATAAATGACTACACCACGACCATAACATAAAGACGTAGAACTAGACAAACATCTACTAACATCTCAGAAGATTGTCGGACGAAAAGTGATTTAGTAGGCTATATTTCGGCTATTTCCTGCCACCTATTAATAAAGTATGTAATTTTTGAATTAGGAATATTAGAGTTTTAGTATCTTTTTTTAGCTAAATATAGATTATATAAAAGTAATTCCATTATCAGTTGTCGACGCATTACTCGACACTTGTCTTTTTCTATGACTTGCCATCTTCAACTTGTGAATTTTCTTCGTTAATAGGAACTAGAAGCTTTGGCAATGTTGTATCTGATTCAGGAAAAGTATGTTTTGTATATATTTGTGAATCACAATTTTGATAGTAATAAGAATCAGGCTCGAGTGGAGCTGCATATGATGTTGAAACTCTTGCGCTGATTTATCATTAATCATCGTCGTCCCGCAGACCTTTTTATTCTCGCAGACCATTTTTATTCCCGCAGACCATTTTTATTCCTACAAACAACAATGCCAGCCAACAGCGCCTCCTTTCTCTTCCAGTATAATGTTGATAGCTGAGGAAAGTATCTAGAAACCACAAGAAACCACATTTTTTCTAATCTTCTACGTCGATTTATAAAAAAAACAAAGTTGTTCCTAAGGGGAGAGGGGATGGCTGATTATACCTTTGAAAACAAGCGTTAGTGCTTCAAGAATTTTACATGTGCATATGCGGGATTATTCGTGTACAAAATTGCCTACATTTATATCTATCCTACTGGTAAAATCTCAAGATGACGCGAAAATGCCGAAACACTGCGCATTTTAATGAGCACGTTTAGCCATAAGCTCCGTTTGCAATGAAACATCTCGTATAGGAATGAATAAAGTGTAATATATCTGTTTTTCTGTGCTATCATAAATATGCGAAAATATATCTAAAATGTGTTTAAGTCGATGGAGGTCTCCAAGTATTAAAAATAAGTTAAAAATGGAGGTCTTCAAGCGTTTCCTGTTGGGTTCAAAATAGATTTGATTATAACTAATAAATGTACGGTTTTTAGAATCCATGCAAACTGCCTTTTGATCATCACCACAGCGTATGAGCGCATTGGGCATTTAGCCCAGGCCATTCGCTTTAACTAATTCACTCTCTTCGGTCGTTTATTTAGTAATGCTCTTCGGCTTCTAGGGCATCAATGGCGGAACCACTTCGTAAAAGAGCGTTGCAAATCAACCAGAAATCAACCCGAGAGCATTCTGCCAGTTCCTCTACAAAGATTTTAAAACGCTGTGGAGAAGAGATATTTGATATCGCAGAGAAAATTTCGTCTGCTGAGATTGGGAAATCTCTAAATGATCTTGGTGTACTGTTTTTTATCCAAAACAATAATGAGTATGTTGTACATCTTCTTTAACTCTAGTTCAATGTTTATCAAGATTACTGCTTTCCAGGCTGTCACAAAGTGTTTGTGATTTGTAAAACGAGCTGTACACACTTTCTATTATAGAACAGGAAGGTTTCAAGATCCTACTTCACAAGCAACAGCCCTAGCGTAATCCTACATTTATCTTCTATCTCCGCATCCACCTTTCGTTATGATATATTCATGATTTGGTTCATAGCTGGTTAAATTTGGCATGACCAGCAGGGGCGGACACTTGATTAAATATTGGGGGAGCAAGCCCATTGTTTTAATAAGATGACGCCACATTTCCCATTGTTTTATAACAAAAGACCATTGTCCTCTAAAGTATGGGGGGCGGTCGCCCCCCCTCGTCCCCCCAAGTGTCCGCCACTGATGACCAGGCTTAAGAAACAGTAGTTAATTGACCAAACGACGCAGAAAAGTATTAATTTTATCTGCTTCGCATAACTTGTAAGGAGATAAAGCAAAGAGCACTGTGTCTCATCAAGTTTAATTCCTTAAAGACAGTTCCCCCTTTTCTTTAAATATACAAAAGGAATTTTCTTGTTGCTCCTCTCGACCTTTCGGCCAAAAGCAGATCCCTGGTTCTTGCTCTCTAATGCCCCGTGTTTTCTACGGCTTGAATTACATAAAATTTATAATAGCGCTGCTAGTCATGATGCGGTTTCGCGACTTAAGGTTAGCGATCTTTTTTAATGTGGCTTCGCTTGTACTTATTAAGAGTTTATACACGGGTTTTTTTTATAGGCGAATTGATAAATGAAAGAAGTATAGAAACAAGACCTTCACTCAGTGGAATAGTGCCATCATAATAACAAAGGGGGGGGGGGTTGCTCTTGCACAAAATGTTGTGAAAAATAGTAGCCAATGTAGAAATTTGCCAATTTTGGTTATAGCAAGGGCGCTCGGCCCGCCTGAGCCCTCTAGCCCTACATACGTGCCTACACTCTTTTCTTTGGAAGTTCCTTTGAAAAAGGAAGTGCTGCTATTTGACATCGTGTACCCATATGAATGAGCAAAGCCTAAAGGTTCTTTCTCCTTCTAGCCTGGCAAAGTCCTTTTTCATGCGTGCCCTTGAAATGAGAGAGTCGTTATTTGGCCAACAGCATCCCGATGTAGCACAGTCGCTCCACAATCTGGCCGCTCTTTATAATGATCAGAAACTGTGAGTTGTCACCTTTTATTAATCCAAGAAATCAGCACAGCCTTAATTTTCTGGCCATATTCTATCAACCTTGGAATTAAAGGCAATAGACCTTACCATAATTTTTTCTGCATATAACAAAGTTAACTGTAGATGTGAGCATATTTGCTAGGAATCTTACAACGAAGTTCCATAAATTTTGGGACAAAGGAACTATTGAAATGTGACCAAGATTAGTCATAGTGTCATTACAATTTGGAAGTTTAAATTAATGATTTTTTAACAAAGTAGATACCACCACAGAGTCATTTATTCCAAACGCTAGTCACGATATTTCTTTGCCCGATATGCCATTATCAAAATTGACTTGAAAATCAAAACAACCAAATTGTTACATATCTCACAAGATATAACATTTGTGTCATATCTTAATTTAAAGATAGCAGCTTAACACGTAGATCTCCTGGTGCTTTTTATAATAAATCGAAATGAAGACGCTTTGCACAACGATGCCTTTCTGCTTGCAGCTTCTGCTGTTTAAATAGAACTTGACGATAGTTAAAGTCTCTTAGATGATATTTAGAAAGTGAGGTGGTTATCACAATAAGCATTTGTCTTAAAACAGGTACGACGAGGCTGAAAATCTCTACGAAAAAACATTAGAAATTCGTCGAATGGTATGGCTCTTTTTTTATAAATATTCCTATTAAATTTTTTGAAGCATACCACAAGACGATGCTACAGGAATCCCGTGACAATGGAATTAAGCGTAAAGATTTCAAACTAATATTACATCTAAGTACTATAAATTGCTTATTTCAAATCACACATAACAAGTAACAGTTATAATTATGCAAATGAAAATTTCCATCAACAATTTAAATTTATAAAAGAGACAAGAAACACCAGAAAGAATACTTTGAACAGCAGCTTATTGAAGCCGTTCTGAGGCCTGTATTTATTATGATGTTGCTGCGATAATTTTCGTATTTAATTCTACATAAGATAACGTTTCGTGACAGTATAAGATAATTTGAGATAAAGTTTTTTAATCCATGTGGTCTCAATATCGCTGTCACACAGACAAAATGGTAGCCTCTTTCTGTACCATAAGCATGGCAGAGCAACAAAAGTGTTCTGTACCCTGAATACCATCATGCATAAAGAATATAAAGCATAAAGGATTTACAGTGCCGCTGTATTTCTGTCTGAATTTACAGAAACAGCTTGTTGCGTCGAACACGAAGCTGTGTTAACATTGGTAAACCTTTTAAATCATGCATTTTGTATGCCAGTTTTGGATGTGGCGGACTAGTGCTACTAGTTGTTTCTTTAAGCAGTTACTGAGCACGAATGTTTCTTTTTGACTACAGTAAAGACCCTATAGAGCATCCACTCTGACTACTGTAAAAACCCTATTAAGCTTACACTCTTTTCTTTTATAAGAATTCTCGTTATAAGACATCGAGACTCGATTTCCGTAAATTTAATAATAGTGTAAGATCATGTCCTAGAAGAAAAAACAATATGTTCTGGAAAATTTTCAATATACTCTTTTAACAAATCAGAACAGATTTTTGAAGCTTATGAACCGTGCTACTAAACATGCAATCAAAAGGGACCATTTACGGGCGCTACAACAAGTTTATAGTATTTAGTTATAGAAAAGTAAATGTTGACAAAGGAACAATATTAAGAACACATGAGCCTCAAATTATCCTAAAACAAGAACATCAAGCCTCAGCATAATCTATCTAGCTCTAATATATGAAGAGTGTATTCGAAGAGAGGCTTATTCGAAGAGGGGCTCATTCGAAGAGGGGCTTATTCGAAGAGGGGCTTATTCGAAGAGAGGCTTATTCGAAGAGGGGCTTATTCGAAGAGGGGCTTATTCGAAGAGGGGCTTATTCGAAGGGACCAATTTATTTCATGCATCTTTATGTCTACCAAAAATATTCAAAATCATATATTGACTCGCTGGGAATAAAACGAAGTAAAAACCACTTATTCTAGGTTGGGGGCTTATTTGTCAAAAAATGCTCAATACTCGGAGGAGGAGCTCAATCAAGTCTTAACTGTCCTGGAGCAATCAATTTATAAAGCTTGCATTTTATGTGTGTCAACGTTATGCATGACCATTATGTAGTCAACTGTAAATGAAAACACAGAACCAGAAACCTAATCTAAAGGCACTCTAACTTTCGACATTACACAGTTTATCTCTAATATTTCATTTTATCAAAAATTGAAATATTTTTATACTAGTCAGCTCCTCCTCCTTGTATTAAAAGCGTTTATAAAAGATAAATTAAATCTTAGCCTGGATCTTTCTTTTGAAAATTGTGCAACTTGAGTAGAAAAGTCGCTTTTTAGACATTTTTTAAAGGATGCTATTGCTCTTTTTTCGGACTTTAACTCGATTGCATCAATAAATCCTAATCTGTTTGAATTTTCGATTATCTTTCAACAAATTAGGTTGCATTTTCATGGACATAAATTATTTGTTTTACTTGTTATTTTACATGTAACTTTTCTCAATAGAATTTCCCTTTGGAAAATCCAAGCGTGCAATCCACTTTGAGACACCTAGCTGGCTTGTATCGCAAACAGGTATTAAAATTTTTAACAATGCCATTTTAGTGAGAAACAGTAGAAAAATAATGAAGATTCTCTGCATTTTCAATAGGGGATCTTTGTCCAAAGCCATTAATAACCATAAAAAGTCAGTGTTAAGTGTGCTGTCGTTTTATTTGTATTCATTTTCCAACAAGGCTTTGCTTTGAATTCTAGTCTGTCTGCAAAGTAAGTTTGTTGTAGACTCAGCAACATGAAACATTTCCTTCCAGCTTCTGTCATTGTTATTGTTGCAAAATTAATTATTGAAATTGTGAGAGATTACACTAACATGAAAAATTTTCTTTCAGGGAAAGTTCGAGAAAGCAAAGAAACTTTACAGGTACCGTATATTAAGATTCTGTTTTAAGTATGATGTCATGAAAATATATTTTTGACATCATGAAAATATATTTTTAGATTTTCTAATTTTGACTATATAACATAAAGGAACACCATTAACTATTTCTAAATATGCAAAATGAGTTTAAAATGTCAAAAATCAGGGGAAATATTGCCAATTAAAAATTTGAAGTTTGCTAACAGATTATGGTTATTTTTGCCCTGTTCATAAGTTAGGAGCAGAGACCAAATAACTGAGGTTTGATGGGGAAAGAGCCTGTGCTTGAGTAGCAATACCTCAGCCAATTTGTAACACATTTAACTGATTTTGCACCTTTCGTTCGGGGAGAGTTTTTGATGTTCTTTCAGGTTAGAGGATCCAAAATAACAAAATTCTGAAAAAAGATTTTTCCGACATAGCCACATTAGGACTCTATTACTCTGATAATGATATTATGAATTTTCATATGTATCTTCAGATGCAATTTGATTCTAGTTTTCCAACACTTTTTGGGAACAATACTAGAATAACTGTCTTGAAAGGTCATTAAGTAACAATGAATTTATTTTGACCTTTTCTTCTTAAGGGAAATATTAGAGATCCGAGAGAAGAGTCTTGGGGAACACCACCCAGGAGTTGCAACTGCTGTTAACAACCTAGCTGTCCTAATGTGCCAAATGGTATCAACACAGCTTTCTACAACAGTTCTATCTTACTTTTGTACTGCCAAAGCACCATGTTTATAGCACTATAGGGAAATTGCTTTACTTTGTCACTATGTTATTCATCCTTCTTTTCCTGAAATATATTCTATTCATAATGTCAAAGATTTATAGCTTTTGATTGTACTTTAAGACTTTTTGCAAAGGTTTTCACATGTAGCGACATTCGAAGATAGCATGGTATTGGGAAAACGTTTCATATTTGTGTAATGTTTGATAGCTTATTTTTAAGTATGCTATGTTTTTGCTGTTCCATGGAATCCATAAAGTTTGCATTATCAAAGGCTTATTTGAATTTGAAATTGATGCGGGAAAACAAGATGTAGAAGTAGAATAGAAGGCCAAAGAGGAAAATGCACAGGGGACCTTTAGAATTATGAGATTTGTCCTCTTAGGGAATCTTGTTTCTATCACTTCAAGAACTTCCATTTTTATCTAATAAAGACCTAGTCTTTTCTTTTCAATTAAACATTATATGCATGGTCTATATTTTTAAACCTGTTTTGGCAATGCCTTTCTTTGTTTGCTTGTAAAGCCTATCGTTTTTCCATAGTGATCTAAAGCATATCATTGTTGATTGTGACAGGCCAATATCTTATTTTATATTTTTATATTTATATACCATATTTATTTATTTTTTTTGTATGCAACAACATTTCCTGTTTCTAGTTTTTGCAGAGCTGCAATTTTTGTTATTAAAGATAACAATTCATGTTTCCACCAGTTTTTCCTAGGCTGAAATTTCATTTACCTTTACTTCAAGCAAGCTCTTTACTTTTATCTCTCTACTGTAAAATCTTTTTGTATTTCTCTTTGCAGAACAAACATCAAGAGGCACTTCCGTTGTTTGAGAGGGCCATCAAGATTTATGAAGAGCATGTTGGTATACAACATCCCAGAGTATCTGAAATATTGCAGAATATGGCAAAGCTCTATTTAGATGCAGTAAGTCATAAATTTTTACCTGTGAATATTTTTGTTTTCTTTGATATTTGTTTTTGTCCAAAACTGATTAAAATTTTTATCATTTGATACTCGCCTATCACTATTACTACATCAACATATATTTGACCCTGATACTATAAATTTTGCATGACAAATTTCTGGATGTTTCTGAAAGATTCATGTTTTGGTTCCTGGTGTTGTAGTAAAACTTGAAGTCAATTTTTTCCTCCAAGGGAGAAACACAAGAGGCTGCAAGGCTGTTTAAACAAGCCCTTGACCAAGGGCGTACAACATACTACCCTCCATCTCATTTGCCACGCTCTTTAACACGATTAAAAGAAAATGAGTCTGACTCAAAGTTCAAAGACATTGGGTCTCGGAGATCCTCTTTCTCATCAATTGTGCGAATACAGAACACATCATGACAGTAGGAGCTGCAAACAAGTGATGTATGGCTTCTTTCCCGTCATTTTATTTAAGATATTTGATGAGAAAGCATAAACAGCGTAGAAAATTCAAATGTTCAGATAACAGCGTAGAAATTTCAAACACCAGGTACTTTTTAAAGAAATACAGTATTGTGGATATTCACGGTATTTGTGGTTTTTGGCCCAGAAGCTTTTAAAGAGAGTTTGTTTTCACAATGAGTTGCATGATATGAGATGATTTTGGCAAGCTTTTCATGGAAAAAGTAGGGCTTGTTTTGCAAAAGATATTTTGTGGTGGGGGTGCATTTCAAGGGGTGTTTACTCAAAGGTGGTGGCTAATTTGAGGACTTCCGATAAAGAGTCTTTTCATGTCAAAGTTCATCAAATCTTTTCAATTCTGGTAAAGGTATTCAGCTAAACTTGTAATGTCTCTATCACATAATAAGCATATTGGACAGACCTTTTAACCATTTTCTAGACTTTTTTGGACTGATTGTCATGAAGACTAATATTATTTGTGCTAAAATGATATTCTCTTTTTTATCCACTAGGATATCTGCGGAAACAAAATTTCAGATCTGCCAATACATAATTGAATTTGCGAATTGGTGCTCACATTTGGAACAAAGTTAGTAGACTATGGTACTTATTGGACTATGTTCATGTCATTGACTTTGTGCTGCAACCGATACAGATATCATTAATTTCATGAAAACTGGGCAAAGTGTTTTAGACTCAGCAAGGCTTGTGACCGTTGAATAAAGATTTATCTGTTCTTTTATTCTCTCATTGTATAGGGAGTTATTAGGGAGTCACTGTTTGGGGAGTGGTGAAGGTATTTTAACTTTTAAAATCTTTATCAGTTTATATTGTTGTGCAATTGTTTTTATAGTTTTTTTCATTGTAAATATCACTAGCATTTTTATTTAAAAAACGAATTTATGTAGCAGTATTTGTAAGATTTTGAATTTAATATACTGTCTATTAAACCCATATGAACTTTTGGAGACTGCAGCTTTAGTAGATTACAGCTTCAAGACTTAAAGCTATACAATATTTTTGACTTCTTTCCACCTTGTACCAAAAAGAGAATTATGAAAATGCCTCATGTATACCTCTAAAAGTGAGATACTATGAAACTTTCAAGTTTAAGGCACTTCAATGTTATCATATTCCATTTGGTTATCATAACAGAAATATTGTGCAATTGCAATTTGCATTGTGGTTCAGCCCACATGTGCCCTATTTGCTTTCCCAGTTTCAACTATTAAAAAGTATTGTGGTAACCTTTTGATATATTTCAAGTATTTATTTTTAAACATTTGTAAATATTTAATCTTATTTATTAAATATGTAATTAAATTGCAATCATTTTAAATATTTGTTGCCATCATATTATCAATGTTCAGTAGCATCTCCTATCATTCATTCAAAGGTTGTTCTGAAGAACACGTCAGCCAAGATACTTAATCCATTTCCATTTGCAATACCCTTTCTGTCAATTTTTTACCACACCCTTCTCAGGGTCATGTGAACAGGTTAAATAATTTGCTGGAATGATGTCAATTTATTGTTTTAAAGATCTTCCAATGATTTACATTTAAATCTTCAAATTTCACAGTAAATATAAGGAAGCTTTATCTCCTAGGGTTAAAAACTTTGTAAATGTCCCATTGAACACTTTATTCCAACATGAAACAAAGCTGAGTTGAATGCATGAAAGGAAAAACATTGTGAATGTAAGAAATTTGTTTCAAGTGCTTATTTTTGTAAGCATATTTGGCCTTTGCCCTGGATCCCTATCCTGTACCCACTCAGCAGCAAATCTGAAAGTGGTGCAAACACCAGGGACATTAAAGACAACTACTACTTAACTATTGATAGCAGACAACAAGACAATGACCACACAATTTTCTCTATTGATTTTGTGGAGGAAAATAAAATAATAACAGATCATGTAACAGAAAGTATAATTCCAGAAGTAATGCCCTCGTAATCTTTGTTATTTATTGTTGGTGGCTCTATATGAAGATTTTTTTGAACTACCCAATAACTTTCAACATGGATTCAAATACAAAATACCAAAGAATGTAAAATGGTATGGTGACAAATGTTTTGTGTAACCTAATCAGCTCCAAATGATAATGCTGAATTTCAAAACGCTAAGGGACAAATTATTTGTGCATTACAACTATTATCCTGGAAAACAGGTGTAAAAATCTTTCAAACTACAACTGTTAACACTGTGTGAAAAAAATCCTATTTGCTATAAAGTATAATTTGCCTAGCACTTTTTCTTCATTTCCAGCCACCTATAGCACGATCAAACTTTAATTGCTCAGTTGCAAGTGCACAATGGTGTGACAGGATATTATTGCCTTCTAGCAGAAATGGCCTGTGGTGTCAACTACACATATAATTCGTGTTAAAACCAAAAATTGTTTTACGATAAATCTAAACACAGCAAAGCATCATAAATGTGTTTGTCCAATTTTGTCTCTTTAAATGGGAACTGGACGCTGAAGTCTGTGATCATCCCAGGCAATGAAGTGGTTGTTGATGCGATATCCATCATCGTATCCTCCTCTGACTTTGTATACAGTGTCGAAACTTGGAATGTTGAAGTACCTGAAACATATAAATGTGTAAAACTCTAAAAAATTTATCATTTTCTTCTAAAAACTTCATTTTTTTTGTCAAGAAACACAGTAAGGATGATACACTGGATTTTGCTGATGCAAGCAACTTAATGAGGTAAACTGTTGCTAGGATACTTCCAGTCCAGAGTAGCAAAATGACTTTATTTGAAAGAGGACAGGGCCAAAAGCAGCAATATATATAAATATTGGGGCTAGCTGAAACTTGCTGGTTCCTTACAAGGCTGTATCTAAATCATATCTTCCCCTTGTTAGCCTATAGATGCAGAAACACTATTTACCTCTTTCTTTAAGACAATTTTGAAAACTTTATTCGAAAGTGGTTCTAAATCTTCGTCAATTTTACTAATTAAAGTAAATTACAAGTCAGACAGACAAATTTAGATTCTAGAAGAATGAAATGAAGTTAGGTTCCTTTACCTGCCAAGGACGTCATCTCTCAGCAATTTAACAAAGTGCAAGAATCTTTCGGACATAACGGTCAACGGCTTGAGTGACCAGGCCTTTTCCTCCGAGGCAGCTCTGACGTCATCTGGGCAGTAGACGAATATGCCACGAGACATGGCAGTTTTAGTGGTGCAGTCATCAAAATGGGAATCATGGGGTGAAATGTGCATTGCTGGGTAGCTGCAGGTGCAGAGACTGATGTATTTTGGCTCTGGAGAAATGCTTATCAAACTATGATGGCTTCTGTAATGATTCAAGAAATAGAGCTGGCTGAAGACTTGTTGGTCACTTCCATCTTCCACTCTCTTGGGCGACCTTTCACCGCTTTTTGCAACAAGGTTGTAAGGCTGTACAGACAGCACTTTGTTGGCAAACCACTCATGTGCTCCGTCACTGCCACCAAAAATTTTTGACACCAAGTTGGCAACAACCTGATCCCTATGCTTCTTCAATCCATTTCCGACATCTTTTGGCACATCGCTTGAAGCTGGATATTCGACATTGTCAAAGAACGGGAACTTCATATCCAAGAGCGCGTGAGAGAAATCTGGTTCGCCATTTCTCTGGTAGTGGCAGTACAGCAAGACAACGAGGTGATCAAGAACAGAGAAGAGATCACTTACAAAGTGCTTGAACACGACGTTCTCGTTCTTGGCACTGAAATGCAGAGTGCCTCTGTTCAGCATTAGATGCTTTCGGTTGTATTCGACCGCCGTGACTGAGGCAGCAAGGAGCAGTGCGTCAATTTCATCCACCATTTGACGCCCGAAAACTTCAGGCCAACGCACGATGCACTGCTCAAGAGTGCATTCGTCTCCTGACCAAGATTTTCGTGTCTCTTCTGGGAATGAAGCAATGTTATTGTACCATTTTTGAAGGTGAGTCAGTGCTTTGGGGATCTGTCCTTTGCATACGTTCTTCAGAAAAGTTTGCGTTTCTGTGAACACCACATCGTCCTCTTTCGAAGGCCCATCTCCACCCAGAAACCTTTTTGTTGCAAGGTACTGATTCAAAAGAATTAATTTGTAGCTATCCATGCTTCGTTTGACTTTTGGCCTACCAAAATTGACAATATTTTGACCTTTCACTGTCCTTCGCAAGCGATTTGTCCTCTGGAATGGGTGTCCTTGCCGTAAACTCTATCCGTCCGACAAATGCCTTCTTGGGACTGAGGCAGAACAATAGAGGAAGCTGTCCTTTAAAACTCGAAGCAATCACGTGGGTCGAGGGGCGTGCGACCCGTCACATCTCGTTAACCACACTTTATTTGGCAAAGCTCCGATTATGCGACCTCTTGGGGCAAAATTTAGCCTCAAGTTACATAGAAAACAAACTCATCTGTACGAAAAAGCGTGTTTTAAGAACTTATTGCAAAAGAATTTTACAAAATTTAAATGTGCAGTTACGGCACATCTACTCCGTACCAACCAATCGGGGATCATATGGTGTTTTTCTGGCGTTTAAAACAATAGGGGGAATGCTCTTTCATGTGATCAGATTCACTAGGGCGCAAAGGTGATGGTGATTGCCTTGAAAATTGGACTAGGCCGCGTGCAAGTAGTTTTACTTGTTGCCTTCTTTTCAGATTTTATGGAAAAAATAATAAATTTTTTAGTATAGTTAGTGTTACTAGTAAAATGACTTAAGGAATTATATGCAGGGAGTAAAGGTCATTGTACAGTGTGACCGAGAGGACCTTTGAACTTGTTTCAGATTTTAGGCCCATTTGTTTGTGTAGGTACGCTTGCACCAGCAAAGAGTGAAGAAGCTCTACCTCTAAAATGGTGGTTATAACAGCCGTAGAAGTTGTAGATGTAAGGTTTCCAACTTCACTGGAACTTCATGGCTCTGATGCAATGGTATTACTTTTTTCTTCTACGCGTTCGAGTATATTTTCTCATAACTTAACTTATGACATCAATATAACATTGAACATTCAGTTGAAAACCCAATACATGAACATGTGCAAATCGAAGTCTGGTAGTCCAGCAGTCCAATATAGAGATCATGCAGCATATGTACACAGATCTATTCTGTGATATGTATTAGGATAAGTGCAATAGAACAGTAAAATGAAAAAGCGCGTCAACAATTTCAAAGGACTGATAGTATCGCCATTACTTGATTTTTGTATGCATTTGTTTCTCTGTTGGTATTTGTATTCTGTAATTGTGGTCTAATCACCTTTTTCTGTATATTGTTAGTTTTTTAATTGTATGTAATGGAATTTAAAAGTATAAACTGAGCTAAACTGAGCTGAACATTAGTGTTTTAGAGGAATATGGTTTGATGAGTGAAAAGTATTAAAATTTAGGCCAAAAGTTTGGTTCAGTACTTTTGACGTAAAATAAAACAGGGTCTCCGACGAAAGGGGGCAAGGCCCCCCCCCCCACTTTTTTGCAAAACAATAGAGTTTTTTCAAAATCCTTTGTTATGGGTGTTAAATTCTCTCTTGCCCCCCCCACTTTTCAACCTTTGTCGGAACCCATGTAAAAAAAGCTATATGAATAAAAATTCTGAATAAAAAGTATTTTTATTCAGATTATGTATTTTTCATCACTGAAAACCATTTATAACAATTAATTTGCATTATTTGACTTAGACACCTTTATTATTATCTATCATTTTTTCATTTTTAGCACAAGAGCCCAGATTATTCTGCAGCCTATGTTACTTTACACACAAACCGAGGTAAAAAAGGACATGGAATTGGTTTTACTCTGGGAAAAGGAACATGCCTAGGTATAACTTTGTTGCTATTTTGCAGAAATTTTTTAACCAAAATTAGCAAATTTAATCATATTGTCTCCAAATGTGAAGTCATAATTTTTCTTAGTTTCAGACCAGTATAGATTCCATGGCAGCTGCACTCCAGATAAATTTTGCATTCCCTAGAAGCAATGCACTCCTGAGATCCCATCAAAAACTGCCATGAAATCCAGACTGGGTTTCAGAAATTGTCTTTCTACTCAAGTTAACTAACTTTACTAGCAACAGCTTATAAGTCATTTGTGTTTAACTTCTCAAGGTTAGTTAGCTTTTTGTGATGGTTACCAAATTCAAAATACTATACTGGGCTGTGCAAGCAATATAGAACTCTTGAGTTTTTTCCAAAATTTGTCCAAAAGTCTTGCTCCAAAACTTCAAGCATTTCTATCATATACAGAATGTTCAAGCAGTTATTTCTACATTTTACTGTTTTTATTATACCCTATTACTTACTATTGGAGCTATTGCCCTTACAAACTACTACTAATTTTTTTCAAACTCCTTTGAAATTATTGATATTCAGTAGATATGTTCATTACAAATTTGTTCAATTGCAACTTTATTCAACCTGAAGCACAAGTGGTAACAATGTAGTAACTGTGTGTAGGTCAGAGAATAGTTTAGTAGAAACATGTTTGACATCACTACCAATTATCGTGACTAAAAACCCCTCATCAGCACTCAATAATTGCAGGATCAGGAAATGAGAAGAAGGCCAGGGATTACCTTAATAAGAATTCCTTTCCTGTTTCCCAAAATCTTGCTTGGTAACTAAGGAGCAACAAATTTTTATGAAAAATACAAAGGTTATCATATTTTCAAGCATTGTCTCCAAGAATATGAAACCCTGCTGCTTCATAGCTATGAATTTAAGTTGAACAAATCTAATAGTCCTTCTTTCAAAATTTTTGTGTGACAAGGTACAACAAAATTTACATACATCAATATTCATTGAAAATTAGGAGTGTTTTCTTGTAATGAATTATCCAAATTCAGAGTTTTGTATACTTCCATTTAAAGATTTTAAGTTTACAACATAGCCAATTTCAAATTCTGTTTTGCTAGTTGTTCAGGCAGTGGAGCTTCTAAAGCCCTTGGTTGTTGGTGTTGAGTTTGAAGAAATAAAAAACAATTTCAGACAGTTCTGGAAGGATATGACCAATGAAGATCAACTTCGCTGGGTAAGAAGTCCTAGATTGTAGAACTAAATTTTAAATAAATATTTGTAAAAACAGTGAGCACTGATAAACAGTGCATTTATTACATGATAAACATGAAGCCTAACAGCTTATATTTTTATCTCTAAAAGGGCCATATATGGAATAATGAATTTTTTGTCACACCACCTCTTTGTTGTGTAATTATAATCTTAATAGTGAGGCTCTTTCTTACATAGATATCCAGACTAACCCCCTGCCTTCCAATTGATATCTACAACCAGTGACAGAACCAAAGGATGTAATAACCCCCCCCCCCCTTTTATCAAAACATGGTTCACATATTGGTTCTAAAAATTGCTAAAAATGCAGTTGGTAGTATTAGGTCATATTTGTTAAGATCTATCTGATGAATATAAAACTGGTAAAACGCACTTAAATGAGACAAAATGGGCATTGCATGAACCCATTAACATGATGTAGGTGATATCTACAGTTCCCAACCCCTATTCGACCAAGATATGTTTCAGAATTTTTATTGCTTCATTTCTTAAGCTTGGGCCAGAAAAAGGAGTTATTCACATTGCAACAGCAGCTATTGTCAATGCCCTTTGGGATCTATGGGCCAAGATAGAGAACAAAGTAAGTCCCTTTGAACTATTATTAATTAATCAGTTTTTGTTCTTGGTAAATTTTTGCTGTTGCTATTTGCAGTCTTCAAGTTTGCTAGTTCTATTAAATCAGATGAATTATCATTCTTTTGCATAACCAGACCAATTCTTTTGCAACATTGTATAGATTTTGAGCTTCCTAAGGAGAGGTTCATTTATATGAAGTTCAAGATAACCATCAGGCTGATGTTTTTATTCATTGTTTATCATTTTCATCTTGCAGCCATTATGGAAGCTAGTGGTTGACATGGTATGTTTAATTTGAAGTCCTTACAATGGTGGTACCACAGGGGGACTGGTGGATATGCCCCACCACCCCCCACTTCTCAGCAGGAACAATTTTGAATTTTATCTAAATTAGTTGAAAAAATGTTGACTTAATATTTGGCTATGACTTAATATTTTTTGTGATGTGGTTGTATGATTTTGAAACTGCCTTCCTGTAAGCAAAAAGTTTATTATTTTGGGCCTTGGCAGTTGGTAAAATTAATGTTCAGCAAAAGTGTGTTTTCCCAGCCAGAAAAAAGGCATGGTCTAGATTAAGGTTTGAGAGTTTTACTTGATAAAAAGATGGGATGTATGATCAAGTTTTCACAATTTCGATAAAAATTATCAAATCAAACTGACATACTTTTTTCAACTTAACAAGTTTATGATATATCAAATGCTTTTTGTGGCTGAATTTGCTTTAAAACTCTTTTTCGAGCAATCATTTTGTTGCTGATTTTTTTCCTTTGTATTTGCTTCTACCTAGCATCTGAAGTTAGTTTTAGGACACTTAGGTCTATGCTTATGAAGCAGTCTCCAAGCATATGGATGTGACCAAACCTTTTAACTCATTCAGCTTGAATTGAAGTGAACTGGCAAGTTCCCCAAGGCTAAAGTAAAAGTTTTGAACCCAAGACCCTTGGATCTGTGGTCTGTGACCCTAGCCACAGAGCCAGCCTCAAACAGCCAATGGCAAACAAGAGCCAAACATTGGCACCTAGTAATGGCATCAAAGACATTTTTAGCTTGAAAGGCCCTTTAAGAAAATTAGTTGATGGCTGTTTTATCTGTTGTTTCAAGCGTTTGGACAATTTCCTCTCCTGAAAAGGGTTGTATGGAAACTGGCTCTGTCTTTAGAAGAATGACATCTCATCTGATATTTTATCCATTTAGGAACCAGAGCAGCTTGTTTCAACTATTGATTTTACTTATATGTGAGTATTTTAAATTTTTCTGTATTTTTGATCAAACCTCAATCTTATTTTTTTAAATAGATGCAGCATGTTCAGGGTTGTATTGTAAGAGCCATCGAATAAGCGCCCTCTCGAATAAACGCCCATCTTATCAGAAAATTCTTGAGAAAGGCCCCCTCGAATAAGCACCTAACCTTTAAGAATTTAGCCAAAAAGACTTTCTGAGACGTAGGATTTTGTCTTAATGGAGCCAAAAAGCCAAAAAGAGTAGAAATAAACAACAGTTTGTTCTAGTTTCAAAACTATTCAGTCTTTTTTCATTTTTTCATAGTAAGAAAACATTTTAACAATATTTAAGTCGACTATCTTTTTTTTCTTCGAGCTTCTCCAAAAAATTTTGGCACAAAATTTTCTCCAATAAGCGTTCAGGCTAAAAGGTTAGATAAGAGCCAAAAGGCTTGATAGAGGATTAACGGTATATGTCACCAAAATGAGCTATTTTAAGGCATCTGATATATTGTTTTTTGGAAAAAATAAGATATAAACTTATCCTGTCACAAAACTCTCTAATTGAGTTACTTTTATAAGCTAATTTTAAAAGGGGATTTTCAAATTTGAGTTCAACAAAATACGATCAAAACTATTTCATTTTTGTTAACCTGTGCAAATATATGGACAAACTGTTATTCTTCCCAAAGCTCTTTTGAAGAATTACCCACGTCGCTGTTAGTGTTTAAAGCAGGAGTGTAATGCGCGGGAGGTCTAGTGTTGCTCAGCCCTGGTTGTCAATCAAATACGAATGAAAACCTGCTACCGAATGTTTGGGAAGTGAAGGGTAGGATCCGGAGGGTTTTGAAGGGTCACCTTATTGTATTTTTTCAAGAGTATTTTGCCAGGTTTGTAGGTTAAAAGATCTTTTGTGCGTTTTTTCTGTCTTCTTGTTACAGTAATGTTTTTTGGTTTATAGCTCAGATGTCATTACAGAGCAAGAAGCTATTGGTAAGATTATCTCTTGAAGCTATCTGTCCACTGCTTAGGTTTATATTATGTCAATCACTTGCCTGGCTATTTCTACGTCACTTTGGTGTCGTAGATTCATCGTAACCTTTTTGTACACTCGAGAATTGCAATTTTTCTTTGTTAGTCTCATTTTTCTTTATAAGGTATTTTTCGCTATAAGCTGAAGTAAGGGAAGACATTTTGGGGAAGTGATCGATGGGGCAAGAGACTCACGAGATTAGAAAATTATCGGAAAATGAAAGATTTTGTCAGTAAAGTTAATATTTAGGTTACATCTGTGGCAAAAAAGGTGGAAAATGAAAGGTCAGGAGTAAAAAAAAGTTTCTTAATAGGAAAAATCTTTGTTCTGAGGGTGAAGAGATTTTTCGTATGTCTTTTGACATCATATTACTTTTTTCAGCATACAAATTTTTGTCTGTTGAGTTGACATTATCACTCCCCCACGAAAAATGGCGAACTCTTAGCTGAATTATAAGTAGAATATCATTAGACTTTTTTCTATCATTATGTTATAATCCTGTTTGGAAAAATTCAGTGCTGTTGTTTTCTACGAAATCGGATTGTTCTGTAGTGGACCTCGTCACACCACTGTGGTTAGGTTTTACAGCGATATGTAAAGAACTGTAAAGAACTGCACAAATGATTTTGGAATGAACTTGTGAAAAGGCGAGAAACTTTACTTATAATCGTACTCTAGCCGAAACAGCTATCATTATGATGATGATGATATTTTTATTAAAGCCTATTTATAGTACTTAAATGTACTAGATTGTTATTGCTTAAGTGGTAACATTTTATGTCAATATTCAAATTTGATTTTTTACTAGAAATGTTGAAAACAAAACAACCCGGAAAGACCGAAAGAGGTTGGTTATATCTTCTTTCGTAATTATTCATAATTCATAATTTTTTTCATAAGTGTCCTGAATGATTACTTCCTCAATGATGGTAGACTATGATAACATTCTGCTTGTACACTGATGTTTATACGAGAAGGACAACCCTGTGAGACCTTAGGACTTAAGAAGAACACCAGAAGCGAGTTAGCTATGCAATGTCTAAAGGAAGACATCGTAAAATTTGGAAAAAATTCACGACTCTGAAAAATTCAAAAAATTGGACGAAAAATATATGCACGTTGTGAAGCAAACAGGGATTAGAAAAATTTTTCAGTCTTGAAATATGGCTTTAAAAAAAAGCAAACTTTTAGTAAAATAAAGCTTTTCGTCTGACACTCTTCAGAGTTTAAAACGTCAGAACATAGATCGAAAACTCTACGCTAGGAAATATATATACCCAGTTTCTCGACCTTTTTTAAATAATGGAAATGTTTTAGCATGCACTCCATGTTTTTCTCAAATAATCAGCTACCTCGAGATGATATCAGGAAACCATACGCTCTAGTGGATAATTTCGTAGACAATCAACGCCAGGAACAACGCAAGAAAGCAAAGCTTCTTATTAATGGGAATATTTTCTCATTACAATTGACAAAACTAGCTGGGTAAGATAGTTCTTCTTCTCTTTAATTTCTTTTTTCCGTAACTTTTCTTGCTAGCTGTTAGTTTTTGTGAATTGTAGAAAAGTACCTTAGAATCAATGGCTACCCAGCATACACAACATGCGTGGGCTGGATGGGCTACAGCGATGAAAAGATCGTGGAACTGTGTCGGGCGAGGCTGAAAGAAGGATGGACCAGGTAGAATTCCACTGTTTTTTACTATTTCTGCTTACATAGAGAGCATTCTGTAGAAGACAGTGTTTAATGAAACGTGGAGACTGTTAAACAATGTTAAAGTTAAAAGAAGACGTTATAAGGATGAGGTTAAAAGGAAATGATGTTTCTTTGTATTTTAAGACAAGTTTTGGGCGCATTTGTCTATGAACGGAGCCATTCTGCTAAATCTATTAGCTATCTACACTTTTTATCGAGTTCAAGATTCCTGGCTTTGGGTTTTTTTATTACTAAACTCTATTTGACGAGTTCTTAGACCTTTTCTTGATATAGGTCTAGACAAGTAAGCGAGACTGGCGTAAAATCTAGCTGCCTAAACTAGCGTATGACATAAAAGATAATTTGGACATAGCCACCTGTCTCACGCAGCCATCCAATAGCAGAGCTGATTGGTCAAAAACGAAAGCACAATCAAAACAGCTGATCAGATAATGACCTGTGATGAAAAAAGCGTTCGTCGGCACCAATTTGAAGGAGCTCGGAAAGGCGGGAAAACACAGCATTCTTAAATACCTTTAGTCCGATCCCGGGGGGGGGGGGGGGTACTCCCATTAAGGCTTGACAGGGGTCCAGTCCGTTTGAGGGTCTTACCAAATGGCTACCAAATGGCCCATTTTCGATAATAACTAAACTGCTCAGTTTAGCTTGCGATTTGTTATAGATAATGAAAAAGATTTATCTTTCCCGAAACAACAACAATCAATTATGAAGAAATTTGTCAAAAAGGACCAGGAGAGCACAAAGAAATGGATGCTACCAAGGAAATAATTTCGGTTTTTATGCTACCGTTTGAGGGGTTTTATCAAAAAATACTACCATTTGAGGGTAATTTTCTAAAATTTTAACGCTCGCCCTCTTTGACCCTGACCGGCCCCCTGTCAGACCATAATGGGAGTACCCCCCCCCCCCAGGGAGTCCGATACTCCCTAGAGTGTAAACGTTGGGTGATGACTAAAGGTAAGCGGAAAATTATATTCAGATGTTGATCTAAAATGGCACCCATGATCGGTTCATTGGTTGGACCGATCGGTGGCCGCTCAACGCTAGCCTGTGTTCCAGACCCCTAACTTGAAAGTAGAGGTCTACTTTCAAGTTAGGGGTCTGGAGCACAGGCTACTCAACGCTTGCTTGTTGGAGAGAGGAAACGAACTCTTTCTGCCTCAACAACTCGGTATCCATTGCGTTGATATAAACAGATTCCAAATGAAAAGATGACCTTGCTTGCCAAATGATTTTAAATTGTTGCAACTATACGTTTCCGCCCACTCTGCACTCTTTAATAAATTTTTGTCTATGCAAGAGTATTTGGGCATTCTAATTTTTTCAAATCTCCTATGATACTAGCCAATCAGATGTTTCTCACGGGTCAGGCAACGAAAATTTAATTTTTGAAGTAACGGTTTTTTCTATTTTCGCTCAATGTCGAGCCAAGGTTTACATTTTCAGACCAAGCTCACGTGCGCAAACTCTGGACCATGCTTCTAAAGCAGATTAATGTGCCTAACTAAGATTGAGCCCAGAATCTCAGGCCCAGCCAAAATTTATGTGCCGTTCCCACATTTGCTTTTCCAGACCAGGCCTTTCTTTCCAAAACCAGAACAGTTTTCTTGGTCAGATCAACCTTTCCACTTTTGCTAGAACAGGCCTGACGGAATAAGCATCGATTCAAAATTTCTTTGTTTTTTTCAGCTTCAAGGTGAAAGTTGGTGCTGATATAGATGACGATGTTAGGAGATGTAAACTTGTCCGACAAGAAATTGGCTGGGACAATAATTTGGTGAGTGTTTCATTCTGTCCTCAGTGTTATTCTAGAGGCAATCCATCACCTCCAATCATATGTGCTCTGTTGATTTTTATTCTGTATTCCCTAAAAATTTAATGAAGCAATTCAGGGCGATGGTACTGAGTAGTTGGCAATACGTTGCAGCTGAAAGCAGCTAGGAAAAGGGACTGGCTACGTTAACTAATCTTGTTGTTGGCCCCCTCTATACATACAGTATACGTCGAATTCTTCTTTACTTCAATAAAGTTCCACAGTGTTGACATCACAAAAATCTATTTCTAGAATTTTGCAATTTTAACCAGATAACCTGAATTAACATTGAAAAATTTTCTAAAATTTGCTGATATTTTCCTTTCAAATTGCTGTAATTTGGCCTTGGCTCATAACTTTATGAACTATGTAGTCCAGGATATCAGAAATACGTTGGTATTATTAATTGGAGTTATCTCACCAAATTTTTAACATATATATACCTTATTTTGCTTTATATATTAAAAATTAAATTATTTGGTACTCTATTAAACCTGAAGCGCTGTCATTAAAATTAGATAGATCTTTTGTGGGTATGTCACAGATGGATTCAATAAAAATATGTCTGTATTTGTGTGATTGAATGACCGAGAAAAACATGCGATTGAATAACACCTACCTTTATGCCACAGTAGTTTTGGCAAAGAACGGCGTTAGGATTACGAAATAGCAAAATGTTTTCATGTTAGATGCCGCGATATTTTGTGACCATACCCCTTTATCATCCATGATTTATTGCCTAAATTGAGTTTGAATATTCAAAAATTGATGTATCTCGCATTTACTAACACCTTAAATTAAATAAAGGTATCAATATTTACCCATGGTATCTTTAATGTATAATTGATTGAGTTAGCCACTGCTTTTAACCCGCCATGCAATATTTCTTGTCACTCTATCATCATACATATCGCTTGTGCGAGGCATCAACCAATCAATTGTTTTTACGTTTAAGATCTCTACATCGTTTTCCGTGTATAGTTCAGGTTTGTTTTCTTCGGTCCTAAACCTTTGGTTTATAGAATGATTTGATTGTAATTTTTGCACTGTCGTTGTGTTTTTAATGGGATGGTTGGCCCTAGTGGACTAAGCTATCACTTATAGGCCTAGGTAAGTGTAAATTTTGCAACTGTAATTCCGAATTGTAATCGGCAGTCACCATTTTCGCAGTATTACATCATCATTATAGCCATAATTACTCAGTATTTTCATCTTTTCAATATTAAAGATGATGGACGCCAATCAGAGGTGGGATGTCGATGAAGCAAAGCAACGAATGTCTGTGCTTCGCCAATTCAAACCGTTGTGGATTGAAGAGCCGACCAGTCCGGACGATATTTTAGGCCATGCTGCTATAGCAACACATTTAAGAGAGGCTGGAGTTGGGGTTGCAACAGGCGAGCATTGTCAAAACAGAGTTATCTTCAAGCAGCTTATGCAAGCAAATGCTATCAGTTTTTGCCAGATAGACAGCTGCAGGGTTGGTGGGGTCAATGAAAACTTGGCAATTATTCTTATGGCTGCAAAATTTGGAGGTTGGTTTGAATTTTTTTTCTTTATGCAGGCTTATGCAGATTAGCAAAGACTTTGGGCTGTTGAACTTGGGCTGTTATTCTTTGCAAAAGGTGCCTAAAACCAACCAGTAGATTAAGTATAGTTAGTTGATATCGTTGCGCTGTTTAATCACAAATTCTAGGACAATTTGGCTTTCGAGTCCAGAATAACTTGGCTGAAATCTTCCCAGATAGCTGCTTTTGGATTATCATTTGTCCTGTCGAATGGAAACAATATCATCAGTCAATAATGCTGTACATGAAGTGCGATGCCCACTTTATTGTGAGCGTTAATAGGGTTCTGAAATGTTTAGATTTGCTCTTGACTTTTTCAGTATAAATATTTATCCAGTATACTGATTATAAATTTCCAGTTAGATACATCTAATAAGGTAGCCGCTTTAGGCATTCTTTTTTAACTCGCTTTTACCTGCAGTAGCCAAATCTCTCCAGATGAATTCATAGTTTAAATAATTCGATCATTCGATGATAAATCCTGTAGATTCTTAAATGATTTTGAAAACTGCTTTTGCCTTGAAAATTACCTTCGTTTTTCAAGCTCAACCTTTGGAGAACTTTCCAAAAAAATTCTAATGATTCCTGCTGGAGAAAATTAGAGGTCTTAGAAAGGGTTAGGGGAAAGAGATAGGGGAAAGTTGCTCAAAGCGTCTCATTCATTTTCAAACTAGTGCTTTAAAAACAGTTTTTTTTGAAATTTTCATTTTAAATTTCAAAATGCTACTCGTGTAAAGCCAAAACCCTGTCAAATTTACTGTTTTATAAGTGATACCTTACCTAGCCCTAAGTGTCCACTCCTCATCTGCAAATGTCAACCAAACGTCATATGTCATATGCGTTTTCAGTTCCAGTTTGTCCTCACGCCGGTGGTGTTGGCCTGTGCGAAATGGTGCAGCATTTGTCCATCTTTGATTACATCTGCGTCTCTGCTGACTTGGAAAACCGGTAAGAAAACCAAATATTGTTTACATTATATAGCCATACTAAGTTCCCGCGCAAAAATAACCCGTTTCATCCGGAACTTTCTGTCTGCGGATTCAAATATTTTCCTACCAAGGTGAAAATTTCCATTTCGTCAACAATTAGTCAAGTTGTTTTTGTGTTTAAATGGTTTAAAAGGTCAAAAATTATCTAAATGTATAGATCATTCCATATTGAAGAGGGACAAAACCAGCAAATTTGTGGCACATTTTCTAAGATTTTACTTTTTGTTTAAATGTAGGTAACTATGTAATAATTTAAACTTTCAAGTGAATATCTCGATTACTTCCAAAGACAGAAATATTCCCCGTCTTCCATCCAAATTTTCCAAATCCGCTATTTTGGTAATCCGCCACAAACTGAATTGGCATTAAAAATTGTATTCTAGAGATAGACATAGCAATTCTGAATAAATTGCATGTTACACAACTCATTAGATACACAACTTATAACAAACCGCTTCGGGTAAATGCGTTGCTCAAAACCAGGAGATATTTTTTGCAGCTGAACACCTTTCTTGGAAGTAAAATCTTTATATTTATCTAATTGAGAAGATAACATGGTAAATACTTTTATTGGAATATTTTAATTTTTGTTGAACTTCGATAAATTTAATATTTTGGATTTTTAGTTCAAGTGTCTTCTTCAATTTTTCTTAAATAACACCATTGGGTGAATTCTCATGGTAAATGCAAACAGAAGAGAAAAGCCCAACCCTAATTTCCTCATGGCTTAATCCCGTTAAAAGCAAAGACTACCTTTTGCTATAGTATAACTGTAACTTTGAGCACAATTTTAGTTTGGAAACTGTGAAAAAACTTTCTTGATAATTTCCCATGTCTATTATCATTACTTTTATATTTTGGTAGTTTTAAGCCTCAATGTTCTTTGAAACTCTTTTATTTCCAATAAGGGTGTTTCTTGAGCTAGCAAACACCAAAACCATGCCTATTTCTTGAGCTTGCCTTGAAGCAAATATACTCGTCTCCTGTCAGTTTATGCTTGCTCGTAGTTATCAAATTCATAGAGGACTGTTTCTTGTGCACAAGTATACAGATCTTACGAAAGCTTTTGATTAACAGAAATCATTTTATAATATCCCTATTGTAACGCAGACAGAACTGTTTTGAACACCTCTTCAAGTAACCGAATTTGTTTCTGCCCTCCCGTACTAAAAACATTTTCAAGTGTAAGTTCCATGATCATACCATCTGCCTTTGTCTTGGTCCATAACTTGAAATTCTGTAGTGCTGTCTACAAATATGAGGGAAATCGTACATAACTTCTTTATTTGATTTTCTAACTCGGGAATAAAATACCAATACAAAATGAATGGCGAAAAGCTCCCTCAGAAAAACATGCCAGAAAAATGCTGCAATTTCCGCATAAAGAAACAAAATTAAGGAGGAAGGTCTGGAAAACTAAATAACGCACTCGTATTGAGACGAATTAGTTAAAGTTCAACAGCCCCTCGAGAAATCAACTTTTATTTATTCATCATTTTTAAACATAAATGTTAAATATCTGCGCCACAAAATAACCCACAAATTATCGTAAAATAGCTACATGAGTAAACTGGCAACTGTTTTATAAAAATTCATGCTAATTAATTCTTTTAAATGAAAACTTCCCTCGGTTTCATTTATTCTAAGTTTCATGTTGTTATTGTTTTCATTTTGTTAGGATGATTGAGTATGTTTCTCACTTGCACGAACATTTTGAGGACCCTGTGAACGTGAAGAATGGAACTTATCACATACCGAAAGTATGTGAAGTTGATTACAATCATACACAATAAAAAAAGATAGTCAACTTCGAAAATATTTATAAAATATAACTAATTTAGTAATGCCTAAAAAGCGACACTACTTTAACAATACTAATTCACTGTTTTTTATTAATTTTGATCGATGTTGTGTTTTTCAAATTGGCATGCGTTGCAGCTACATGCCACTACATCCCATTCTCTTATTAATCACTTGCAAATGTGTATATTTTAAGTTGAATTCAATTAAAGGTCTTTTATTTCATTCGCGAGTCCATTTCATATCTGAGGCCCAAGGCTCTTTCGTTTGATTACATTTATGGTGCAACAAATCAAGTTGATTTCTCTAGCTGTGGCACAGATTAATGATTCAGTGTTGCTTTGGCCAATGAACATCGAGGATTTTGTTTGCAGAAATCTGATTGGCGTTTGTTTGACCAATCAGCAGTTATTGAGTTTGTTTGCTGGACCCTGATTGGCGTTTCTATGACCGATAAACACCAATCAGTTTCAATGATTTTGCCTGCAAGAGCCGGGATGGTGTTTCGTACGAATGAATTTAGCATTTATTTTTTAATAGACTTTGAATTAATTGTGAATGGTCACAGGGTTGTTCTGAAATTTCATCCCCGCTGTAGTATCATTATTGAAGCATAACATTTTTAGTACTTATTGGTAAATTTTTATGAGCATATAACAAATATTGGCTGACGATAATCAGTCAAAGAGAGAAACGCTCTTATAAATGAAATCATGGGCGATAGGAGAAACTCTATTGATTTTTTATGTTAACTGTGATAAAGTCATTTGAATTGATTCGTGAGAAACGCCAGCTCGGCTCTTAAAAGCAAAATCATTGAAGCTAATCTGTGTTGATTGGTCTAAGAAACACCAATTGAGCTCTTGCAAACATATCATTAAAATTGATTGAAGTAGGGGCTCGGGGCAATCAATGCGCGTAGACCCCTTGTTTGAAAGGCAAATATAGATTTCAGAAAATTAGAATTACGAAAGATTTCTCTATTACAAGCCCCAGAATTGTCCCGGGCCCCTGGGCACTTGTCCTGGCTATGCCCATCTGTTGGCGGTCCTGTACAGCTCTGCCTATACGACATTGAGCAATAATTCAGATATTAGCCAATATCACTGATTTTTATTTGCAGAACCAAACCAAGATGTATTGTTTGTATTTTTCATTACATACATGTATACATACCCTATTTTCTTTAAAGTGTTTGTTCTCTAAATTGTGTTACGACTTTAAGTTGCCAGGCTATGGCTGCCAGATGAAACCAAAATCTATATGGGACCATACATACCCTACTGGACGAGTGTGGACAAAGTTACTGAATAAAGATGGTAAGTTTATGCTTATTCTAGTAAATTCTCGTAAAATAGTAAGTTTAATAATAATAATGATAATAATCTTTCATGTTTATACAGGTTAATTTGCTCAGTAAGTGAATTAGTGTTATCAACCAAAGACCTTTAGAGTACAATTTTTATGCAATCCCGGAGAGATGGTATGAGGATTTCACAGCTGGTGTGCCGAGTGGAGATTCACTGTCACAAGTAGTACACGTAATTTTCACTAGTACAAAAAGGTTTATACAGATTTCCTAATAAACAAAAAGATTTCCATCAAAGCTGTACAAAATTTACATAGAGTGCTTTGTCCCTTGTTGATATCTCTGCTACTAAAGTACATACGCCCTACCTTTGAATGGAGGGAGAGGAGAGGTAGATGTTTGACTCATGCATTTTACTAGGCAAATTTTGAGGGGTTTGTGTCAACAGCAAGTCAAAAATTTGGAGTTCTAAACGTTTGTATACGTTCACGTACCTTTTGCTAATGTCCACTTTTTGTGAATTTTGACCTACAGATAAATAGCTTGCTGTCTGACTTCTTCAATTAATAGCTCTCTTGAATCTATTAAAAGTTGCCGACTAGAAAATATTTCATTCGCTACTTTTTTTAATCTTTTTTAATTGAGACATAATAATAAAAAATTCTTATTACATTCAGTCCATTTCGTTATTAACTTAGTTTATTGTTGGTGTCAACAACTGTCATATATTGCAAATCGAATATTTTTAAATTTTATTCGAAACCTAAGAATATTGCGTGGCGTATACAAATCAGGTAACAATTTAACTTTGAATTTAACTTCGAATTTAACTTTGCATTTAGCTTTGAATACAACAATGAATTTGTACGTAGATTGGAAGATCGAATTATGTTATTCGGCTCATGACGATGGGCTATGCTCGAAACCTCTTTAACGAGATTCGTTCGTTCTTTCTACGTATATTTTCTTTTAAATTCAAAGTTATATTATACTCTTAAGAATGTGATAATTGGTGGATTAAACGAATAGCTTTGTGGTGTGATCGAGCATCTGCTGTTTTGCTGATTGCGTTATTTGCGGGGCTGCTGCAGAAGCCTGACCAGGGTGTCCCATTTTTTATCCAAGTTTGGAATTCAATTTTGTCCGCTTCTCGTTTCTGCGCTGTAAATAGAACAGGTTTTGACATAATTATTACAAACAGCTGTAAAAAGCCCAAATCCGCGTGGGACAATCTGTTGCATTCAGAGAAAGGAAACAGTTGCAAATTTGCTTGTGAAGCTATTTTAGGATAAGAGCATCTAACAGGGTTTATTTGCGTCTAATTTTTGCGCAGATTTCAAACCAATATGTTCAACAACTAAAATGTTCTGTACGATTCCACTCAAATTTGTAGAGAGCCCTACAGTTTCTGAGTAATGGACCAAGGCAAAGGCAGATGGTATGATCATGAAATTTTAACTAATTTGTCCTTTCAGTTGGAGGAGGCAGAACACAATTTTGGTCATTTGGTCATTGGAAGAGGCGTTCACAACAGTTCTGCCTCCGTTACAATAGGAATATTATGAAATGACGTTCGTTTTTCGACCAATTAACAGCTTTCGCAAGATTAGGATACTTACATTCAAGAAATAGTTCTCTATGAACTTCGTATTTAAGTTAGTCTTAATAACACTACTTTGATTAATTCTACAAAAAGATTATCTGCAAAGAGTCGAAAGTTAAAGGATATTGGAAGCTTTGAAATGACCGTTATCTCGATTTTTCCGCAGAATGAAATGGACGTATGAATCAAGGAGCTTGCATAAAGCAAAGAATATCAAGGTATGATAAAAAGTATTTAATGATAGAAGGAATGTCGTTAAGGCTAAAACGTATTTTGACATTTCGAAGGAAAATATTCCAATTTCGGTGTAATTACATCGTAATTTTGTAGCTTTGATGCAGGAAAGTTCTCTATTCTTTTACCTTAGTATGTACAATTCTTCTTCATATCTGTAAATTGTGAGTCGAAAAGTCACTGTTCTGTTCAGCTCAGAATTTTGTCCTGCTTTGGTGATTTTTGCAGCATAGAATTTTTTCTTTAGGTTGTCTTCTCACTTGATTCGGTCTTATCGAGCGGCTACAGTGAAACAGGTCGATAAAAAAACGAATCGCAAATACGCGAGCTCTACCCGCGCAATTCAGTTGAAGATCTTCTGAGCGACTTGTCACGTTCGCCGATGCGACGTCTGTTTCGTTGTAATGCTTTCACCAAAATTGTGCAAATAGTAGCATCCGGCTTTCAGAGTGACGCCTTAAAAGCTGAATAACTTTTTTTCAACATTGAACCTGCAAAAAGAAGCATAGACAGAAACCCACAGGGACGTTAGATGGGGGCCCAGAAAGACGCTGTTGCCAACTAACAGTTTAACTTCTCAGTTTCTCCCTCCCGCTCTGTTTAGCTGCAGCGCTTTGTAGCTACCACTAGTCGTTCCCACCTAAAAACTCTCCTTTGCGTGTCGATTCCTTTTCCATCTCTGTTGTATTCTTATGAAGATTATATTTCAACGTGCTGATGGTAGCTTAATCGCCAAAATCTTCCTATTTCTTTATCCTATTTGAAAAGGTTCTTCTTTGATTACTTTTTGAAATTTTTAATAATTTTGCAACTGCGATTATATTTTATCGTTTAAATTATCCTAAAATACTGTAAAGCTTTTGAATGCATTGAGAAAGTAAATAACAAATGCAAATAGAAATAAGCTTAAAAAAAGTTGCTCTTTGCTGTAACTCCGTCTTTTACAAATGTTGACATCGTTTATTTTATATTTTGGAGAATCTACAAATAATTGTTCTACTATTCAACATTTTACTTTTAGGAAATTGTTATAAAAGATTTCTGTAATATATGCAATCGATTTTTCTTAGCGTATATTTTATATAAGAGAGAAGTTTATGAAATTGTGAATATTTAAGGGAGAATTGATTAATATGCGGTATTGAATTTATATATATTATTTTTTTAATTTAGATGTTTACTCTACAATCTAGCTTTCTTGCTGATTTTCTTATTAGTAGTGATTCAACCCAGCAGAAACTAAAATAAGTAAATAATATTGTTGAAACTTGGATGCATAGTGAAATAAGTAAATATAGTGAAACATTGAAACTACCTTTGGACAGTCTAGAATACCTTTTGTTTCTGTTTAATTTCTCTTGGGTAAATTTAGTCAGCAATCTACAAAATGCGCTAAAAAAACTATGTTCTGCCAATCAAACGGAGATAAACAACATGCTATGCGCAGTGTTTATAATCTTTGTCTGCTTAATTCATTGGCGACTCCTCGTTTTGTCATCTTCCTTTCTTGCTCTCTTCCATCTGCTTGCATCATCCCTCGTTTCTTGGGGTTTCCCTTTTATCGGAACTCTCTGTTGCTGTATTGTTAGGTTCTTTTTTCTGGCACAGGCTCTTTGTCTCTGTTGATACACCACCAAAAATAACGACCTTGTCCGGGACTTGTCCGGGACCTGTTCGGGACTTGTTCGGGACATGTCACAAGATTTCTTCATATGAAATTTTGACCATGGATTACGATATAGCATTCAGTTAGAAATTTTTCGCCTATAGCCACTTTTTAAAATCGAGTCCCTTATAAGAGTCTGAATTTATTTTCCTCATATAATCAACATCAGGACAGTTTTATTTGTGAAAATTTGTATGTGGAATGGATGTTCGGTGCTGTTACCGAAGCTGGGGTCAGGACTTCTTTATGAGCAACAAGAAGAAATGTTGACTAGTTTTTATAACGAGGCTGCTCGATTTGAATATTGTATAGAGATATCGATAAAGAATATGCTGATAACTCGCAACAATAGTTTATTGTATAATCCAACCAATGAAAATTGAGTTGGCCATAGAAATTCGACGGGCCATAGTTTCTCTCAAAGGCTCTTGACCAATCGGCATGTTCTGCAGTAGCTGTCATTTTACAAGCGTTATTTTGCAGTACAATATTAGGCCGGTTTTGAAAATATAATCGCAAAGCATGCCGCTCGCGAGATATTCTTCAGTTTCTAAGGCCTGGTTCAAACGTCGCACTTCTCATGTGCCGAATCTAACTCTGTATGGAGCGATAATTGAGCATGTTTAGCGCGACTCCCGTTTCAAACGTCGAACTTAATCATGACGCGCCAAATGGGTTTTAGGATTGTTACATGAAGTATCTTGGTTAAGGCGCACAATCTCAAATATTTGTTTGAAACGCATGCACCCTCCAAGAAAGAAATGAATTCTGTTAAGGAAAATAAATTAAGTATAATTATGCATTGAGTTCGGTACATGACAAGTTCGACGCTTGAAACCGTGCCGTGCTGGAGCCGTGCAGCTCGGCAAGCTCTGCCGATCCAAACTAGTCTGCCGCTCCTAACTAAATCTGCCGTACCAAATTGATTCAAACGTCGCACCCCTCATGTACTTAATTCTCGAGTTAGGTTCGGCACATGAGAAGCGCGACGTTTGAACCAGGCCTAACGGGTTGCATCAAAGACCATCTCGGATTTAGCGACGTCATGGTAGTATTCTATTCTATTGTTCGATAGTTAGTTCAAATCGCTCAGGCAGGGCAAATCTGCGAAAAATTCACAGTAGATATCAGCTCTTCTTCCTTTGCTTTCGAAGAACTTCTATAGAATAGAGACAAATACTCTTAAAACAAACATTTGACTTTTGTTGACCTTGTTTGAGCTAAAGAAGAATTTGCAAACCTCGATGGTATAGACCGCCATTGTTGTCATTGCAGCCTTTGCCCCACAAACTCCGAAATGTCTATCCTGTCCCACTCGTTTTATTAGTAGTCTTGTGCATAGGAGAAGGATAGTCAACTGCAACGAACATGACCCTGTGAATGGGAAGATGGGCTCAGGCTAGCACCATTTTTGGCCAACTCAACAATTCGGAAGCGCACGCAATACACCAATTCGACTTACAGCCTCGTTTTGCAAGTTTCTCCAAACTTACTTTTACGACTTATACGAGATCTGGTTTTATCACCATAATTTTAGGCCGGATGCAATTTTTCATATTGTTTGTGCTTGTATTTAAGACTTTGCGGAGAAATGAAGTTCGAGAACTTGTGAGGGATTTGACAGCAAAAAACCATTCCAGGTGAAACTTTACCCCCTAGTTGCCAATCACGGTCAAATCCCTCATACTATTTTTATCTTCCAAGTTAACTAAAATCCTTGCTCTCAATCTGAATCTGATGTCAAAAATTTCATACAAAAAAATTCGAAGAATTTTTCAAAATGAGGCCGTAAGTCGAATTGATGTTTTGATTGAAATGCGGCTCGTGGCTGTTTTGGGGTGAAGATTCCAGCCCGTTATTTCTTAAAACTGTCCTTTGCGTAAATAGTAATCAGCATGTTTAAACTCAGTCAAATGCGGCGCTTCATTGCCACTATTCTTACATTTATCCAGGCCTTGCCCGGAAAGGCGCGCGCGCCTAGAGCGCACCCAAAAGAAGCCTTGAGAGCGATTTATAGAGCCCCTCAAAACGTAAAAACAATATTACCACGGAGCAAAATAATTTCTTGGCCTTTGTCTAATAAACTTGATCAAGCATAAACAATCTTCCCAATAGACCGCAATATTATGATTTGCGTCAGATTACCCCTTGAGAAAAAAATTCAGCAAATTCAACGTTGGGTTTTCGATACCATTTTTAATCTATAACCCTCTAAAACCACCATAGACACAGGTCATCAAGCGTATCCTCCGGCAGATGTATTTGATTTTCGATCAATCGTTAATCTTCTGTTGAAGTATTATTTTCTGTTTTTTCTTAATAATTTAGAATCACCTTTGCAAATCAGAGTTCACATTTCCGTCCAAATTACCGCATTGCTTTCAGTTTTCATTTGCTTTCGCGAGTAGTAGATGTTCTAGTGTGTCTTATAGAATGGATAGCATAAAAAGGGGAATAAAGTTAATGTTTGACTTAAAGCCATGCGTTTTCCTATATTTCTATATTTGTATTAACATAGTGTTTGCTGCATGTTTTGTTATTTAATATTATGGTGCTTTTTGGTATCACCATTGAACTTCTTATTTAACACTCGTCCAAAGCTTTCGATATGAAGCTCTCGATCTTCCAAAGCTCTTGAAGGATGCTCTTAAGGATATTATATTTAAAGGTGCGAAATAGAGCGCCTAGAGTTTATAAGGGGCTCTTTTTATGGAGCACCTTCATTTTGCTTAGAGCAAGGCCTGATTTATCAGTTTTCCGATCCAGAGGTCGACAAACATATTTTCAGCATAAAATATAATTTATCTTAAACTTTATCATAAACAGTAGGGTGCCAATTAAAACTCGTTTACTGTCCTGCGGGCCTATTTATTATTCATGGAGTGGCTGTATGCTCTCGTTCAAACTTTCTCATGGAGGCTCTGTTTTGTGAATAAAAACCATTTAGTCCATCAGATGACAGGCTTTTAATACTCACTCACCCGAAACAAACATAACATGGTTCAAAAGGCATTTCACGTAGTCAAAGCTTTAACATTAGCATTGATTTTTTTGCTGAGTGGTCAAATAGGTAAAGATTCAAGTTTTAGATTTCAAAAACAGAATTAGTTATCAAGAAGTTTAAGAATCAAGGTGAATTACGTGACTGCCCCGTGGAAAGTAAAATATAAAATCTAAACCTGTGGGGAAAATCCGATTTAACATAAATTATTGATTTACTATTTACGAAAGTACGATTATGGTCTTAAAGAATAAAAGAGAAAAACAACCCCAAATTTCTGATCTTTCCTGTTAAGAAAATCAAATGTCACAGCAGAGTTTTGGTGGGGCTTGGAAAATCAATCGCCATGTTTTTCTATTCAGGTTTTCAATGCCTATACACCGGACATCATATCTCATTATTGGCATTTAGAAAGGAATGTAGTGACCCACGCAGGCCACCAGTGCTCTAGTGTAACGACCGGAGGAAGCAACATACTTGTTAGTTCATCAAACAGATTCAGCTAGCTTTATTTTGTCTTTTTTCTACAACAAATCACCCCTCACCACTACTGGGTTATTCTTCAGAAACCGATAGAAAATATCACTCCTTGAGACAGCATTCAATCCATTTAAAGAAACCGATAGAAAATATCACTCCTTGAGACAGCACTATTTAAATATAAAAAACTATACAGCTACTTTGTTCTAAGCATCTTTTACCAAAAATTGACGATAAAAAATGTGTTGCACTATAGCGAGAGAAAAATGATTTCTATCTGATTTTCAAAAAATCTTTTTATTAAAAGATACAAAATTTATAGATATACTTTAATTGATACAGCATTCTTTTTAAAATGGCTTTGGCGGATGCTTTAACAAAAGATTAATTCTAACATTGCATCAATTGGCAACATGTAGATGAGCTATGGAAAAGTATACATGGAATGGAAAATCAGAATTTAAGAATGGAATTGAAGGCCATCAATTTATCAGCCCGCTAACGAATGCAGATAATTTTTTAATGTCATTTAACAACCATAGCATTCTATTTGCAATCTATATGTCAATTCACTTTTTGTTAAATCTGTTATCCTATATCCCTCCATTGTAATACTTATTCACCACTTGATCTCTGAATCACTTAATCACTGAATCATTTTTTCCCAGTCAATTTCAATCACAGAATTTATTATACACTAAATCACCTTATCAATGAATCAACTTAATCAGTTAGTATCCAAGTCTGCACATCCATTTTTGATTTTCTTATGACAAAAGTTCAGACACTATAATTGGCATCATAGCCAATATTACATTCCATGCATGCCAGGGAGCTAATTGACTGAAATAAGTAAATCACTGGTCAAATAAGATAATGGTAAGCTCTGTTGCAATGATGACATCTAGAGCCCTTGTTCTATTTCCGAATCTGCTATGTTCCCCAACCTATGAATTTATCCTTGTGTGATTTCACTGTCTATAATGGCGCCAAAGTGGGAACTTTATTTGCTCTGTGCAGATATCTTTGGTGTGCATAAACACTTCTTCCCATTGTTCCCAGCTACTGAATTTATTGTAATCTAGCTCCCTTGAATCAATAAGTCCTTTAATGTCTTTGCCGTCTTTTCTCAAATACTGTTTGATAAGATCACGTGGTATTTTTCCTCGGGGATAAAACCTATGTTTATGATTTACAACAGAAATCTTGTAGTTAGCCATTCCGTGTTTATAGAGTAAGGCTCTTGCTCTGAAGATGTTGATCACACCTGAAAAACAGAAATTCTGTATGCAAATTTTCTATGACATTTGGGTTTGTTTTACTCATTAAAAATTCCTTATTCATCTCCCTAATAAATACAATGAAACCTTTTTGTAACAGTCAGCTATGGGGCAAGAGCTACTGTCTGTTGCACATAGATTCTTTGTCCTGGGGCAATTTGTGCAGGGAGTTGACGTAGGTATTTGTGACCAAATGTATTGTTTGGATTTGTCCGTTTATGGGGCTTACCTTGTACTGATGAACTGGTAAAAAGTTCTATTCATACTCTGACAAAAAAATGTTTCATTGTGTCTGCCATTCTGTGCCACAACAAATTATTTTGAGTGACTAATAGGGTTGGATCTTCATACTTCTTTACAAAATTGCTCATTGTTTCAGATTCCATGCTAGAAATTGCAACACTTTGATGCACTATGACAGAAATATTACAGGTAGTCATATTTCATTTTGTGGCAGGTGATTCAAGCTAACAGATACTGTTTCCTAAATTGTTCGAATTTATGAAAGGTCAGAATATTATTCCAATCAAGATATGAGAAAATTGTAAGTACAATTTCATTACCTTGATAGCATTAAAAATTAAAAGAAAGTTGTATTATAGGCACACTAAGGAGAATAAATGATGAGCTGGCTGAAAAGATATGCTTTCCAAATGGCTGAAATGCTAAAGTGCAAGCAACTACCGTGCAGAATATGCACTGAAAAAATTGGGCTTTTTAAATTCCATACCTGCTAAGTGCCAGCTAATATTGTCAAACATGGTTGTATAAGGTAGCAATAACGGGACTGCCTCTCTGTGGAATGCAATGAATAGCTCATCAAAGTAAAATGTTGTCACGGTAGGCGGCATTTCTTTTTCCTTCGGACAAACTTCTTCCCAGTGCTTGTGCATGCGGAGTCTGGATTCAAACCCATCTGGCAGGCGGATCAAGTTTGTTACTGCAAAAGCTGGACTCTTAATTAAAAGATCATCTTCAAACTGCCTCCAAGCTGATTTGCCATCCATCTGGTAATCTACAGCATCTTTCAGACCCTTTTCAGACTGGATATAATCTTGAAACAATGTTGCATCACCTTCTCTATGATTAAATCTTTTACCAAATTCTATTACATGCTCTGTATAAATAGGGATGGCATCATCATCCATAAAGATATGATAAAAGTACTGTTTCTTTGTGGCCTTTGCATACTCATATAGCATATTTCGTCCTGAAGTCCATGTTGTTTTTGAACTATAAATATATTTAACATGTGCTGGTGTATTTTGATCATCACATTGTTCTTGATATGAATTCACATAGACATCACACCTTGTTTTGTCTCCTAATGCAATGCTATCCAGTAAAGTTGGAGAAAGACATTTCTCAGTTAGGATGTAATAAGCAAATGGTTTGTCTACCTTGATCTGCAAAAGAAAGCACTGATCGTTTGAAAATTAAGCATAAAAGTACAATACCTGAATTGGTTTTACAAGCCAATGTATGTGGTATGTGGTTGTCAAAAAAGTTGCTTTCAGAATTCATATGTGATCGAAATACAGTTTGGTTTTTTGTTTTTTACCCCCTAAACACCCCATAAGCATCAGCAGCTTTAAAGGATTGACAGGTGTAGTTAACATTGTCCATTCATAATGTCACCCATTGTTGTATTGCCTGCAGTTAAACCTATAAAACTGTGTACGTTTCGCAATGTAATCAAACATATGTAATCTGCTCTCGTTTTATGTGAAGACACACACAGTTGTATAATTTAATGGTAAAGGCATCAAGACATAATGATCAAGCCACAATGTGACTAACCGGCTCAATGATTTCAGAATGTCAACAATGCCATGAAAAAAATCAGGAGAAAAATATAGAAAAGGAAAGCATGTTTCATCAGGTTCCTGTTCAATAAATAGCAAGTACAATAACTTTCTGCCAACTAACTATCCAAGTGCACAATAAAAAAGTTGCTAGTTTTGTAACTGGCCCTTGTACAAATTTAAGACCTGCAGAGATGGATGAAGAATATGTTTATAAATATTTCATGGAACTATCTTCAATCTTTAGATGATGTGGGTGGAAAATATTTTAGTACAAACAAAAAGAAGATTCAAACTTGAGAGTGTGTTAATGGTGGAAAATCAGCTGGAAATCTTAAAAGTGGCTGGGTTTATAAATTTATATTAATTGACATGCGTTGAATTTCATTACTAATAACAAAGCAAAAATATACAAAAAATTAAAAGGATGGTTTAGAAAAAAATAAAAGGATGGTTTAGAATATAACTCAATTAAATTTGTTTCTTCTTGAAAGTAAACAGGTGCATTTCAAACTATAGGAATGATTCAATGACATTTCTGAAGATTGCTGAATAACAGAAAATCTTGAATAAAAATCTAAGCAAAATAGAGATGCATTTCTGAGGTATTGAATTTGTTTCAAAGAAAAAGTTGAGCTGAGTTAATAATACACAAAATTTGACAGTTTTTATATTTACTTCATATAAACAGCTTCTCCTTAGGTCACTCTAACCTGGGAACTCTCATGAGTTTTCAGACTTTTGTCAACTGGTTTTGAATACATTTTCTGTCTGAGCTGAATGATATTTGTCCCAGTACATTGATTTTTATATCTTATTTTGGGCCAATGGCAGAGATGGTCTTGTTTCAGGCTGCCCTCAGAATATGATACCTTATAGGGGTGCAGCTCTTGCCCCTCTCATAAGATAATTTTCAGGGTCCAAGAAGCATTTGAAAGATAGAAGGGGTGATAGGTCTCAAAAAATGACAATATTCATTAGGTTCTTAAAAGCAATTACAAGAAATTAGAATTTCCCAAGAGTGGTGGTATGTTGTACTGGTGCTATCCCATAGGCCTTTATTTATCCAGTGAATTAATACCAGAGTTGGCATATTGGCATGTTTAATGCCAAATATTTTAACTGTTGCATTTTTGTTAAACTCCTTACATATTTGAAAAATATTCATAGCCAGTTTGGCTTATTTTTTTGCCTTTTTGAATGTTATGAACATTATAAGATCTAATGTCCACGATTAACCCAGACCATTTTTTAGATGCTGGTGCCTTAATTAAACATCAAGATTTAATGAAATTGGCATCATGTATGCATCAGGACAAGAAAGCTGGCCCTCTTGAGAAAATTTAAAGCAATCACATATATTTTAGCATATTTTTGGCATAGAATAGTAAATACTTTGGCATTATCAAAAATAGTTTACAAATTTTAGCATCTCCGTTTTAATTTTTGTTGGGATTCTTTGCCATTTTTTCCTGATATCTTTTGCCTACGATCCATATAGCTGGTTTTATAATAAGTGACTTTTCAGAAACATGGGGAGAGAGACCAGTGTGTTGTTAAGTGAAACAAATTTATGACATATAATTTATAAACGAGTACCTCCCCAAGATGATATGAGGCAATGCTTGCAGTTATTCTCCGCGATTCATAATAGTCAGCCTTTTCACAGTCATTGATATTGTACCCAATCATCAGAAACATGGTGGCAAAACATAGCATCGCAACCATCTGGCTCTTTGTGTAGTGTAATTCAAAATGAATAGCCATAATTATGATTGTAGATTTATCAGCTTTAAGTTGTCCCGATACAGCAAGATCGACTCCCTCCAGCAAAGTCCTTCTTACCCATCCATATTTAATTTGCCTTAGGACCTTGCATTTCGCGCTTCTGTTTGTTCGTTGTCTATTCAAAACAGTCAATGCAAGCTGAAGAAGGCGTTAAGTTTTTATCGTATACTCTTCGGAGTTCCTTATCCAGTTTTCTATTAGTATATTAAATCACCCAAAATATTCAGTTACAAGTTGACTTTCACGTGCTTCTAACTGTTGCAGTACAGAAGCTGTCCAGTCGATAGGTGCAGACATAAACAAAACCGCAACAACAACAGCTCGACCCCTGCTAATCAATAAATCAATAATGGTGGATATTTCTTGTCGCTTGTAACCACGCCAAACTACGATAAGGATGGATTAGCCCCCCAGCCCTCCCCCTCCCATGATAACTAAGTTTGTATTGCTGTTTCTGGTGGCAATTACTTTTTTTTATTATTAAGAAAGTAATCATTTACATATCATTTTTCCCTTCTGCACGTTTTTCTTTTTAAAGAATAAATGTCATAAGACTTTATATTGGAGAAATTTAAGAATTAATGAAAAATAGATGCAAAGCTAGAATTTCATCGACAGTTTCACTTTTATTTTTTGAGGTCTGAACAAACACGACAAGCGTGACTTTCACGCAAAAAGCGTCTAAAGTTTGAGGTACACAAACAAATCAATCATGCTTGTTTGTGGCGGTATGTTTCGTTTCTTAAATTATTTTCCTGAAAAAGAAACACTGTAACAAATATTTGATTTTACCAAATTTGCATGTTGCATCATCTAAAAGTGTGTAGTAATTATTGCATGGCGATGGCTGAGGTGCAAATCATGCCATTGAAATTTTTCACACCTTTGGTGCAAATCCTATCATTTATCCGAAAATTCCGTAGAAACCTTGCTGTTAGATGGAAATATCTTTTATTTTTAATTGAGTGAGTTGCCCTTCTGGATCGCTGAGTGGCTACATTCCCCATTATTTGAGCAAAATGCTTTAGTGAGATGCCCAGTAGTTGAGCAAAGCATTGCTTTATCTTTTCTTAAGTCAGCGAAATTCCTTCGAAGCCGTTAATCGGTCGTTCTTTTAGTGAACCAGTTTTTTATCATGTTTTGTTAATACTGAAATGTGTCTATAAAGTAGAAAGTAAATAACGAATGACAGAATACAGTTTTTTGCGGTTTTTACCGTTTTATACACAAACTTATGGTTTTATACGCAAAATCTTATGGCAAGACGGTAGCTTTACAGGATGGTCAAACAATAATCTGAATTGTTTATTGCCAATTTTGCCTATGTTTGAATCCCACCGGGAACAGCAAGAGATGGACCAAGCAGTTGTCACGGGTATTGTTTTCTTCGTGAATTCTCTGCTTGGAGGATATTCGGAATTAATAATTTATTGCGCATATCGTCTGAAATCTTTCTTGTCCTGACATGAAGAACTTATTGACGTTGTTGTGGATAATTTTGCATTCTTGCTATCATGCATGTCAAATTGAAGATGCGATAAATTAATAACGGCAGAGGGAATTAAAATGCATCTGACCAGGTTGTATTATCGTAGCAACTTTTAAAATCTTTTATACTATTGACTTCTGCAGTTTCTTGTTGGTTGACCTAGCCACTCGCTAAAAGGCGTTTTTCGAAACAACAATGGAGTGAAGCATGTTTATTCCGTAGGATTTTGAATCTCGTAGTGAAAATTTGGGACTTGAGTTGTTTATTAGATCAATACATTTGTTTTCAATCAATTTAAAAGCCTTATTGCCGAGACAGCAGTGAAACAGAATTCCAAAACTGAAAGCCCTGAGCAATATGCAACTTCTAATTCAAAATGTATACGGTTTCTCTACTCCACCTTTGTGTAGTGGGCAACTTGCGAGTTGCGTTTGTGTTAGATTGTAAGAACAATTATATCTTTTTGCCCGCAACTCGCGCGCGATAGCGCGCGAGTGAAGGGCTTATAGTCTGCCCCGCGTATAAGTAGCATATGGAAGCTTCAGTTCATGTTGTCAGCACTTTTTCAGCAGATTTTGTCACTTTTCTGCTGCCATGACAACTGTCAATCAATTTCATTGTCAATCAATCGGCTTTGTCGAGGAGGTCGTTAACCGCCACCTCTTTGTGCGGAAGGGAATTATCTTCGGAGCGTTGCTCTGCCAAGACTCTGTTAAAGGCCTTCGGTTTTTTTGACACGAAAACGGTGCTGCATCACAGCTCGGTTCTCCGCAATGGATGGAAGTTTTGATTCGAAGTTTTGGGAATCAAAACCAGTCGAATGCCACACTTTTCTCCCAAAAACTCGAGACCGTACGAGCAAAAGTTATGATTGTCGTGATTATCGAAAAATAAATGTCAAACCCTCGAAAAACTTCATGATTTTCAAAAGGGCGTTGGACTTAAATCAAAGGCCAACTGAACACCAAAAATTCTTGATAAAAAGAATAGTTTAGCATCAACTAGAGCAGCTGTTTTTATAAAATTGCGAAAACCCAAGATGGTGTCTTCTTCGAATATCCTGACCTACATTTTCAAACAATCATTATCAAGGAACTAATTGTTTGCGGGCAGTACTAGCAAGAGCTATTTCTAGTATATATTAGATGGTAAATTTAATAAGGAACTCTTTTGATTTTAAATTTTAAAAGGGATTACGTAATCCATTTGTCTCGTTTTCATTTACACTTTATCAACACGGATATTCCACTCTTAGAAATACGAGCCTACTTTGGCAACTTAATGTTTATAGCAAAATATTGATTGGGACGAGCGACAGATGCCTTCATGCTTCAAAATTCTTTCAACTCCCACCCTCCCCTCCAAATGTGTTCCATTCCTTTGTCCCTTGCGCTACTCCCACCAAAGCGTGATCTTTGCCTTCTACCCCTGTTCTCTCTTCTTGTGTAAAAGTAGTACAAGAGCAGGTTTTCATGCAGTAATTATACAACTAGAGGCCTCCGAGCTCCGATCTCCCTTCTTCTTGCGTCAGTGGTTCTAACAAGAAAAGACGTACCGTAGCCGTATTTTCTCATAAAACTGCACTGATAATTGAAGGTTATTTGTTATGCTCAGTTGCTAGAGGGTCGATGCACTTTTTTCTGTATAAAAACCAAAAAAATGGGTGTTCGGGCTGGCTGTTTTTAATTTTTCTTAAACGATACGGCTGGATTGTTCTTAATTTGCACTTGAATTTTTTGGGTGTAAATTAGACAAAAAAGTTTATGTTTTATACCACCTCAGTCTCAGTTTGTTCTTAATTTGTTCTCAATTTTTAACCAATTTTTAAGTTCCTGTTGTTATACAGCTGTTCTTATAAAAATTGTTCCCGATACACGTAGCAGGGTTGGAAAGGCAGTGTTTCGAGTAGAGCCCTTTCCGAATTACTGACATTCGGAATTGGCTAACTTTCGCACTGTAATCAAATCTCACCAAAAGCACCAGACGATGACGCATTCACTACGACTTTTTTATTCCTCTGTTTCCTATTCAACCTGATTATTTCTTAATTGATAACTTTCCGCTCCGACTTCCATTAATTTTTCTATCTAAGCTATTAGGTTTTAATACAATCATTCGATAATTACGGAGGAGTTTTGCATCTTATACCTTTGTTCGCATTCAAATTGCCTGATAGCGGAATACAGACAAACCTTATTACTGTAGTTCATTATTTTTGCGGATATTAAGAAGACTGTGCCTTGTGCAATCGCAAGAAAAACACAGTATGTTGCAGCGAAACATCTGTTCTGACTTGATTTTGTATTTTTCTGTTTCCAAAGCATTTCTGGGTCAAGTGAATTCCAAACCACGACCTTCAAAACGCAACATCTATCAAACTCTTTTAAGTACAAGTCAAAGATCTTCCAGGGTTGGGGAAACTAGAATCTTTGACAGTAATTAATTATCTTAGCATTCACAATTAACGACTGACGAAATTAATGCAAACATGAAAAATTCACTTTGATTTTCATAATTATACAATGCTTGTGATGATTTGTCCAGCTTTTCATTTGATAAATCAATAATTAAGTAGGCCTAAATTGCATCAAAACATTTTCTAAATAATAGAACAAAAGGAGGACCAGAATTGGCTGATATGTGATGGCAAATCTTGGATTCTGGGTCTCACACTCTATGTTTATTAACTCCAATGGGATACAGTACAAAGATAAATTTGATGCCTTTTTCTGTTCTGTGGCTTTGAGCTAGGTTGCATTGATCTCATCCAGGTATAAGCACTTTCTTATTTTGGCTTTCTCAGGATACAGTAGTTTACTATATTTTTGGGTAAGGTATATTTTGTTGCTCTTCTATAAGAGCACCATTTTATGGGGAAACTGAGACGCGATTTTCCGAAAAAAAAACAAATGGATAATTAGGAAAAAATCAAGATGTTTTTCAATATTCTCTCACGTTAACGTAAAGGGGGCGTTAACGAAAACGTTAAGATTATCGGGGCTTCAAATACTAACCGAAAAATAAGAACATCTAAAGATTGCTGGTATTCCTTGTAGTAAAATACTTTACCAATGACTGCACCTTGCAGCTAGATACTGTTAGATTATCACTTAGGATTTTCAGATAACATTTTAAGTCAAATAGTGAGTTTCCTTTTTTCATAACTAAAATTTAACCCATAAACTATTTGTATTTCTCAAATAATTCCTGAAGTCTTATTTAGGGCCTTTTTAACATACTAACTAGGGGGCAACTGCCCCTGCAGCCCAAATGACCTTCTGTTGTTTTAAACATTAGGCATTTCCCCTTGTCCTTAAATAAACAAAGGTTTGTCCCCGCAGCTTTTTTCCCTTGGAATAGGCTATGGTTTATTCATAAGTTATTTGTGATTATCAGATTCTTGTTTATTCCGTTAACAATTTATTTGAACTTTTTAACTCATGAACCTGAAACCAAAGCATTCCATAGTTTCTAGAGTTGTTCAATAGTTGTTTCGATTTTCCATAGTTTGCTGGCGTTTCCATTCTTTGCCAGGGTTCTTCGTAGTTTTTTGGGGGTTTGTATTGTTTCCTGGTCTTTTCCGTTGTTTGCCTGGGTTTTCCATTGTTTCCTTGGGTTTTCTTATAGTTTCCTGGGATTTCCCCTTTTTTGGGGCGTTTCCATTGTTTTCCAGCCTTTTCCATTGTTTCATTGTTGAGGTTTTTCATTGTTTTTTATGGGATTTCAATCATTTTTGTTAAGATCTATTGTTTACTGGAGTTTTCCCTTGTTTTCTGGTCTTTCACTGTTTGCTGATATTTTCTTTTGCTTGCCGGAGTCTTCCATCAGTTTTAGGATTTTTAATTGTTTCAGTGGGGTTTTCGATATTTGGCCGGTGTTTGTCATGGTTTGCTAGGGTTTTCAATTATTTACCATGGTTTTTCATTTTTTGGTTTGGGTTGTAGCTATTTTCATCAGTTTTCCCTTGCTTTTAAAAGGGGGCCATCCTGAAAGTGAGAAGCTGCTGGCCATGTCGTTCGCCGCTATTATAAAGTTATTTTTCCAATCTCGCATTGAATTTTTTCGGGATTATTTTCCCAGCGTTTTGTCAGCCTTCTATTTTGTAAGATAAGGGATGAGATTAACACCTCGACCATCATCCTAAAAGGAACATTTTGAATATTATCTCAGTAAGTGAGTAAATATGAATCCGCTCCAACTCCAGTAAGATGACTGTATTTGACAAGAAATTATTGATAATTCATTGGGAGTTCACCATGTTATTCATTGGTAATTCGGTGATTCGTTGGCAGAAACTCCTGCGATTCAGAAGATGGGTCTATTGGCCATTTTAACAATCAAACTATTAGATTTTCATTCTGGTACTGAATTTATTTGCTAACTATATTATCGTTATTCTGGATGAAGTACCACACGCAACGTACATATTTAATTAGGTCTATTGGTGGGCTTTAAACCCCTACTTTTTGCAAAAAAAAGAAAATTAGAAGCGAAACACGAATAAAGCCTCATTTTATGCGGTTTTAGCAATAACGCCGATGCCTTATATGCCAGTCTGTTTCTGATCGCCCCTATTTCTGAACAACGGTCTCTAATTACAGGAAGTAGTGCCCATAGAGTGCATAACTGACATATTAAGACAATCCTGATGTCATTAGTTGTGTCACGTATTCAAATATGCTGGTTTATTAAAAGTAATTAATTTCCTTGAGCTTCGAGTCTAATGATGTGATTAACATTGGTTATGATTACTTCTGTATAGAATGCTTTTGATTTGATACACATTAGACAACATTATATCAGAGATATTACTGTCGTAAGCATTTCGAATGGGCCTCGTGTCAAGACGTTCTTAACAAAGTATGGGCAGCATGGTGCCATTTCGCAATCGACGTTAAAGCCAGTCTTTACCACATTTGTTTCATTGAAATACAATGTTGCTGGAGACAGAAATCTCGGAGATATTTTCTGTTGAAAAGCCCATTCTTAATCATTTAAAAGTTAATTTTTTATCTGTTTTCAATGTCCATCAAATACTGGATGGATTCTAAGCAGTCTGTTTAGGAATAAAGTGGGCAAGGAGGGAATATTACCTTAAAATCATTATAAAGAACTCAGTATTCGGGTGACTCACTAACTAAATAACTAATTAACCAACTAATTAACTAACTAACTAACGAACTAACCAACTAACTAACTAATTAACTAATTAACTAACGAACTAACTAACTAACTAGCTGTGTAACTAACTAACCAACTAACTAATTAACTAACTAACTAACAAACTAAATAACTAACTAACGAACTAACTAACGAACTAACTAACTAACGAACTAACTAACTAACGAACTAACTAACTAACGAACTAACTAACTAACTAACGAACTAACTAACGAACTAGCTGTGTAACTAACTAACCAACTAACTAATTAACTAACTAACTAACAAACTAAATAACTAACTAACTAACGAACTAACTAACGAACTAACTAACTAACCAACTAACTAACCAACTAACTAACCAATTAACTAACTAACTAACTAACTAACCACTTAACGAACTAACTAATTAACTAACTAACTAACTAACCAACTAACCAACTAACTAACTAACGAACTAACTAACGAACTAGCTAACTTTGTTCGTGTGATCCATTTATTTGCCCAAATTTAATATCTGAATTTAATATTTATGAAAATAGATTTTTAATGATGTCATTGCTCTTTACTCTATTTAATTAAATTTCCCTGAGAAACTCTTTTCCGCATACTTTTTGGCAGACACACGCCAACGCAGATTGCTTTGAGATTTGGTTCTTCTCCATAGATCGAATACGTTCCATCAGAACCATGTGTTATGTTTTCTCGCAGTTGTTATTACTTGAATTGCTGTAATCTGTAGATCCCGAACGCGTGTTTTTATTGTTCAGTTATTGTTCATGTTGTAATTTATGCGTTTTTATAACCTCGCATTTGGTGTCATTTTAAGTAAACGCGTTTCTAATAGCTTTTAACATTGTTGTTAATTCATGACCAGGCAGTATCGTGTTGATCGGATAGCAGCCTTGCGTTTGACTTTTGGATAAGCCATAATGGATTCGTCCATGGTGACCTGATGAGCTGGCGGATCTTTTTCAAATCAAAGGCGTACAGAAAATGGCCTCATACAGTATTAAAGTGCTGTCGTTGGTAGCAATATTCACATTTGTAGGTGAGTCTTTGAACGCATAGAATTTTGTGCTATCAACTTCATTTACCTTGATCGTCATAGACCTTACATTCCCGTGCCATTATTTTTAGATATTTTCAATACATCAACGACCAGAGCAAACTTTGCTCACATAGAGGGTTAAGCATATCTCTCTGCTTTCTACCCAATTATTGTTTCTACTCAATTATTGTTTCTACCTCAGACGAAGGAAGAAATCAAACTTGATCAACATGCCAAACAATTATAAGGCCATCTGTTAGTAGCAGGGATTTATTTCAGCCTCGGGGTTTTTAATTTTTAGCAACAAGAATGTTTGCAACAAGTAATTCACAATAAGTTTAAATAATCAAAAGGGGTTTTATTTCCTAGCCGTTGGTGTACAGCCGATAGAAAATTAAATTAATTTCCGATAGTTTGTTACGAATTTCACCAGATTCGTCAAAGTTTTAACCATATGTTTTTGCAGCTTTTTAAAGCACTGAGAGTTGATTCCCCTACCTCAAATTTTTGAAAGCTTTTGTTCCCTGCAGCTTACTGCTTGTTTGAGTTCAACTTATTGTGAATTTTCTATTGTTAATGTCTATAGGCTAAGCGAGGGATTTTGGCAGTCTGTTAAATACTTTGATATCCCAAAAAAACAGAGTTAAACCATAAATTTTAGCTTCACCTGCTTCACAAGAATTCAATAAGACAACTGAGAACCTTACTTAACGTTATTTGACAACAGGCATCAAACCACTAAATCATAATTCTCACATTAAATTTCTACATATTCCTTTACTTTTTTAAACTTATATTTTTCTTTATAAATGAGAAAAATCAGGGACGCAATGCCATCTTTAAGCTAGCAGTGAATGTTTTCAAAAATCAATGGTTTTTGTAATCGAAAACGTATCATATTTTCTCTTTCCCTTCTTTTTATTCCACTTGAATCATATTGGTCCAGTTTTATTGTTAATAGTTATTGATTTATTGTCAGAAAAAACTGAAGGCTGTAAAAAATTGGCATAGGGTTATTGCTCCTTTGAACAATCACAGCGCCCCGGGGGTGGGGGAGGACTGGAAGGGACACCCCCCACTTCTCAGCTTGATCGATTTCGTCTTAATTCGAATTTTAATCTGCTGAACGCAACTTAAAAACAGGTCAACTGCTGGCACATGAACATTAATTGCACGTTTTGAGTAACTTTGTCATTGTACGAATAAAAAAATTAATAGAGATCGACCTAAAATCAGATTATAGATAGTAATCGTCAATATTTTCCTCAAAATGTTTCTAAGTTATATTCATCAACTAAAATTTTCCTATAAGGAGGTGGCCTCTCGATTAGCTCTGCTACTGAGATACCTCCTCCTCAAAAATTCCTCTTCATGCAAATTTTCTAATTTTTCTGTTGTTATGTTTAGTCTTTAAACTTGTATTGTAACTTGTAACCTATAGTTTATTTTAATGTTTTGACAAAATTTGTATGTAGTGGAAATTAAAATTATATATGAACTGAACTAAAAAAAGCCGTATAAATTTCCTTGATAATTACGAAGAAGACCAGCTTCAAGAGCATTTCCATGCAAATGGCACATTTGTTTCCCTTTCCCTTCATATCAAAAGGCCAACTGGGTTGCTTGACAATGCAGCTGTAGCTCTTCCTCTCCATGCATTCTAGTATTAAAGCACTTACAATAAGCCAGGCATCCTAGGAAATATTAATTACCCCCTATTCAGTTTATGTTGCCAGGAAGCTTTGTTTTCATGGTTGCATTATAATACATAAATAATGTTTATGGTTTCTTGCTAGTTTAAAATAAAGAGTGGGAGTGCCTATAAACAGAATAATTTCAGTTTAATAGCCATAACATCATAAATTCTAGATAAATTCTATATGGTAATTTGATTTCGGATACTACACCTGCTTGAGTTGGTTTTCCAGTCTAGCCTGAGGCCAACTTCGCTCTCTAATAGTCTTAGAAAGGTGCAGATAGTGAAGCTAAAGGTAGGCAGGGCCCCATGAGGACCTTTGTTTTAGAATGAGCAAACAGTTCGAATGTTTGATTTTTGGCTGTAGTACGAGGCAACTCCATCATTGCTTGTAAATAGCAGAGAGAGTTTTGGCTCCAGATACTTTCCTTCACATGAATCTCTAAATAAAAATTCTTATATGTCATTATATCACTTTACAAGTTTATGGGACCAGTAAGATTCTCTGCTAGAATTAAGTTGTAGATAGTCTTGATCATAAAACGAACCACCGATGAAACTATGTTTTGAAAATGCTCTACATTGACCAAGTTTAATTTTTATCGAAAGATAAGATTATCTGATTGCTTGTGAGAATTTGATGGTAAGTGCGAGCGTTTAACAAAATTAATTCATTTTAATTTCGGCTGGGGGCTTTGACATGAGGACCGAATGCTTTTTATAGCAACAGAATATCATAACATTACCCATGTAAATCAACATAAAAACGAGCCTTAAATGAGACGACCGTGTAGCCTCCGCCCTTTTCCCCCCACTCTGTCCGCCGCCTCTCACTCCGCTCGACCTTCCTCTTCCACCTTTTAAAGAAATCGTTTCCATAGACTAATTGCAATGAAAACACGCCATCTTGAAAGCTGATACACAATGGACTATTAAATTACATAAGAAAACGAGCTCTAAACTTTGCTATCTGCAGTGTCGATTCAGGATTTCTAGAAAGGAGTGAAGCACCTATTTATTTATCTACAAACAGGTAATGAATGTAACGATGGCAGTGGCAGGGCTAGAAAAGGAGGAAGGGATATCGGCTGTATGATGGTTGATCATTTGCTTCCATGGTACTTGGTGTATTTTTAAATAATAGGTTTTTCAGGGGGGGGGGGTTACACTGTTCGTGTATATGTTTTTAGGGATTTGTGATCTAATCAGTCATTCACTGACGGTGAAAATGTCTCTCTTTGCAGATGGATATCAGCGGCCAGATCGTGTCGACCTATGCATAGTCCTGTCCACAGACGCTAGCTATGGAGACATCAATAAAAGTTTCGCAAGGATATCTAAGCTTATCCCAAAAATAAGCATCTCACCAAGCACTACAAGGATTGCAGTTGTTGATGCTACCACCGGTGTAAAGAAGTTGATTGGGTTCAGCTCCTGTGTTAACAGAGAATGCGTTGTGGCAGAGCTTGCGAAGCTAAGGTATGAGATCTCTTCGGTGCTGAATAATAAAGCTGAATAAAAGCTATGTTCTAAGTAGAGGCATAGGGATAGATGCTTCTTGATGAGATGGCTAAGGGGGATGGGGGTATGATGACAGGTGCGTCTTCAACATTCATAATGGGGGGGCTAAGGGGGCAGGATGAGGCATGATGGCAGGCGCTTTTTGAACGCTCATAATGGGAGTGCTAGGGGGAAAAGAGGTATGATGGCAAGAGCGTCTTCAACGTTCACAATGGGGGGCTGAGGGGCAGGAGGTGCCTATTTGGAATACTATTGGTGTTTTGTAGGGCGTTAATCAGCTTGGCTCTCTTGCCAATGACCGGCTTTGCCTTTGCGTGTCCCCTCTTTTGCTAACTGCCCCTCGATCACTGTTGATTGTCAAGAAAGTTATTTCTACAAACAACCAATTGCAAACAACCAACTCCAAATGGAATGTTAGATACGTTGCTGCTGTCATGTTAAATGCTCGTGTGAAGTTGGCTTGTATCCAACTAAGCTTTGATCAATGATATCCATTTGAAGGCTGTAGATGGTTGATCAGATCATGGAATTCTCTATTGAACATGATCAGTGGTTTTTATCAATGATCAATCAATCATCCAAAACACCATAATGATTTTAATGATGATTACCTTGTGATTTGATCATGTTGCACACCCAATGTTCGAAATATCCAGCGGTCCCTGAAGTCAAGTAATAGAGTAGCGGAGTGTGACGTCATCAAAATCTATGTTTAGAATTTCTTAATTTTTACTACATAGCCTGAAAGAAAATCATGAAATATCTCTCAATATGCAAAATCAATTAAATAAATTCAAAATTGGGTAAGATATGGCCATTGAAAGATTACAAGTTTTCCAACGGATAACTGTTTTTCCTGCCTGGTTATGTCATAGACTTATGAACCAAGGCCAAATAACACATAACATTGATTTTCCACATTTTTTGCACATAGTTTTGTTTCATAATGCTTTTTGGGTTATATGGTGAAAATTGTAAATTCTTAAAAAATAGCTTTTTATCATCACTCCAGAACTCTGTGACACGAGCCTGGGCATAAAGGAGCCAGTTGTCATTGTTTCGAAATAATTTTTAACAATACGGAATCAACTTTTATTTATTTCCATTGCAAAAAAATAAGAAAGAAAATACGCTGACCTAGACAAAGCTTCAGAAACATGTATAGAATTGTACAAACATGCAATTTTTCATTGCATGCATTTTGAGAAATAGCTGTTTCAGAAAACATTTTATCAGCGAGAAAGAGTGCTTTTCAGCCATGATCCTGGTTGTTTGCAGCCGGAATTTGAATAGTTTTTCCTTGATCAAATAAAAGTTAGTTTTAAACAACCTAATTGTATATTAACTAAGATCGCTGCATTAGAATGCTACGGATAAGAAGGGCAGCCATGATAAAATAGGCATTCTAACGAAATTTGGACAATACACTTTGCTTCGTAAAGGTTCGCAACATGACAAGAACAGGCAAGTCTGACCTGTTTAATCTTTGTCTATAGCTCATACCGGACAGCTATCGAGGTAGAACCTGGAAATTAAGCTGCATATCAACAAGGGGTGCTGTTCAGACTTGCCGAATGCTCGATTTTTTACGCTGTTATACATAACAGATACGTCTATGCGTGATAAAATTTTCAAAGAGTCTCATCTTTATTCGAAGCTTCGACCTCCACGAAGTAACACTTTTCTGCATAATTTCAGAACTCGCATCGAAAAACGACGAGGCATCTTTTTTAACCAAAGCAGGGCTAATATTCACCCTTACTGTAAAATACAAAGTCCGCACCAACGATTCTAAACGGGGGACTGTATTGTGAACAAATTGTCCTCTTACCCCCATAACCTTTTTGGCAAAGTTTTACCGACGCTGTTTGTGTTTTGCTTGGTGTATTTGGTAAATAAATCTGACAGCTTAATATCTCTTTGGCCAATAAGTAGGGACCATGACCCCTTTGGCCTCCTGTGGTGCGGGCCCTGTAATACGAAACAGTGCCACAAAGTAACAATATATTTTAAAAGCGTTGTTCCAGAGCGGTACCTGTCCGTAAGCGGCGCATATCCGTAAGCAGTGCGTGTCCGTAAGCGGTGCGTATCCGTAAGCGGGGCTATATTTACCACGCGCTATTTTGCGACTCGTTAAGAGCTCTTACAAGCGGGCAAGCTTTAGTGACGTCGTCGTTGTTGATAAAATCAAGGCTTGTTTCGGGGGTTTACAAGCGTTTGCAAGGATTGATAAAATTCTGATATCCATGGAAAAACGGTCTTTAAAAATACGTGGAGTTAGCTTTAAGTGAACTCTATTTTTCGATTTATCAATGTTGATTGGTAGCAAATAACAACATTGGTTATCTAGCAGAAGACGTAATTTAATACCCTGTACACCAGATTGTGTCTATCCGAACAAATTTTATCCATTAATGACGTAAGATCGGGAATTAACTTTTCCAGGTGCCAATAATGAACTTTTAAAGTCCTATTGAAAATTTTTGCAGTTTTTCATCCCAATAAGCATTAACCTCGAGGAGGCCTAGAGCCGACTGAAGAGAGGTGAGACGTGGCCTAACTGTTGTTGTGGTTGTTGCACGCTGTTTGTGCATACCCCAACTGTAAAAGATTTATCAAGTGGAAACGCACACCGAAAATGGGTAAAGTTTGCTCGATCTAATTTTAACAGTTAGCACACACGACAAAATTTAATGGGATCTGGTGTAAATGGGGTCTAAAAGTTGTAGACTGAGAAGTTTGCAATTATGTTTCTTGAGCGTAATGTTGTCCTTGCCTATAAGAGCTTTATTATGTGCGTCTTACGTCCACCAATGAAATACAGGCAGCGGGGTTTACATGTTGTGTGCAAGAATTCCGTCTACGGTTGAAATCCATCCTTGAGATAATATGCAACCAGCGTTTTCCTTACTTTTACCATTACGAATAGTGTAAAAGGATAAAATCCGATTCACACGACTGTTGCTGAACCATTCTGGCACACAGTATGTAAACCCTCCTTAGCCACCGTGGCGTTTTTAGGGCCACTCTCTGTATCAACAGGCCTAATAACACTTCGAATGTATTATGTTGTCGCTCCATTGAAAGTACGGTCAGTAGGACGAGTCCCCGTGCAAGAGTTTTAAAAAAAATAGGGACGGCCTTTTCAATCAAATCTGCGTGAGATTCGATAGCGTGGCGAAGCAGTGAGAAACACAGTGAACAAAGTTGATAGCAACGGCGCTCGTAACTACAACTACCAGAATGCATTGCGTGTGGCAACCCCTGTGATGTAATAATGGAATCGGTCTATTAGCACCGCCTTAACGCATTCGAAAATAATAAATTGCAAGAGAGGAACTTCGCACTTTCGAATCAAGTGTAATTAACTGTTATAAATGAGGAAACATTAGCAAGTTTCACCAGCCGGTGGGTTTATAGTGGCTTTCGCAAAATGTGTAATAATTGCTTAACATCGGCATATTGCATATTGAGCGTGCTTCAGTTGCATTAAAAGCCGCAAACTTTGCATTGCTGTGTTGACTCTGGTATGTAAATGAGGTTGAAACGGGGTTGCAAATATATACCGGGGAGGTTTGTTGTACTATTTCCTGCCTAAAATATGTTTGTGCTTTGTTAAATTTAGAATTAATGTGTTCTTAAAACGTGGTGTGCTGGTATTTAAGATCGGGCATTGAGAGTCCTTTCTGTATTGATTTGGAAATACAGCCAGTGCTTTTAGATGGTTGACTCCCGTAAAAAAACTGAACGACAACACTTACCATTGAAAATTGGTCACCTTTCGGCGTCTGCACCTCCGCAGCCCACTGGCATTACTCCTCTGATTTTTAGGTAAACACAATGAATTAAAAACTGTTGATATTTTTCATTAGAACCCAGAATTACGGTCTGTTTATAAAGCAGAAAAACTAAGTAGCCTAGAACATGTTCCTAGTGACATGGCTACATTTCTTTTCGTGCCTAAAAGGGGTTAACTTCAAAGAGATTCTGACCATGTTTTATGATGTTGGTTTAAGAAAACACTAGGAAACTTAGTTCTCTTTTAAGCATAACATACAGTCTTTCACACAATGAGCAGCCGGTCCCTTCGGCAAACAGAAGTAGGGTTCCATTATTATGAAAAATTTCGCAAAATTAGTCGCAGGATTATCGCCAAGATTTCATAAGGTTTGTAGAATTTTTGTCACACATTATGGCACGTCCCTATCAGATGAAGGATGATGTGATATCTCCTACCCAAAGCAGCGCCCGCTCAATAGGGGGGCATGGCCTCCCCACTTTTCGCTTAATAAAAGAATACAACCGGCTTGAATTATTTATATAGATAAACCTTAGATTACAACAAATACTTCTAACCAAAGTAAACAAGTAAAATAACATAGGGGGGGGGGGGATTGGGAATGGCTGAATTACCCTGAGTACCAGACTCACTATATATTTCATATAAAGTGAGTCTGGTACCCAGGGTGTGTCTGAATTGGCCCTTGGAAACTGTCGTTATTGTACCAAGACTTTTGGCAGGCATTATATATTCGGAAACCTGATTCGGATTTTTGAATGAACATAATTTGCAAGGAGCAAGATCGTATGTTGTTGATTCGAGAATTTTACACGCACCTGCAGATTAATGGACTGTACTACAGATATGCGTCATTTGACTGAAGTTACTTGACGAAAAATGTTATTTTTATATTTTGATTAGCATAATCATAAGACGTTACAATAAAAAATGCGCATTTATTAACTTAAGGAAAGTTTCTGAAAGTTTTTTAACTGCGACATATCAAGAACATATGCGTACCAGATGGGAAGGTTAACAGTCGCAAGGATTCGAATGGCTATTTCGAGGGTTAGTTTGTCCTTGTTGACAACTCTATCTCATATTTATCCAAGTTTCTTATAGCAAAAGCAGTCGACTATGATGAAAATAAGACAACTTGATGTGTACCGTAAGTCTTTGAATAGGCCATTAGGGGCATATTTCAAAAAAAAAGAATTTGAATGGGAGTTATTCGAGGGAGGTCTTTCTCGAAGGTCGAGATTTATTTAGCAGCAGTCAAATGTTTTTCGAGTGTTAATTTTTTTCCTCTATTTGAGGATGGTCAGTATGCTTCGAGATGCAGATATATTGGGATAAACACATTGCTGTCGAGACAATACCTCCGCCCACGGGGGTATATTCGAGGGAAAAGGCTTATTAAACAAAAATTACCTTTTTACGAGGGTGGGGACTATTCGAGGAATTGCGGTAATACCCTGTAGCTTCCGTCACTAAAAACTTGGATCTAAAACCATGAAACTATTCAAAAGGACTCCGCTAACATCATTACTGTCAAGTTTTGAAGCAACATTTCAGTATAGCTTTATTCGTTATGTCAAAGCAGTCTACTGTATTCAAAAGTGCTTGTTTCGACAATGCACTTGCTAGAATTGATTGAAACCGTCTTGGGAATCACGAATGGCTGAATGAATCTGTTAATAAAGAAGCATTTTTATGACTTCTTTGTTTAGTAGAAATATATACTTTGGATCTGCATATTTCTATAGCTACTTCTTGTTTTAATTTTGCTACTTACTACTGGTATCTATAACCACTTCAAGTGGCTAGTACAATTGATCCTCTCTTTCTGATCCAGGCTCAAAATGTTAAAACATCAAGTGCCACATCATCGTCCTAGGCTGAAAACTGTTTTTCCTTTGGCGTTTAAGCTGTTTCAAAAACATAAAGGAGAAAGTACAAAGAAGTATATTCTGTTGATCACAAAGAATCCACTCAGTTCGGAAAGATTCTTTCAGCTGGAGAAGATCCTTGCAAAGAGGAAAATCATTCTAACTGTGAGTGCTTTGAAAAGCAATGGAAAAGGATACATGATATTCAAAAAGAAAATTATTCATTTAGAATATCTGCCATTTGAGAGAGGTAAGATTTCAGATATCTGTTGGCGGCAGGGGACCATGGGGTAGACTGAGATGGACATGTTCACCCCACTTTTCATCAGTAGATTTTTATTTCATGATTAGCCGATTAATGGTCAGGATGGGGGGGGGGGGAACAAGTCGGATAGTTTTGATTTCCCAGCAGCTAATCAAGGATTACCTATAAGTCCACATTTATTACGTTTTAATGGAGAGCAAAGAGATTAAGTTTTATGACGTTTATTTTGCTTTACTTTATATTGCCAATCCGTCGTTAAAAGTAATTTAATGATCTTTAGATATTTAGATATTATATGTTAGTCTATGTCTATGAATGTCACCTGTGCTTTCGCAGAGAAGATTATAAATTGTTTCTGCTTCCCCAGAAAATTAAAGATTCTTTTTGGTACAAATAAAATTATCTGCCGGTAAGCATTTTGCCAGCTCTGTAGCTATGTTTGAAGGTTTTCCTCAGATATCAAGCTGAAAACCAGATAATTTCCCTACAAAAATTCCCAGCAGATGTTCTGATTCTCATGTTTATCGTTTCAGAATCCTTTACCAGATGTGACAAGTCTGGGGTTGTCTATGATGAATGCAACAGAAAATGCTACTGTATTGATGGAAAAATGATGAAATGTGCTCGAGTCAGAAAGGAGTTCACAGAGATGTCAATACCTGAGAGAAAAAGATACATTTCTGCATTTAAAAAGCTGGCCGCTGATGAAAGATACAAGAAAAGGCACGAGAACTTCGTTAAAATTCACAAAGATTTATTCTTTAAAGGTGGGTAGCATTCTGTTAATGAACCTGGAATTTTAACCTGACAGCGTGGTCTAATGGTTTTCTGCTGGGCAGAAAAGAGGCTAGCGTACAAATCGTGGAGACCTTACAATCTGGAACCCCGTGTCCTGCAATCTGAGAGAGAAGTTTCAGAACAATGATTTTCGTAAGAGATTTTAATTTTTAAAAAGTTTGTTAAGGGAAATATTACTTTCCACTCTGCATAGATAGGAACAGAAATAATTCACGAACGATTTAAAATTTCTGATGCGAAGTAAACTGACAGTAACAAGCCATGATAAGGAAATGCGAATTTTTGGAGTGGGTACCAGAATCTCCAAAATTTAGTCTCAGAAATGCACTTTAAATCTAGTCACATAAATATTATAGGACATAGATCGAAAACTCTACGAAATACCCATATACATATATACCCAGTTGTAGATCGAAATAGGCCAATCAGAAACGTGAGCACATGACTATTCATATTGAGGTTGCCCAATCAGTGTCACTTGCCTAACGAGATTCCAATATTAACTAAAATAAAGTTGCGCTTATAGAGTATTTGATAGTAACACTACAAAAAGGGTTCATTATTGCAAAGATGCTTCCTATGGGCTAGGCCCATTGACCCAAATTACCTACCGACACCGTGACACCCACATTCTGTCCCAGATTTGCAACTATGTTCTCTAATGATTTCAAATGTGTGCTCAACTCCTATGTTTTCAGGTATTCACACAAAGAATTACTTCTTGCCCTGGCATCGATGGTATTTGCTGAAATTTGAAAACCTGCTTAGAGAGATTGACTGCAGAATAACGATTCCATATTGGGATTGGGCCTTCTGGTCAGACGTGCCTTGGGTAGCAAATATGCACATCTGGAATTCACACGATTATGGTCTAGGGGGCAATGGGGATCCAAAGAAAGGGTATTGTGTTCAAGATGGACCTTTCAAAGAAGGTGAGACTTTAACTCATATCGAAATTCTTAAGACTGCTTTACAAACAAGTTGCAGTAACCTTGATACCAGAGCCATTTTCACTGACCTCGTTTGCAGTGGCTCTGGAACCGAGGATAATGTTGCAGTTAGTTTAATTCGGAACATCAACACCTTTAATTGCTTAGTACTTCCGTAACCTGAGATTCGATGGCAAAGATTGGGGCTACCTCAGAAACTCTCTCTAGAAGCCCCATCTGTATTAATTTTCTATCCTGCAATGTACAGTTGAAAAGATTCTTGCTAACATACTATAGTTTTATGCTGAGCATTTTGGCTCAAAACTGTAACACTGCAGCTTTGAAGTAGTACTCCGAGTGTTTTAAAGTGTCCCTTTGACTATTAATCTAGGGTAATATTGTTTTTTGACAGGGTCATTCAAAACACCAGATTTCGACAATAAGGGAGAGGTACTTGATGCTGTTGCCTACGCAATAGAAAGCTCGAAGGTGCCAAAAATAAAAACATCAAACAAGGCAGGATGCTTAAGAAGAAGCTTTAACGGCAAACCAGTTGGTGTGCCGTTAATCAGAAAAATCTTAAGAAGCCGTGCTGCATCGTTTTCAGTGTTTGAGAACGTCGTGAGAGTGTCACTGCACAATTCTATGCACAATGAAATAGGTATGGCCAAGCTTAGGGCATGATTTTTTGATTCATTTCACTTTATTTTCAGTTATCGATTTTCAAATTCTGGATTTTATTACCATAAAACATGTACCGATATGGAACAAGAAGTCGACGTTGATTAACTGCTTCACTGTCAATTTATCCTCTTACAAACTTCTGACTTTCTGAAACATTTTCTCAAAGATTTCTTTTTAGTTTAAACATAATGAAAGCTAGGTTTGGTACAAAATGAAGATGTATAGAGCCTATGAACCAGGTACTGTTAAACGTACTGCTAAAAGAACATCCCAATAGCGAAAAATCCCGAATAACTGACATTTATTTTGTCTCAAAACTCAATTTTTTCGTTCGAAGCCTTGTGAAAGCAACCCCTATCATCCAGTGCTCTTTCCTAACACCTGACCGCTCCTCCGCTTCTTCGCTCTTCCCTTCTATTTCTACTTTAGTTATTTGCGACCCTTGTACCCATCGTACCGAATTGTCAATCCTTTGCAATCAGTATAAATTTAGAATAATTTTGCCGATTTTGTCTCTTTTAGGTGGCCACATGTGCTCTGAGTACGCAAGCGTGACCCCTGAATTCTACCTGCACCATGCCTTCCTCGACAAACTATGGTACACTTGGCAGCTACACAGCAAAGCATGCCTTAACGCAAGATTCACTAAATTCAATCATAAAATGACAAAATTTAAGTGTAATCACAGTCAAAAGGAATTTATAGACTCCAGCAAGCTACCGGGACATGTTGACGTCACATATACGGATTATTACTATAAATATGAAAAGAGTAAAAGCCATGACATTGTTAGTACCTTGAGAAGTGACATTGAAGAAACTGGAACGCAAAAGGACCCGTTCACAGTAACTGATAGCGAGGCAGATGAAACGAGCCCGGCCACAGTAACTGATAGCGAGGCAGATGAAAGCAGCCCGCACAGAACAACTGTTAGCGAGGCAGATAAAAAGGACCTGGGCACAACAAATGACAGCGAGGCAGATGAAAAGAGCCCGTACACGGTAACTGATAGCGAGGCAGATGAAACGGACCTAGGCACAACAACCTACAGCGAGGCAGATGAATCGACATTCAATGAGAATAATGACAATTTTAGGGACACTTTTCGGCCTCCTTATAAGAAGCATGTTTACCACGAATATATTCATAAGTTATTGGGTCACAAAAGTGCGGAATTCTGAAAGGCTTTATGTTGTTTGTGGATGTATTTGCCAAGCAGTTTAGCATTGTTATATCGGGGAAAGCAATTGCTTCTAGATGTTGTTATTTTACTTCATGTTGCACGTACATTAGTTATTACTTTTTTGGTCGCTAATCAATATGTTCGCAGAGCAAAAACGGATTAAAACTTCTTTTTTGTTTCCTTGTTTTGCAAGTGGGTATACAAGAGTCTCCAAATTACCTTTGCAATGGGCTATAGTGTTTGCAAGGAATGCTGCAATGGAATGCCAAAAGTAAAGCCTTGGTCCAGATTGAAGTTCAACCATCCACACTAAGGGTGTTTTGAAGGAGGTCAACACCTGATAATAAATTCTCACCAGGTGCGTATTTTATGGGCATTTGGGAGCTGCCACACCCCTAGTCCTTTTGCTGGTTTGGTAGCAAAAATATTTTTTCATATAAAAATCACCTAGAGGTAGGATAGAGGGGCAACATCTTTCTTCATTTACTTTTCGCTTCTGTTCCACTATTAAGAAAAAAGCAGAAATTCTGACTTCCAAATGCTATAGGTTCAGGGTACTAAAAAACTTTAAAATATAAAGAATAAAGAGAATATGAGCCGGAGGTTTATTTTACTATTTCCCTACATTTTTCTCACGTGTCTCCCAAAGCAAGAGTGCCCTGCTCGCTTCTCCTAGAGCAAGAAAAATTAAGGCACATCATAGCTCTTTATTCCCCTCTTTTCTCTAGTGTTGCCAGTTTACCAGTTGCAAATTCCTGATAAATACTAGTTTACGATCAAAACCAAAGGTGGTTTACATCTAAAATGAATACTAAGATGGCCAGAGAAGGACCCTTTCCTTTGAAAGTGATCTACCTTGCTGTTTCTTCGATTGATTTCTTATTAATTGTGTGATGTGCTTTTCTAAGAAGTGCTTGTTCTTCAGTTCTATAAATATGCATAGAATGATAATTATTTCAAAACGTAACTGAATGCATTGTGTATACTCCAGGTATACTTACAAAGACAAGGCATTTCCACAGTGAGCTCCTTTTAACCATTTACTTTCTTTTTATTGAAAGTTTCCAGCAATACAACAGTGTCTGCAATGTGTTAATTATGCTTGCGACCTTTAAGGCAGAAATTGTCGTCTGATAGAAACTCTTCTTTGATTCGCAAATTTATAGACTGGGGTTAAGAATCTGACGTCACAACACGTCACAATCAAAATTGGCAAAAACATGAAAATGAGGCTGAAGCAAAAAATACCCATCGAGCAATTTTATGATAACGAGTCTTAAACTTTATAGTCTAGATAAATTATCATTCTTCAAACCTTATGCAACTTTAATCGTACGCCAATCATTGTCATTTGTCACTTTATAGAAGAACTGTCATCAAAATGCTGTAACGACACTCTGCTTCCCTCTCTTATCTTTATTGTTCATAACCCTGTCGTCTAAATTTTGGATCTTTAAGGGTGAGGGGGAGAGGGCCGCAGGGGTGGCGCCAGAAATCTTCCGACAGAGGGGCTGGAGCTTCCGACAGGGGGGCTTAAATGACTAAAATAAGCAGTTTTCGTACGTTATTTTGTCAAATTTGCATCGACAAAAACCTAAAATTTCCTCCGATTGGGGGGCTAGATGCTTCCGACGGAGGGGCTGTAGCCCCCCCTAGCCCTCCCCTGGCGCCACCACTGGAGAGGGGTGTAGATACTGGGCTACATAAATGCATTCCTTATATACACACATACCGACATGACCATACAGACTTTACACATGCATTGTTGGGACGACAGTTTCTTAAAGATTTTGCAGAATATTGCTCATGTACCTTGAAGAGTATGAATACATATTGTCCCATTGGCATAGCCGCATCGATTACCCACATATACATACATATATGCATTTATGTTTTGTTGGCAAAGACAACGCACTCAGTACATTTTGTATGCACTTTAATTGCACTAAAAACTAACTCTCTAATTAATTGCAAACACTTATATGTATGCAATATGACATTGATTGTATAAATGTGTCCTATTTCATCGTCCCCCTCCTAATTATAAAACAAGGACTTATTTTTTGCTGCTTTTCGCATTTTATAATTATTTTTGCTTACTAAACTTAAAACAGCGTATTAGCGATGTAAACGGGCAAATGTAGCACTATCTAACGTTTTGATGTATACACCCCCGTGAGACGCATCCTCTAAATATAAAAATTTTATAAACAAATCTGGGTTGTGTGTCATTGTTATGGGTAAAGTTGTTCTTAGTGCCTGTAAGGGAAAGGCTGTCTGATAAATTTTCTATCACACTATTTTTTAAAATCCTCTTTTGATCGCAAATTTTGGGAAGAAAAATTTCCTGTGAAATTAGTTTTGGAAACTTGTGGTTCAAAAACATAAATTATGCCATAAAATTATGTCTTTGAAGACAAGCAGGAGTCACATATTCTCAAAGCATGTTCCAGAGTCACATATTTCGCTAAGAGACGAACTCCAGACCTTCCCCCTCCTACATGCATGACCCGATGTTGACTTCGGTCGGTCAAGTAGTGGTGGCGCTTAGTCTCGAAAGGCATGATGGGTAGCAGCGGACCATTTCCCACTCTCCATGATTTGCATTGATAGTAGACTGATGATGTTGGTGCATAATACGTGGAAATACATTCATTTACTGCAGGAATTTTGAAAATAATGATTTGATTATAGCAAATGATTTGGATAGATCAGAAAAGCATGTGAAATGACATATTTGTGCAACTGTTATTGCAGACATTCAGCAAAGTAGAAGGCAACACAACGTGTTGGCCTTGAGTTGGTTAGGGTAGGCCTACAGGAACTAAGAAAGGCCTGACGCAAGATGCAGAAAGAACGAGGGGTAAAGACAAAGTACATGTTCCTGAAGAGGGCATTGGAGAAAATTTTGGGAGAGAAAGAGACGAAAAGAGCTCATCATGCCCAGTTGAGGAAGGCTTGTGAAATTGCACTGCGTAAGTATCAATAATCGAGGAAGTATTGTTTTTAAAATCAGCAATGCAGGTCTAGGATCTAACTTACTTTGGTGTTTAGAGTAGCCTAACCTTTACTTAACTCGATAAAGACGAGTTTCAAATGAATGGGGACAGTATGCAGGGTTCCCAAAGCATAGCGCAGATGGAGCAAGTTGCAGACGAGTTCTTTGATCTTCTTATTTTGCACAGCATGGCCTTAGTCTGTCTGTGTTGGTGTTTGTATGTATATGATGGTGTGTTAGTTTCAGTGTGTCAACACGATAAAATGTGTTTAAACAATTGGCAAAAGTGTCAAATCAAATGATGTATTCATGTACATTAGTACACTTGTTGGTCCAAGGCATGCCATCATTGTCAAAGAAAGAATCACTCAAATGGAATTGTGTAGACATCTAAGCTCTACATATATCTTGCATAGTGTGAGGTTATAACAATATTTTACTTATTCAAACTGTCTTTGCTTATCAAAAGCTGTTTTAATTTCTGTCTCTGCTTTTTGCAGAGATGTTTGAATAGCAAGTTTTTTAATTCTGAAATAACATTCATTGTTATGAGAAAGTTAGAAATTTCTCAATACTAAAAGTTCTTTAGCTTTTTTGAATAAAAGTCAGTGCTCAAACTCTCTTAGTAGTGTTGTTTATTTAGGTTGCAATTTAACAAGATTTAGCTGTCCCTTGAGAACTTTTGCTTTCTCATGCCAGAAAATTCTTTCTTATCACCCAAGAAATGAGGTTTTGCAATCTTCTCAGAAATTTTTGAAAAAGTAAAGAACAATTCCTGATATTTTTGCACCCATGCTCAGAGTTTTGTAACTTCTTAGTTGTGTTGTTTCTTATAGAATGTTATTCAGGCTTTCGCGGCAAAAATATGGCAAGCATGCTTACCTGAAAACATCCACCGCATACCTGAAAACACCCAGGCGTGTGGTGGCGTGTGACATTTTTTCGCAATAATCCAATGACTAATCTACAGTAGAATCCCGATAATATGAAACTTATGTTAACAAGATTTTGATGAGAAGCCCAATAATTTTGATGAAATTTATTTCGCTGAATCCTTAGCATCACTCACTACTAACATTTCAACAAAAAAACGTGTTATTTCTGAAGACTTGAGCAAGTTTCTACATAATTTTCATCAGCTTTGATAATATATCCTTAGCAGAGTCAGTAGGGTTTGGCGTTCATCTAGTTGTAATGACTGTTTTTGTGTGTAAATCCGTGCCCTGAGGGCCTTCGGTTATCAAGCATCACAGCTATTTTATGTATATACCTCACTGGCCAGATGTTGATAATCCATAAAAGAGAATGATGGGCCATTTTTCATTAATTTAAATGTCGCCAAAATCTAGATTTATAGTAAAGCAAAGTCAGAGAAGGGGGCTTTATATGGGTAGCGAAATCCGCAAATCTGCTACTTTTTCTTGCGTAATTGGCAATGCTACTTTTGCTAAATTAGCAATCGAAAATGAAAATCTTGTTAACAACACTTAATGTTTCTTATAAAGTTCAGAGACAAAAATCTCTGTTGTTTTATTCTGTGTTTGGATTTGTTCACTGAAATGCCATAAAGCCTTGGAAAGGTGTAAACTTTTGCACAAATCTCTTTTTCATTTTTTGCATCATAAAAATGTCTGTTTTGCCAATGAAAATAATTATTCCCATGAGAAAAAGTGATAAATATACACCAGGGAAAAAGTAGGCCAAAATAACGGTGAGAATTTATAGAAACGTTGGTCATGTTGAGGAAAATCATGATGAAAGGACATACAATTCGGTTGGTAATAAAGAAAGTTCGTGATATATGGGATTTGTTATGCCGAGGAAATTTGTAAGGGGTTCGGCAGAATTCAAGGGGCCAGACTCATTTTTGTTATACCAGAAAATTAGTTATAGCCAGGTTGAAGCATATTATCGGGATTCCACTGTAGATTAATCCTATGATTATTTCAAAATTTCCTTATTTTAAGTAGCATGAAGTAACAGTACAGAGGAAAGATTAATATTTAAACCCATCTCGAATACCAACAAAACCAATCATTGATAGAGAATTTTGCTCTCAGAATAAAAGAAGGTGTGTGACATTTTGCACTCCTTGAAAGCAGTAGGCCTGCATCAGATCGTGCGCGTGCGATCTCACGCCTTTCTGATGGAAGCCTGTTTTTGCAAAAAGATGTGGCTATATGCCAAAGTTGAAATGAGTTAGAATTTGCAAGGAGGAATGTGTGATTGAAATTTTGTAAGAAATCAAGGACTCTTTGAATTGAATGAAAACATTACATTTAAAAATGTATAAGCTAGGGAGTACAGAGGGCAGATAACCCCCACTTCTCAGAAACTGTAGTAATTGACCTATTTACAGCTGGTTGATGTGACCCTTTTTTGACTACATGTGCCCCCCACTTTTGAAATGCTTCCTATCTCTATGCATTCATTACATATGTTGTTTATATAGAATGAGTTTTGTTTACTTGACAGCTTACAATACCCCCTGACAATATCAACATGTTCTGAAATACCTGGTTTCATTATAAGCGGAGCTGATAATCAGAGTTAAATGAATCCTTGTTGTTTGCAAGTTGGGCTTGAAACTCAGTTCCAACTTATTTCCTTTATCCCCTAAAAGTCCAGATATTCACGAATTGTTCCATAAATGCTCAAAATGCACTATAGACATTATATTGTGGTATAGTTACAAAATTGGCTTTATAGGTATATATAGTTTATAGAAAAGCAACCAAATTACAACCTGCTTTGAACATGGTTCAACTTTTTTGCAGCATTTTAAGACAGTTTGTCATTATGAGGCATGGCAGTTTTGCTTTAATGTGATAGGATGCTGAATTTGATATCTAAAGTGATTTAGGTATATGTTTCATTTAAGTAAGCAGTTAAGAACTTGCCTGTTTATTGCATTTAGCATGAAACTCTGTGTGTAGCTATTGTCAGATCACTAGCAGATTTACTCTATACTTTTTTTGCTTTCTCTCTCCCAGAGGAAATTCTAAAGGACCCATCAAGTTCACCAGGAGGGACAGAAACCGGAACAAGGTAAAGTTTTACTAAATTTTTTATTAATTGGGATTTTATTTTCAAAACTGCATGGTTTATTTGGTAAAATGAAATAATAGATATTGTCAAAGGCAAAAAGGTCTGTAGGTAATCAAATATATACAGGTTTATACATAAAAAAAACTTTCATTTTATGATATTTTATGATATATTCTCTTTCTTCTAATGGACAAACCATACCACTTCAAAAATCTTTGTCGCCAATGGAGGGTAGCTTCAAAATCTATTCTCTTATCTTTTGCAAACATTTTTCGCTTTGAGGGGACTCATGGTAGTTGAAGCTGCAATTCCTTTTTGATATTTTGTTTTTATCCTTTCAAACATTCCAGCTTCAAGTCAAGGGTTCAATAGCAATTTTCCCTATTTTTTTTAAGCGATGTAGTGGTAGCTATCTAACAACCATGTGGCTTGTTTCTCCCATCTCAAACGAGCTGATTTATAATGATAAAACTAGCAAAGCCCACTTCAAGTATCAACAAATTGCCCTTGGAAAAGATGCAGCTTTTTACAGTATCTAGTATCCGGTCAAATGAGCACACCTAACATTGGTTTGAAAATTAGATGCCAAGGATGATATGATGTATCTTTTGTCCTTCTTGTTGGATAATTATTCTGAACATTTTGTTTTTTAGTGATGCAGATTACTCTGATGGTTATGATTCTGATAAAAATGTCCTGGTCAAAGCTGACAAATACTTTCTACCATTTGAGTTGGCTTGTCAATCAAGAAGCCCTAAGATCATTTCAAGTGCATTGGATTGCCTTCAGAAGATGATTGCTTACGGGCATATCATTGGAAACGCTCCAGACAGCCGGCAGCCAGGACGAAAATTGATTGACAGGATTGTTGAAACTATTTGTGGATGCTTTATAGGACAACCAACTGACGAAGGAGTTCAACTTCAGATAATCAAGGTAAGACCTTGTTTTATGTTTTGTATCTTATTTCCACTTTCAAGTATTATTGAATTTTAGTTTGTTGCCTGAAGGAAAGAACATATGATTTGATAAACTAATTGTAACATGCATCCAAACTTTGATATTGGACAGTTTGTTTGGATAATGGAAATTAGTGTCTGTTGGATATTTTACACTTTTAGGGTAGGCCTAAAAATGCAGCATAACGAAACCATTCTCAAAAAAACAATGTCATCAGATGTATATTAGGCATTGCCCTTAATCAATAACAATACAGAAGAATGTATCAAAGATCATGTTGTTTCCACCCTGGTGAAACCTGGCTTGAAAAAATGTTTAAAGATTATTGCAGAGTTTTTATTAACATGGATACATTTATTATAAATTTAACAGTTTAGAGAAAAATTTTGATCCTCTTTTCTTTCACTCCTGCCTATGGAGTGTAAAATAGGTTAACCAAGTAATATTTTGTAAATAAAACTTATACTTATTTTCTTTAAAGGCCTTGCTGACGTCTGTGACCTCAAATACCTGTGAAGTGCACGAGGCAACATTGCTGCAAGCAGTCCGAACATGTTACAACATTTACCTTGCCAGCAAGAACTTGATAAATCAAACAACAGCCAAAGCTACATTGACTCAGATGATTAGTGTCATCTTTCAGAGGATGGAAGCCAAAGGGGTAATGTGTTTTGATTTGCAGTTGTTTACATTGAAATGTATGTAAATAGTTGTATGCCTCCATGCCGGGCTGCTTATGTCCAAAATCAGCAACGTCTCTAATCCAAACGGAATAGACCAATTCGACTTACCGACTCGTTTTGGAAATTTCTCCAAATTTAATTATACGACTTTTTTAAGCTCAGATTTGGTTTTATCACAATAGATTTAGGCTTGATACAATTTTTCATTTTGTTTGTGCTTGTAATTTTGATTTTATGGAGAAATTAAGTTTGAAAACTTGCAAGGGATTTGACCGCAAAAATCATTCCGGGTGAAACTTTACCCCCCTAGTCGCCAATCAGGGTCAAACCTCTTATAAATTTTTATCTTTATGTCGTCATAAAATCAATATCGTGAGCAATAACGTAAAGAAAATATCTAAGTGGACTAAAATCATTGCTCTTAATCCGAATCTGAGGTTTAAAATTTTGTACAAAAGAATTTGAAGAATTTTTCAAAATGATGCTGTAAGTCGAATTGGTCTATAGGCAGATGCCTTTGAGCCCAGAATCCAGAAATGCTTCTCTGGAAAATGAGCAAATACTTTGGCGATGTGCAAATGTAAGCTATTTGGTGTATAGAACATGATGGTTCTAAATTGCTACTTTGAGTTTTGCGCTTAATGCAATCATCAGGCAATTGTGCCAAAGCAGGATGAATTCTGACAGCTTGCAACTTATTAGGAATCTCCTATCTACGAATACAGCTAGTATTTATCAAATAGGTATCACTCTGTTCTAGAATTAGATAAAAAGTTAAAACTGAAATGATTTTGAACCACCTGAGAATATTCTAAGTTGTTATGATAAATATAAACGTATCGATTTTAGTGAAGTAATGGTTTTGAACTGATGGATGTGAAATGAAAAAACGCGTAAGGGGATCAATAAGGCTTTGCTGGCAGCATAGTATTTTTTCTTGCTGTGGTAACAAGCTTTGCTTAATGACTGAAGGCCTGCCTGCACCTGTTCTGTAGCACAGTTGTTACTCACAAACCATTTGCAAGCTTACCAAATTCAAAGTTATGAGAAAGGCTGTTACCAAGTTCATTGTTTCATGGCATTTCTAATGTCATTTATCAATCATACATGTAACTTGTGTTCTTTTCTGTTAGCTTCAGGATGAAGAGAATGAATCAATGGATTCGAGTAGTGAGGGACAATCACAGACACCCACATCTAATCAGGCAGAATCGTCGGGAAATCAACAACAAGATTTACAGGAATCAAGCTCATCACAGCCTTCTACAGACAAAGATTCTCCTTCGCCCGATGTGGGTAGTACCAGCGGAAAGACCAGCTCCTCACCTGCAACTCCTGTTCCGGATCGAAGGGAATCCGAGCTACAAAACAGAGATAGAGCGGAATCAAGTCCTAAAACCCTGAAAGAACTGAGCCAGGAGATCAAAAAAACACTGAGCGAATCCAACGAAGAATCGGATAGTGCTGCGGACAAAAATGGTAGGCATCACACTTAAGTTTTAACAACTATTCTCTCGCTTACCACTGTTAAAAATGCTCAAACTTCTCTCTAACAACTATTCTCTCGCTTACCACTGTTAAAAATGCTCAAACTTCTCTCTAACAACTATTCTCTCGCTTACCACTGTTAAAAATGCTCAAACTTCTCTCTAACAACTATTCTCTCGCTTACCACTGTTAAAAATGCTCAAACTTCTCTCTAACATATATTCTCTCGCTTACCACTGTTAAAAATGCTCAAACTTCTCTCGGCAACACTCACAACTCTTGACTGCCCCTCGACTGTACTTGAGGCATTGAGTCATGGTAAATAGACCTTCTCTATAGGGGGTCATTTGGTTTCGGCGTGATCGCTGCTGTTTCATGTGATATTGGCATCGTTTTTGACAACTTGCTATTGATGAAAATTGTTTTGTCAATCAGTACGAGGTGAGTTCATGTGACCAGTTCAAGGTCAACCAATAGCATCGCAGTCATGAAAATCATGACTCAGCGGATTTTGGCACTTAGGGTATACCCAATCCATTTTATCATGACTCAATGCCTTTAACAACGTCGATAGCATTTGAACAGTCCTCTGCCCGACATTTTATGCTCAGAGGAGTGTCCGTTGAAAAGTTACATGCATGTTTGTTGTCACAGCTTGTCGATAACTTAAGAAACTTAAAAGGTGAGCTTATGTTTGTGGTAGAGCTGTTAAGTACTCAAAACAAGCAGGCTTCTAGAGGTACTCTCTTTCAACAAGTATAACGTCCAGCTGTGGTAATGGTATAACCAAAGGGAAGTACAAAATGACTGAACCACAGTAGAGATGTATACAGAGCTCCTGTCCAGCCCTCTCCCATTCAACGACCTTTGTTATTATCTGCTTTTCCCGGACACTTCATATTATTCTGTACTCCTTTGGAAATCATTGATTTTAAAGATTTTGGCCAAAGCCACAAGCCGTTTTCAAAAAATTCTAATCTAGCAAGCCATTTTTCAATTTAAAATCTTTTAAGATTGTTTCTGCCTTTCTGTTATACGAGTGGCACCAGAGACTTTGACTGTAGCTAGTTTTGTTCTAATAGCATTATCTAATTTTTGGCAAGGTGAGACTTGCAATGCCTGTTGAGATTTAATAAAGTGTATACACATTCGAAAATGAACATAATCCTACAATGTTCGTTGTTAATATCGCAAGCAATGACTACTTAATTCACGATGAATTATTGTTTATGCTTAGGTAAAGATACACATGTAACAGCACAACCAAATATTGCAGAATCGAATGAAACTGCTAAAGTTGAAAGCAATGGCGTCACCGAAGAGAGTGCTGTTGTTTTTGATGAACAAAAGGAAAACATCAATGTTGACAATGAGGCAGGTGAAAAAATAGACACGGTTGAAGGGCAGAGCACAGAAGTTAAAGTGCAAAGTTCAGAAGTGAAACCAGAGGAACATATGACATCAAAACCCGAAAGTGATGGGAATGAGCCGACAGATAACGGCAATTCTAGTAACTGGGCAAATTTTCAAAGCTTTGATACCAATGCAAACTCACAAGATTCCCAGGCAAAAGAGGGTGAGTCCCAGAGTAAAGAAGGTGATTCCCAGAGTAAACTGGATGATTCCCAGAGTAATAAGGGTGATTCTCGGAGTAAAGAGGCTGATTCAACGATTAAAGAAGGTAATTCTAAGACTGAAGAAGGTAATTCCGAAAGAAAAGATGTCGAGAGAGAAATAAAAGAGGAAAAAGGCAAAGATCACGAGAAAGCCACATGTGATGGTAAAAGTGACCAATCATTGGAGGAAACGCATAAAGCCAAGGCGGATGCAGATAACAAAGTCAACAATAGCCACACCGAAGAGCCTACTGAACCGGGAAAGACAAAAGGTGAGATTTAAAGTTTTTATTTGTGCATTGGAATAAATTTGCTTTAATGTTCCACTTAGCAATCAACTGGTAAATAGTTCCACTTAGTTGTGTTTTGTATGTATTTAATGAAAATGTATGTTGATTCTTCAGATGAACCTCCTCGATCAGAGACCCCACAGAGTGCCAATCAAACTTTAGATGACACGCATTCAGTATCTTCAGTCCAAACGGCAGAAGATCGCCAGTCTGTGAGTTCGCAGGAAGGGACTATTGACTCGCCTGCAGCACAGCACACCGGGGCAGCTGGTTTCACCCACGTGTTACAAAAGGATGCATTTTTGGTCTTCAGATCTCTTTGTAAGCTGTCAATGAAGCATCTCACAGATGTATCTCAGGATTTGAAGTATGTTTTTTAGTCTTAGGTGTATAGCTCTGATGCCAAGTATAGGGAATGATATAAATCTTCAGAAAAAACAAAGATTTTTTAATGGTGGGGCTGTCTCTTTGCAAGTAATGACCTTATGAGCAGGATGGACCCTATGTATTAAGAAATCAAATGAGTGTATTTGTTGATTCTGGTACGCGTTTGGGGACAAAAATTTAACAAGGAACCTGATATGCTCCTTTATCTTGACAGCGGATGCATACTGTTTCAGGTATATAGACCGTAATAGATTGCAAGTGTACAGGAAGCTAAAGCATACTTTCATATGAACTTTGTTTTTGTAATCCTTTTCGGAGATTGCCACATTTGGTACTTAGTAAATGGTTAGAAAGTCCATCTCTCAGCTGTGTTTATTGTTCCTGTAAAGAACGAGATTCATTTGCCTTTTCTCTTCTTCTACGCTAGTTTTTAATTAAATTGAGCTACACCAGAAAACGGTTTCTTGCACATGGTGAATTGAGATAGAGAACTTACCGTATTCTGCCTAGGAGCTCTCTTGTATTTCTACATATACATTGATCAGATTACGTATCCATAATTGCTACCCTAAACTATATTGTCAGTAATCCTCAGCATTTTTCATCTAGGTCACACGAACTACGATCGAAGATTCTGTCGCTGGAGCTTCTACTCTCGTGTCTTCAGAATGCTGGAGATGTTTTCAAAACAAACGAGATGTTTGTCAGTGCCATAAAACAGTACCTTTGTGTCGCTTTATCCAAAAACGGAGTGTCATCTGTGCCACAGGTCTTTGAGCTGTCACTTGCAATTTTTGTTACTCTGCTGTCTGACTTCAAAACTCACTTGAAGAAGCAGATCGAGGTAAGCCAACCCTAAACCGTACTGAAGACAATTTTACTTCTTTTTATTAAGTCAAAAAAACTTTGTTAGCTTGCCAGTTAGCCATAACTTCCTTTCTTTCGTTCATGTAATTGTTTTGGTTTTTGCGCCGAGAGTTGACCTTTTTATGTATTCTCGAGGGAAATTAACAGAATGGATGGTATTTGAGAACTTCAGCTTAAATTGTGAATCATGAAAATTACTCATATAGTATTCGATACTGTTTATGCTCTTTGGTGTTTAGAACAGAATAGGACAGTTGTAGATTTCAGTAAAGCATCTTTACAAACATGGGTGACTTTTGGAAGATAAAGTGGTCTTTTGAACTTCATTTTCCGATCATTTTGCAACAAATCCTCTTTTTTTTCGTTCAGGTTTTCTTCCAAGAAATATTCCTTGGTATTCTTGAGACATCCTCAAGCTCCTTTCAACACAAATGGCTTGTGATGCAAGCGCTTTCAAGGATCTGTTCTGGTATGTATGTACTAAAAACTGTTTTGCTCTGCTCCACTTCCATTTATCTCACAGCCTCCCATTTTATGAACTTTTATAAACTCTAATGAGTCTCGAGTTTCTTTGTCTCCATCTTTTTCTTCAGCTTTGCTTTCTTTTAAGTTGTAAAGCTACTTCTAGAAATTAACCAGAACTATGTCAAATCTCCGAGAGAATTCGCCAGTATGAAACAGGCTTCATAGTTGATCCGGGCATGTGAGCAAAATCAGAACGAATTGAAAATATCTTAAGTTTGCCATTTGTTTTCCCAGATGCACAGACTGTCGTGGATATCTACGTTAACTATGACTGCGACATGCATTCGGCGAACATATTTGAGAGACTTGTCAACGATCTCTCCAAAATCGCTCAAGGAAGACACGCGATTGAGTTGGGGGCAACCCCGGCACAGGAGAAGAAGATACGATTAAAAGGAGTAGAATGTTTGGTATCAATATCAAAGTGTATGGTTGAATGGAGTAAAGAACTTTATGTGAACCCAATCTCACAAGTCAATATATCAGGTAGGGTTAGCTTTGACGAAGCAAACTGTTTCTATGGGAAATGTTTTGGATTGGCTCGTTATATAGAATGGAAAAAAGAATATTGAATACCAATATGGTTTATTTTTGCTAATACTTTGTAGAGAAATCAAATTTTCTTGAGCAATGTGTCATGAGCAATTTTCTTTTAGAGACAACGGAGATTCATGATTCCTAACTCGTGGTATTCATATTGTAATTGTATTTTCAGAAAGACAATATTCAGGACCCATGTTAAAAATCGAACGTCCAAGATACACTTTTCTACTCTATCTTGTAGTTCTGAGCGGTGAAATTCGTTAGTTTAATAGTTTCCATGATGACAACTTTCCTGCAGGTTATGCCGACCTTGATGTCATATGATTTGACATTCCACGTCATATGATCCTGCGTTTTAAACTCGATAACTGCACACCTTGCTATTTTAACTGCACCGCATCTCAATGCAGAGCGTGTGATTCCAAGATGAATGGCCTATCGTATGCCAAACCAAAATCTAGTTTAAAAGTCACACATATGATTGAATCAAACACAAAAAGCAGTCTCTAAAACTTTATATCCGTCATATTTTTAAAACCTACCCCTTTTCATTACATGCGTCGTTCGAGATGTAGACTTTCAAAAAGTCTATTTTTGTTGAATCCTCGAGGCATTCATACTACTACGAGGGCAAATCTAAACTGCGAAGGAGATCATGGAGGGCGAAATACGAAGTAGTAAGCAGTACGAATGCCTTGAGGGTTTAATAAAAAATAGACTTTGGGAAAGTCTAGGCCAGATGTGCAACAAAGGAATGAGTTCCTGCAGTACCCAGCAATTGTCACCCACTGTTGCATACGTCTTTCAATTTTCGCATGACTGGGGCTTATTTTAAGGCTTGTTTTCGTTTCAACAGAAGCAGATGGCTCTGAGAGTCACAGGTCAAATGCTGCGGATTCAACCAGCGAAACGTCTTCGATGATATATGGTGGCAGCATGTCCTCGTCGAACTCCTTGTCGACGCTCAGCGTGGGCAGTAACCTTGGCACTGTATCAGATCATCCGGAAAAAATTGAGGTGCTGAAGCAGCAAAAGGAAATCATGGAAGATGGTATCAAAAAGTGAGATAGTTATGTTCGATTTTATTCTGGATGATAGTTCACAACTTAGGTACCAGGATGCTTTGTTTGTTGTTTTCCCCTCTGGTAAGGTCATCTGGTAAGGTTACGTGATTTGGAGTAACTTACCGATCTTCCAGAAGGTACTCTTTCTCAGTGGCGTAGCATTTCTGGCAGTTTCTTACGGTTACCTTCCGGCAGTAAGGACAATTTCTAATAGGCTCGTTGAAGTTGCCCCAGGTTTCAGAAAAATCTATTCCCTTGGAAGTCACGTTCACAAACGATTCTCTGTATGCCTAAATGCTATGAATATTTTTTTCTTATGCAAACTTATGACAATATCAAAAATCTTTTTTATTGAAGCAGATTTGGTTGGGATGTTTTAAATTATGTTGTTCTATTGTCGCAACTGCTATTTTTCAAACTAAGTGTGATCTAAATCAGTAATGCTACATTAGCACTATAATTGTTTAAACACATTTTCATAGAAAACTGCTCGCCACCAGGAAAGTGACGGGGGTAGTTTTATTCCAAATTAACCCATTGATGTTCATTTGCCTGCTTCTTTTACACCTCATATCACTTGCAGTCTTATCCTTAATATTGATAATGATGATAGCTTTATTACTGAAATTATTATCATTAACGCCAATGGTGGTCGAGGAGCCACCAGTAATAAACCCAACCGAACGATGTCAATCCTTCTGAGAACTGCAATGTAGCACAACTTAATCCCGTGTCAATCGTAAGCTGACTCTTGAGATGGTTCCAATGTTGCATTCTTTTCAACATGTTATCAAAAGTCTTGATTTCATGTATGATTGATTTGCAGGTTTAACGAAAAACCTATGCGTGGTGTTCGCTTTTTACAAGAAAGAGGGCTTCTGGGAGACCAGCCCGAAGATGTTGCTCAGTTTCTCTACACGGATCAACGGCTAGACAAGGTATATTCCACCTAAATCCCTTTCGATCCCCTACTAACGTAACATATGGAAGAGTCAAAGCCCTGGGGTGGCGAGGAGAACCTCTGTATAACTTCTGGATCTGAGAACCAATAAGACTAAAGACTAAAGAAGCCGTACTTTCTGAATAGAAAATACTTCTAACTGTGGTCCCTAGGAATTGTGAATAATACGGATTTGCCGTTCTGTAGATTTATCTCAATGAAATGCTTGTGTTATAACATGAATATATATTGCCGCATGCTCGACTTGAGTGTGCTTGCTCTTATTATTGCACGATATATTTGTTGTCATTCATTAGCAAGGAGACAATGAACCTCGTTTGAAGTCTTTCAATTCTCTTCAACTCTTGAACAATGTATAACGCTTTTCCTCTCTGATTCTTCTTAATACTAATATATGTCAATGCAATGCTCGTATGTGTCCTGTGCCCATCTGTATCTATTTGTCCATCTGTATTTTCCCGTCTGTATTTCTCCATATGTACTTCTCCATATGTACTTCTCCATCTGTTTCTACCCTTCGTCTTGATTTGGAATCACTTATGTAATCGTTTACAGGTCACTACTTTTGTTGCTACTGTCCACAGCTTCTTTTTTCGTTCAAATATGACAGCAGCTAGAATGTTTTTTTTGCTTTAGACTCAAGTTGGAGATCTGCTTGGCGACTGCACTGAGTAAGTTGATCATTTTTTGATCTAGTGATCTAGTGTGATCTGTGTGATATGATGATTCGCTGACCGTCTTTAGCTTTTCCCTGACACATTTACATTGCCACCCTTGCATCATTTAATTTTGCTCTGCCCATACGGCATCCAGCACTTAACGACAGACCGGTAAACAGTAATTTTCGATAGCTTCCTGAATAGACAACCGGCATTAGTTGGCCTTGTGTGCTGAATATATAACCATTGATTTCATGTCTTTTAGATACCAAAGTGAATTGATATTGAATATAAAATTCCAACGTTTCTTCGTAGGGATGCCAAGAAGATCATGTATGCATATGTTGACCAACTGAATTTCGGAGGAAAAGAATTTGTTCCCGCTTTGAGAATGTTTCTTGAAAATTTTCGACTTCCTGGTGAAGCACAAAAAATCGATCGATTGATGGAGAAATTTGCAAGTAGATATTGCGAATGCAATGCCACGTATGTTGAATTGTTTTAATTATTATCCACAACAAGTATCGAACGTATTGCTATACATATATTCATGTTGATGAGAACATCTTTTTGTTATTTTCTGTTAAAAAGGGCGGAGGGAAGGCGATTGATTCATTATAAATGTAACATATTAAAGACAGTTTTAAGGAAACTGGTGATTTTATTATCTAGGAAGCAACCTTCTTCTTTGGCTAAGTGCCTTCGAAAATTTCTATATTTTTGATGGATATGTCAGTGTTTAGTGTCATAATGTCCACAGTGATGTTTAAAGTACACAAATATACATGCCGCGATTCCTGCTTCAAAAAGTGCCAGGATAAATTGAGTCAAAATCACCATAGAGTGATCTTGTTTCGCCACAGGTAGCGTGATTCTCATAACTCATTTTTTACAGGGAGGAAATATTTGCCAGTGCAGATGCGGCTTACGTTTTAGCGTATTCGATCATAATGCTCACGACAGATTTACACAGTGCACAAGTAAGCATTCCTTTTCAATATCTGCATAGAAACGAATGTGGGGTGAAGGCTCACAAATGTGGTTTCTCATCAGTAGGCAAGACAACAAAGTTTAAAGTAAAGAAAAGTCACTTTCTTATACTAGGAAAAATGAAGAATGGGTTCAAAATTGCTGTAATAGATGTTGTTGTGATACGCATGCTCAAATGACGCAGAATGTCATTGTCCTTTACATTGGTTTATCTATTGTATGACAAAAGGGGTTCCAGCCCATTGTTTATCTCTATATCTTGTATCTAGCTCTTCTATCTCTATCAAGTATAGCTAATATTTAATGGTGTGAAATGCTTTCACTTTGATACATTCATTGGTTTATAACAAGTCTAGTCAAACAATTTGTAAACAAGTTTACATCGGCGTCTTTTCTTGTCCTATGAAGGGAGATTGCATTTTGGAAAAGTAAATGATCAACATGTCACAGCCCTGCCATATTATTTCAAAAACTTTTCATAACCCTGCCAAACTATTTGATGCCTACTAAAGGCGCTGCGTAGTATTTGATAACGCAGCATTGCACCTTTATACATTTGTTTTTTCAGGTTAAAAGAAAAATGTCTAAAGAACAATATATTACAATGAACAAAGGGATAAACGATAGTAAAGATTTACCTAGGGAATATTTAGAGAAAATATACGATGAGATTGCACAGAAGGGGATTAAAATGAAACACCCAGTGAAAGACAGCCAGCGCACGAGCAGCTTATGTAAGTAGAATAGATTGTTGGTTACTTTAGGGTTATTGATGTTTGAATAAAGGGTGGCAAAAAGGGTGGAATTAAGCCCCCACTCTCGAATAATCCCCCTTGTGTTGATGTAGGCTGAGTTTATCCCAATATATCTGCATTTTTAAGCATACTGACCAGCCTCAAATAGAATAAAAAACTTTACCCCGGTAATATTTCTGGCTGCTGAATAAGCTCCATACATACATACATACCTACATACATACACAAAATATTTGTTGAGGCAGGTCAGGTTTGGGTCAACCCAAGGGCTGGTGTGGACCTGCCATAAAAGAAAATAATTCCTAATTACAAATGTTCAGTGATTACTAAGAAAAAATAAAAAAAAATGTGTTTTCAAATCTTAAAAAAAAAATTTATCATACGGGTCCATAGACGTTGTAGCCACCTGGCCTTTATCAAATTCGATTGCATCTAGTTTCTGACCACAAGTTTTTAGTTGTTTCTTAAAGATTTCATGATTCTTCTCCCACCTTCAAATAAGTCCCCCTCGAATAATTCCCCATCCTAAAATTTTTCTATGTGAGATAGGCCCCTGGGGGCTAATTCGAGGACTTTTGGCAGTCGTATTTATCTCTTCAGTTTCGAAGCAAAAGCGAACTGTCAGTCGTAGTCAGAAACGTCTCAAATGCCTCCATCACTCAAATACGTTATACCAACCACACTCAAGCCTTACTGTCTTTTTACCTTTGCAGATGACCACCTCTATCTCAAAAAAGTTTTTCTGACTGTGAAAGCAAATAGTATTAGCTGTTTTTTTATCCTTAGATATGTTAACAGAAAAGCAAAGACGGACAATATATTTGCAGGAAATGGAGCTCATGGCCCAGACTGCAAAATCAAAAATGGAGGACGCTAAAAGTGTGGATATGACATTTCTCCGTGCTCAGCATATCGAACATGTGAGGCCAATGTTTAGGGTACGTATTTCAGTTGATTTACATGTTTGGCTGAAACTGTGCCAAAACGTTGTCGCTGAAGTATGTGCGAGGTATCAAAAGTCATGTGAGCTCGTGACAATCAAGAAACTTCTGCATGGTCGTTTCCTCTGCAGGTATAGAAAGTAGAATTTCTTCTTGGAGGGAATCCTTCTTAAGCAAGTTTAATAAAGAATCAGCTTTGAAGCTCTCGACAGTGACACCATTCGTTACTTCGAGAATGCCTATCGTTTCTGCCTAGTGGATTGAAAATCTTATGCCTATCATATGTTGTAAGATATTCGTTTAACCAAATGAAGCAATCCTAATTTACGAAGCTTTCTAGGAAACTCTTTAGGAAGGTGAAGCATATGAAACACTTTGTCTTTGGATGATTCCTGACAGCATCATAGCGTTTTCTTCATCTCTTCTCTTAATTAACCTCAGTTGATGTATTCAAAGATTTTTTTCAAGGTCTTCAATTGACGTGCGTTTTCTAAGTATATTTTGCCTCTTGGCATCTGATGTTTTTGCACTGCTTAGGATGATGTCACAAGTGAAGCTGTATCTATTGCTTCTTATTCCAAGGTGTTGAGTTCATTTTATCTGTTACTAGATAAAATGGTAATTCATCCTTGGTAAATTGATCACAGACCGTCTGTTTTTATCGATTTGCTATGATTATCATCAGCATTTCGTTAAGATGGTCTAACAATGCACATAGTTAAGGCAATGATGAATATAATCTCTGCTTCATGGAAGGTCATTGCAAAGAATGTTCAAAAAAAGGCACAGGGGGTTCTGGTAGATTTGCATTGCCAAGCCTTCTTATAGCACTGAAAGGGACATTTAGCGTCTACTAAAAATAGGTCCTAATGTTTGGGAGCCCATGCCCCCCTCCATTAACCCCATTGGATCTACTGTGGTAATGACACCTCCAAAGAACAGTAACTTCCTAAGAATTAAAATCTCTTGTAGTCTCTTGGCAACATACAGTCAGTAGCTCTCCACATTCGTGTCAGGGCTATAGTACTTTTACAATAATTTGCATAGCCTCTACTTGGCATTCATGTTTGTTTTGTCTTTTGGATCAGGCTTTTTAGCATGTTAGCAAATCTATCATACTCTATATCGACCACTTGAATATGCTCATGAATTGTATTTTTTATTCCAGGTCGCTTGGACACCAATGTTGGCTGCTTTTAGCGTAGGTGTTCAAGACAATGATGACACCACTGTAATTTCTCTTTGCCTGGATGGCATCAGATGTGCTGTTAGGATTTCTTGTATTTTTCAAATGCAGGTATGAAAATTTGCTGGATGATTTTTATAGCTACATAATTTCTTTAGGTAATTATATTTTTGCGTTTTTTTTAGCCTCTTCCGAAAGCTATTTGTCTCAAAAATATGAAATATCATTCTTTATGTCCAGGATTTTCTAGACCCGAAGAAGTTTCCCTTGACTTTCTTTTATTCAAATATCTAAATTGCAGGGATCTTTATTTTCTTTCGCGAACCTCTTCCGTTTTTTTCCAGCTTCTAGCAGACCAATCAATGGAGAAACCCAGTTTTGATAATCTTGCCACATTTGTTGTTGCTCTGGATTCTCCGATTGGTCTCACGGATAGCAAAGTGTATTTCTCCTAGATCTGTCACATGATATCGACATTTTTGGATAATTAGTGGCGGTTATACACTTTCAAAGTCAAATGATACCCCTTAAACAACAATGTACACAATTGAAACGCACATGTATCTATCATTTGCAGCTTGAGAGAGATGCTTTCGTGCAAGCCTTGTGCCAGTTTAGTTTGTTGACAGCAAATGCTGTTATAACAGAAATGAAAGCCAAGAACATCGACACGATCAAGACATTGATCACTGTTGCTTACACTGATGGGAATAATCTTGGACACTCGTGGTTTGAGGTAAGGATGTAATACCTAGGCATAATAGTTGCCAAATGCTTTTAAAGGCTTACACTAAAATTGTTGTTTTAAATAAATCCACCTCTCCTTGTAACCTTGAATTATGTAAGGCTGAATAAGGCCTCGGTACCGAAAGATTTCAAGATAGCACGGAAAAGCAAACAAGCGGACAAGAGAAATGTCAGACGAAAAACAATTTCTTATATTATGTTTCTGCTTTGGGTGCTTTCTGCAAATGTTAGGTTAATATTAAGTGACACACATACAATGAAAGAAAACATGTCTCTTGTTTTCAAATTTACCTAAACTAGCAAGATTCATAGTAGCACAATGTGGATCAGAAGTGCTAGAAAAGTATAAGCTGTTCCAAGTAATTGTTTGCAAGCATTGAGGATTTTGAAGAAGTGCTGTTCAAGTTTAACAAAACAAGAAGATACTTAAAAAAACCAGGCTATCAACTTTGCTGATATGGAAAACTCTCAATATTTTGAATATTGTATGTCAGTGATACGCATTCTCTATTGTTTATCCATTTTTGCAACTCTCAATTTCAACAACATTGGCTCCACAACCAGTGGTGGACGCTCGGGGAATTATTGGGAAGGGGGAGGAAGGCAAGGCAATTGATTTGATAAAATGACATCACATTTGTCCATTGTTTTCGAACAAAATACCATTGACTTCCAAAATATTGGAAGGAGTGCGACCGACCCCAGGTGTCCACCACTGTTCACAACCTTTGCGACGTCTAGCCACGGCAAAGTAGATACTGATATGGCGCAACTTTGACGTCACCCATTATTCTTAGCTGTTTTCATTTATGTCTATCGTCGCATTTCTATCGTAGTTATTTAGGTTATATGTATCCGAACCACCAAGGTCTTGAGTTCATCTTGTCTCTCACATGACAAAATGGTAATTTATCCTTGGGAAAATCTGAGTAAATTCTCAAAAAGTGATTGGAAATACAAATAATTGTTTTCCAACAGAGAAGATTCTCGTACATTTATTTTTCTTGAATCATGCTTTGTATATATGTTTCTACTTAATTCAAAATTGTGGTTTGTTTAAACTTAGATAGAATGGGAAAGCGTGATTTGAATTAAAACCATGCCATACCCTTCAGATCAGTTAAATGCTTCACAAATTTGCTGTTATGGCCACATGAGCGGAGGCGCTTTCCCATCAAATCACTGTAATTTCGTTTTTGTTCTAAAATCTTTAAGCCAGGCAAAAGAACAATAGTTCTGTTAGCAAACTAGAGGTCTTTCATTGGCCATATCTCAGCCGATTTGCAACAGATGAAAACAACTTTAAAGGGATTTTGAAATGTTATTTTAGGGAATGTGTTCAAAATATGAAATTGTTTATATTTTGAACCTGGCTTTTCCACTCTATGCATTTTTATGTATTGCTGTTTCAAAATGAGTTATATTTTCATGCAATGTATTCCCCATAGATTCTGCAGTGCATATCGCATTTGGAGCTGCTTCAACTGATTGGCACTGGAGTCAAAGCCCGAAACATTGGCTCAACTATGTCCCATCAGCATCCGAGTACAGGCTCGTCATATGGAATGCCAACGCAAGATCTTCATGGAGGTATGGTTGGTTGGCAGTGAAAGCTGACTGCTTCACCATATCGACATTGCACGTTTAAACAATCATATTCAACAATCAAGCTTTTTCATTGTATAAAAAAAGTTACCATAGCTTCTATGATAAAATCAAGTCGCTATGCCATCTACATATTTTAATGCTTCAGATTGTAGCTTGAAGCTAGCAGGTGTATAGCTCTAGACATGTAAAGGGAGAGCACTGGGTGTGTATGCTTGGAGAAATTTTCCAAAATTCACTCATTGTTACTTCAAGAGGATAAATATCCCTGTCGCTGTTGCTGTTTTTTGGAAGCTTCTACACTACTGATACGCGAATTGAGTGAATTTAGTTGATACCTTTAGTTGTTAGATTATCGTATCGTAAAAAACATCTTTATTATATCGGCTCAAGAAATGTGCTTTCGCAGTATTAATATCTTTCAACTAAATCAAAATCTATACTGTAATCACATTGGTTGTTATTCTGACTGTCACCAGTTCACTGACTAGGCCATGCTTTTTCAGGGGTCATTGATGCTAAAAGACTATCGAGCTTGCAAGAATCTGTCGGCGAAACATCTTCCCAAAGTATTGTTGTGGCGGTGGATAGGATATTTACTGGATCAGTACGTTTGGATGGAGAAGCAATAGGTAGGGTGTAGTGTTCCACAAATGCTATAGCAAGCCTGATTTCTGACCTGTGCAATGGTTGTCAGAAAAAGAAGACACACTATTTTTGTGGGAAACGTTCCCGCCTCTGACTTTATGGCTCGAGCCCCTATGGGAATTTTCAGAGGGGGCTCAGCCACCCCTTGCAACTTCTTAATGAAACAAAGGTTTTCGATTGATAGCAAGTGGTATCAAATTCCCTAATCTTTAAAAACAGTGATTCAAAAATATACTTTAACATTTCAAATTCTCTCTCACAAGAACCTGTTTCTTGTTGGTAGTCTTGAGATATATACTGCCTGTAAATTTTTTTGTCCTGATTATGGTTTAATGAAATTTGTGTGTCGCCTCTATGTCATGCTCGAAGGGATGGATTATTCCTTAGATTTGGAAGCATGATGTAATATATTTATTATACCTTCAAGTGAGTCAAGAATATTGATATTGCACTTTCATAAGATCGGTCCAGTCAAGTCATGATCAACATTTTGTAGGCTATATTCTTGATATGTATTTCATCTTGTTACCAAAGAATCTTGTGTTGGTATGAAAATCTCTTTAATATTTCTTTATGGTTTCCTCGTTTCTTTTCTTCTGATGAACTAAATTTTATTTCAGTTGACTTCGTTACTGCCCTTGCCGCTGTTTCAATGGATGAACTCTCCAACCCCTCATCTCCAAGGATGTTCAGTTTGCAAAAAATCGTCGAAATCGCGTACTATAACATGAATCGTATCCGATTGCAATGGTCGAGAATCTGGGCAGTGCTCGGAGAGTATTTCAACAAGGTGAGGCTAGCCTTTTTAGCTTATGGGACAGTTTCGGATTTGTTTATGACAATGTTAGTATGTAACCACATAATAGAGAAAGGGCAGAAGGAAACCTCTCCATGGCCCCTTTCTTTGATTTTCGACGCGAGTAAAGTCATTGTCGTTTGGTTAACCAGGGAAGAAGTACCAGACCATAAGAAACGATGTGATCTTTCTAAATTCCGCTGCATCAAATCGCAATTAACTAGCAGCGATCTGCGAGAAAAGGTTGCTTTTATTATCATCACAACAAGTTTGCCTTTAGTGAGCGTCTTCGCCGATGACAGACTTGGCTAGCCAGCACGAGTACATTCGCACATACGCTTGCAAAAATCTTCGAATTCTTATGATTGAAGTTACTCTTCTGTGTTTTTTTCTATTCTGTGCCTACACATTGTAAGAGTGGTTGTGCAAAACGCCATTAAAAAGCCAAAACCATTAGCTAAATAAAAGGATTATCAATCGTTGAATCTTATTCCGTTCTACAGAGATCGTAATTTGTTACAAATAACATTCAAATTTTTTATTTTAGGTCGGCAGTAATCCAAATGAGGAAGTCGCTTTTTTTTGTGTCGATTCATTGCGACAACTCTCAATGAAATTCTTAGAAAAAGGCGAATTGTCAAATTTCCACTTCCAAAAGGACTTCCTTCGACCTTTCGAATATATAATGAAGAAAAACGGGTAGGTACCTTCAGCTTATAATGCGTTTTTCCTTATATACTGATACTCAACAACAACGAGTTGCATTCTGTACCTTTTACTACCTGTGTACCTTTTACTACCTGTCTCTTTGTTACAACCCCTCTTCTGTCACCATAGGCTCAAAATCCACACTCCTCTCTCCCTGATTACCAATTCTTCTCACTACCCCTGGTTTTACCTGCAATTTTCCCATAATTTCAACACTTGCTCTTCTGCTAAATCAATTCTTCCATAATTTCAAGCTTTTTCTATTGCACCGTTTATCTCAACTTCTCTTTTGGTCCTGCTTAATCCTTTCTCTATCTCACGTTTTCCAGCTTCCATCCCTCTTTCGTCCCTCTATCCTTTCAAGGTTGTTCTGTTTACCTTAATTAATTAACGTTCCTTTGCCCCATTCTCATTTCCACTTTTACTTCTTACCTTTTATACCTTACCTTTGAACAAACATTTGAGTTAAACACAACGAGGGTAAGAAAATGTTTCTTTGGGTTCCATCTAAACGGACATTTTACGAACTATAACGGGTTGCTGAAACATTCATTAAGTTTATATTAAGTTTCCTGCTTCGCTTGCGCCTATTATTATTTGGATTTACTTTCATCAAACTTACAGTCGTATAATATTTTTCTCTAACACCGAAACATCAACTTTTCTAAACTTTAAAAGTTAGCGTATTTCTCTCCCTGTTGTTGTATTGTAACTTTCTTTACTAGGTCTTCAACGATCCGCGATATGGTTGTTCGATGCGTTGCACAAATGGTCAATTCTCAAGCCCGCAATATCAAATCCGGATGGAAAAACGTCTTCTCGGTTTTCCATTCTGCGGCATCGGACCTAGATGAAGGCATCGTAGATCTAGCTTTCCAAACGACCGGTAAGACAACATTTGTTATGTTGTTTACCACTTTTTGCTTTCCTTAAAGTTTTGGAAACTGACCAGATCTCTTTCCTAGTAAGATGTTAAATTTTGCCTCACCAAATAGTTGTGAGTATTGAAGCCTAGATCTTTGACGGTGCTTCAAAATTCTAAATGCTGGATCCTTATATCCTGTTTTCTTAAACTTTTAGATGTTAAGTTTCTTCTTATAAAGTAAACCTCAGGCTATCAGTATACATAAACGATAAAGCAATAGAACACCAGTCTTACTAAGTTCTCAATTATTTGCATTATTGAGCAGTACTTAATTATTTGCATTATTGAGCAGTACTCAATTATTTGCATTAGCTAACTAACCTTTTCAGCAGTATTGAGAAGCCAATTTTCTCCAACTTTACGGTATTGCAATTCCATTTTCATTTGCTCTCGAATCCAATAGCTCCTTCATTTTCTCTGTTTGAGATTTGATTTATCAGTAGGTACCAACAAAGCTCAGTTATTTTCTACTATGACAAATTTGCTTGATCTGACAATATCGTGCGTTACTGTCGCATTGCTTTCCTAGCGAGAACTGATCAGCCGCTAAGTAAATCATTCTATACAAAACGCCGTTTGATCGTGACGTCAGATGACTCATCTAGGACCAGACCTCTTGCAACTTGGAGGAACGCGTCCATCTTGCGTAAACAAGAAGTCTAGGTCGGGATTTACATCTCATTGAATATTGCAGGCCCCTGTTCATCTATTGTGCTAGTCCTGTACTTTGGTTATAAAAAACATAGAAAAGCATAAAACGCTGCCATTGTATTTTAAGGATGGGCATTGCTGATTTTTTATCAGATCATTGCGGATTAGCGATTCTCTTTTGCTTATCGTATTCTTCTCGATTTTAGATTGAAATTTCGTCTTTTGTTGTTGATGAACTTCCCATGTTTTTTCGTCTTTATAAAGATTTTATAGAACATGTGAGTAATTCTTCTAGTCCAAATAAACCCCAACATTGTCTAGTTGAAACCTCGTTAGGTGCAGTGCTTTTTATTTTTCGAATCAAATTTTAGCAATCATATTCGAGAAGCACTTCTCAGTGACTGTCGAGTCCTTCCAAGATGCCGTCAAGTGTTTATCCGAATTCTCGTGTAATGCTGCTTTTCCTGACACAAGTATGGAAGCCATCCGACTAATACGTCATTGTGGAAAACACGTGTATGAGAATCCCGTGGTATGTGTCTTCAAACTAGTTAGTGTGTTTACTTTTCCAGTTCATGTGGCAGGTACTTTTAAAATGAAGGAATTCCTAATGATGCGAGAAAATCTTTGGTGAACAAGAACCCATATCTCCATCCCTTACTTAGACAGAAGACATCATATATGGCCAAATTATTTTAAAATAATGGCAATTATCATTTCAAAATAAGGGCCATTCCAACACATGTGACACTGTAACTGTCATTGAGATAGTATCGTTTGCTGCATTTAGATCGTTTTTCGCCATGCCTGGTATCTGGTATCTGGTATTCAAAAGGACGCGATAAACCAACAACACTAGAATACGTCACGTTTTCTTGACATTCCTCTTTGGCCGTGTTTTTTATCATAAAAAGATATGACGCAAATTAGTACTTTGGAGCTTGAAAAAAATTTGTTGACAAAAAGATATGCAGGAAATAAATAAATACACTATTAGATTCAACGCTGCCAACACGATAATATGATATAATGAATAGATTTTATAACTTTTTATTTTCAATGTCAGTAAGTAGCACTCTACAACTGAATAGTATTTTTTCCAGCCCATTTGACCTACATCCTACTCTTTCTCTGTTGCGATATAACTTGCGTCAGTCATTGCTCTTAATTCTTTTGTGTAAATTGTTTAAAACAATTTTTTAATTTTTGTTTGGTGCAGGCTTCAATCTTAACCCTTTATTACGGATAGAGTGGCAAAATATTGTTTTGCATTTCCAAATCCAAGAGCCATGAATAATTTTTACTCTTGACAAATTCCATATATTTCTTGTAAACGTTTTCTCTAATCAACACCCTATTTACCAGACGTTCAGGAAAGATTTTGTTGAAGGTATTTAATTATAAAACAAGCATATATTTCTTTTTAAAGTTTTCTCTTATTAAAACCACTCTTAATAACCAGATGTTCAAGGAACATTTTGTCGAGGATGCTGGGATTAACGAAACGGACAGAATCTGGGTTCGTGGTTGGTTTCCGGTCATATTTGAGCTTTCCTGCATCATCAGTCGGTGTAAACTGGATGTTAGAACAAGGTATGATCGCAGTATATTGCGGTAAGATTTTTGGATACGTTAGTAATCTGCATTGAGAGGGGTAGGTTTAGAACCCCGAAGCTGATTTGTTTGTCAAGAAATACTGTCGCTTGTAATTTAGCACCTCTGTAAAAGTATAGGAAACATTCCAGCCCATTACAGAAAATTATAGTTCTTTTATGTAGGCTTTTTCTTTTGTCATGCTTCTCTGTTTGCAAGCGAAAGTACTCTTGCCTGTTTTGCTTTAAAATTACATCACATTTATTCTAAGAACCTCTAGCTAATCTGACCGAAACATTGTTTCAGCCAATTTTTTGTTTTAATAACGTTCTACCAAATTGTATCGAAACTGTATCACTAATTTTTTTAAGATTCTTTTAGTACGGTTTAGGGCTACGACGCTGCCAAAATATATTATCTTAAAATGCATACCTCATAGTTGCCCTGGACAAGTCCTTTTCAATTCGCATTTTTAATGAGTTAATTTCGCACAAGAAGGTACAGCTTCCTAAAAATTTTAGAAGAAGCCCCGCCAAATTCAATTTTACATTTCTACAATCGATTGATGGACTGTATGGCTAACATTATCTGGGAAGTATGGATAATTCTAATACAGGGTGAATTTGAAGTCAGAATCCCTAGGAGCCAAATTTCGTCACAACAACTTTGCCCAATATCATAATTTTAGCACGGATCTACTCAAAACACTGCAAGTGAAATAAAAGTTGTCTTGATTGGTAAAATCAAGTTCAAAAACTTAATTACCTAGATTTGAGGTTGAAAGCAATACATTTTGAAATACGTATCTCAGTGTGCAGATAAATATATTCTAAATGTTTAAGTCTTTGGGGAACTTATTACTGGAGAAGCCCTTACTTCGTACGCTTGATGCCTATATTTTTTAGCAATGGCTCCACTGTGACTAAGTCTTGTTATGAAAACTCGAGTTTCTAAGTCAATCAAAGCTTGTTGTTTTAGTTAACTAAATGCTTTATATAAAAGTAAGACCTGTTGTAATGCTATTCATCGTGCAGTATTAGTTTCAGATTTTCTAATTACTTTATTTATCAGTTCGCATTTATTCAACAGAGCCCTTACCGTGATGTTTGAAATCATGAAATCGTACGGCCACACTTTTCATAAACATTGGTGGAAGGAGATATTCAAAGTTGTTTTCAGAATATTCGATAGTATGAAGCTTCCAGATCAGCAAATCGATTGGATGGAGGTAGGAAGCAGTTATTATTGAATTAAAATGTTTCTTAAGAGGTTATTAGTAAGTGTAGAATACATTGTCTTAACATAACCCACCAGTTTTTTAAATCTCATTTAGAATCAATTCGAGAATATTTCCGGATATCATTAGATAAGTGGCTCTAAATTGAATGTTGTTTTGCTTTTTGGAAAATAAGGTCTTTTTCACCATTGGTTTTGATCTGTTAGTAATTTACTATTTCAATCCTTCAACAAACACTGTATTTTTCGCTTTCAAGAAAGCAGAATGGATGACGACCACATGTAACCATGCACTTTATGCCATTGTCGATGTATTCACCCAGTACTTTGACGAGCTGGCAGATGTTCTTTTGGCAGATATGTATCACCAACTGGTTTGGTGTGTTCAACAAGGTACGCTTGTTTGCAACTGCCGACTAGACCTCGCCATTCAGCTTATTTTCGCCAGTGGTTTTCGTAGTTGTTTAATATTTCATGAAATATTATATTATCATACTAATACTTTCAATTTTGGCGTTCTAAACGTGAATCATTGTGCACATATTTACCTTAAACTTAACAAATGCAACCCATCATTCTATAGGATCAACAGTGCATGATTTTAAAATACGAGTTTTCTTGCAGCATCGTATTGTTGAACTTATATGCTAAATTTGGGTTGCAGAAAATTATGAATTTTTTTTGCAATTTTCTAGCGTTTAATTTTCCTTTAAATAGCAAAATGTTTCAAGAGAAAAAATTCTTAGTTTTGTGCTCAATGTTATAAACAGACACATATATTTATTTCATTTATTAAATATTGTTTTTATATTGAAAACAGATGAAACTTAACGGAGTTTTATTCAGCTTTTTACTATGTGAGAATTTTTCTGTCTGCTATATTATTGATTTTCATTGTTGTTCATTTATAAAATCTGATTTAATCCCTAGATAATGAACAGCTAGCCCGGTCTGGAGTTAACTGCCTTGAAAATCTGGTAGTTTCAAACGGACAGCGTTTTAATATGGATATTTGGACAATGACGTGTGAATGTATAAGAAACATATTCGAAGCGTCGCTACCAAATAAACTGTTAACATGGCGACCCGAAGGTCATTCGGACGTAGCACAAACAGAGAACCAAGTCTCTTCCAAGGTTTGTGGTTTGTGTTTCTATTGTAAACATAATGCTTGTGATCTGTTGGGTTGGGAAATACAATAGACCCATGCAAACCAAAGCCTGCTTTATCGATAAAGGTCAGATTTTTCTACGGCTGTTTTAAAAGCGCTTACATATAGAAGTTTGAGGGTCAATTGTTGTTAAGGGTGTATTTTGATGATGAATTTTTTGTAATGCCTGGCAATGATGGTGTCTTCTCACGCTAAATAGTTCAGTGGGCCATGCCTAGATAAAGACCTTGTAATTTTTTTGACGAAAATAGTGCTCTTTAATCAAAAGAAGAGCCTTTAGATTCTTTTCTTTGCGAAGATTGACCGCGAGTAAACTACGGTAAAAGACATCACTGTTATATGTAACAAGAAGGACAATCTTTGTTTCAGCTTTATCGCGCCAAATCATACCGGGCCGTGAAATTTTATGACAAGGCGGGGTATATCAATGAATGTGGTGCATGGTCGGAAATGGGTTGAACTTCTTTTCAGAAGACATTTGAAATGCTTATAGGAAAGAAACGTATTGTTGTTTGATTTGTCTTACAAGAATCTTTGTTCTGAGACGTGATTTTCAGGCTAGTCTTTGTGTAGCAGCGCGATGGATCATGTTTCTTGAATCACGAGACGCGTAACGCGGCGGGCATGGGCAATCGTACCCCCAAAAAAGCCAGGCCTGCCCAATTCAGTTTGTATTGAAGATGCAAAGGGAACTAAATTGATTTGATGTTTTATGTACTTTTTGTTCTGGTTGCAGGACAGTCTATCAGAATCTACGGAAAATCGGACAGGGCATCAACGGGCCAATAATTGTAAGTTTGCCACACATTGACTCTGAAACTTGCTGTAAAAATCACCGTTTGTCTAACTTAGAGTTTTGGTTCCGTTGCATTTTGCAGTGCAATGCTAAAAAGTCTTTCTTTAAGCTTCTCTGAACGTTCCTTAACATGCTTGTGAGATTTGATAAAACATTTTCTAATTTGGGACCCTCAATCAACAGCATTTTCTGTATTTTAGCAAAAGTTGACGTGGATGCATATGACGTCAACGAAGGGGATGACATCAGCGTTCACAGTCTGCCAATGACACCAGTAATGCCGATGACGCGTGCTGAGTCGAGAGAAAGCCTCCATTCGATCACTAGACAAAGTAAGAATCCTTTTTGAGAAAGAGTAAGATCCCCTTCGTAGTTTATCATGTTTAGGCTATCCTCAATAACCTGAATACGTTTGAATACGTTTTATTTTCGTTTGAAAGTTCAATTCTTGAAAGTTGACTGTCTTTAGGAGTTGTAAATTTCTGACATCAAGAATTCGATATGTTTGCATATATAATTTCTATGTGCTATTATGCGTCCTTCTTGATCTTCTTCACCAGAAATCACTCAAGATCGCACGCTTTTCAACTCCTTGCTTATAAAATGCGTAGTGCAGCTCGAGCTTGTTAACACGATTGATAACATCATATTCTTCCCGGCAACCAGCAAAAAGGAAGATGCTGAAAATATGGCAGCTGCCCAGGTTAGTATTCAACTAATAATGTCACAATGCTTGCCAAAATCACCCAGCCAGGAAACCAACCAGAATTAGTCTTCTTCTCGTATTTTCGTTTCTTTTCAAGTATACTACAACATCCGCCTCCCTTCCCACAAAGCAATGTTGATGATCTTTGCGAATATCATACAACTCATATATAAAAGCATCCAACTTTCTTATACCATATGTCATTTTCAGTAAATCAACATAAGATCAAGGGGGGGGGGGGCATGGCAGAATTTGACGTTGTAAACTTGCAATTTTATTCCAAGGCTTTTTGCAGGGTTTGCCGCTGAAAGAAACATGGTAGTCCATGAAACAGAATGACTGCTGTCCCTATGTTTCCATAGACTTACTTTTCGAGCCTCTGTTTGCTACTGCCTCACTTTACTGCCTCACTCGGTTGTAGCGCCCTTAAAATTGGGCATTAGCGAAACAGAGGCTAATGAGTAAGTCAAGAGTTTCCCTTTTTTTTAGGCCTCTGTTCCATACTCATTCCAGCAAGTTTAGTTTCGCATGCATTAAATAACATGTGACGACCTTCGTTGATATAGCTTTTGTTAAAGAGATGCCATCATAAATTTGGGAGTAACTTTAGAATTGTTATATCAAATCAAGAATAAAGGGCTATCGATGATAACATAATGTTAAACCAACAGCTGTTAATTCTGCTGAATAGCGAAAAGTTGACAATCTCTGTGTCTAAACACCACCTTGTTATGCTAGCTAAAGCTCTAAACCAGTGGACCATCAATTGGCAGTTCTCATTGTAAATACTCGTTATTCATTATTTGCCATTCAAAAATCTAAAATTATTTAATTTGTAAACAGAAAATTATAAACACTCCTACAAAGGATGATGAGACCGAATCAGTTGCACAGGTTGGTATTCATACTGTTAAATTAAGTAAAGGTTGGTTAAACAGTAATTGATATATCGATTATCATCACTACCACAATTATCATCAATCTTCATCTTTTTTGTCTTCATTGTTGTTATTGATTAACTATCATGGGCTGGTTTATATTTAGTTGATTTTTTGTCATAAATTGGAACAGAAATCCTTTTGTCTCTTTTTTTTCTCAAAATTTTGCAATAAAGCATCGTCTAACTAAACGTCCGATAACTATGTTAAATTTTTGACCAATTTCAAAATTCATTATCAAGCAGTTCTTGTGTTCTTTTTCCTAAGATTTAGTGCGATGCACATTAAGTCAGCATGGCGCTTTGACATCAATCTGGAATTCCATTGTTACTTTATGATTAGTCATTAGTGAAACGAATCGAAACGAACGATCTATGCCCAATAAGTCATCTGTCCCAAGCTTGCTAACTCTTACTTACCATGTCGTCTTTATTATTAGCAAGACGTAGCAATCCCCTTAAGTTTTAAAATCAAATTCAATTTTCTCAATTCAAGCACTTCCATTTTTGTTATTTGGTATTCGATACTGTTTCGTAGAATGTTAACCGTTTTTTCTTGAATATATTTCCTTCGGTAATAAGTACTTTTGATCTCATGCCAATCTTTTTCAGGTTTAAAATGCTGAACTATTTATGTTAAACAGAATTAATTGTTAATGTTTTTTTTGTTTTCTTTATCCGAGAAATTTTCATTTATTTACACCAAAAACGGACATCTTTAACAAAGAAGAATTAAAATTACCGCCGAGCTGTAACCGCTTGTAGGCCGAGCTTTAAGCGGTTTGATGTAAAGAACTGGGCAGTTATAACTAAGCAATTTAGAGCTGCCTGGTTCTGTACACCAACGCGTTTAATAAGAAAGATAAAGGCGATGTTTTGTGCAATATTAGCACCTATCTTCGAATTCCTTTTGGAAGCCAAAGCTTGCCAGGTCAAAAATTATGACTGGAAGCTCGATATTTCACAGTTAGTGTTTACACTCCCTTTTATATTTATGTTGACAACATTCCTTGTTTTAAAGGCTGTTGGATTTTGCAAAGCTTCATTCCAGATAACAGTTGCCCTGTTTTCACACCTACTACTTGCATACTTCATCTTGTGTTGTAAACATCGCTTAACTTAAGAAGCTTATTGTAACATCGATATTTTTATAGCCTTCTCTTCCTCGCAGGACCCGCAGGCAGCTCACGTGACGTCACTCATAGACACTGGCATGTTTGCACATTTGACTTCGTCTCAGTTGCTTTCGTTTGCCGATATTCTAATGGAGTCGCATAAATTCGCCAGCAATTTCAATAAAAATCATGACCAGCGGACACTGTTGTGGAAAGCAGGTAATGATACAATGTCTTATTCACACGCTTAGTTGTAACCATGAAATCTTCTTTGAATGACAGATTCAGGAAAGGCCAGTAGTTCAACGGACAGCCAGTTTTACCCACAATCCCATTTTGGCTTAACCGTAAACAACAGACCGCTTCGATACAACAGAAAGGGCTACTTAGGTGTTCTTTAAAGAGGAATCTTATAAGAGTCACTAACGCAACTTGCGTATCAAAATATTCCAATTGAGTTGGTCGAGTGAAGCGCCATTTTCTAAGGTCTCATTCACATATACAGATATTTTATATATAATCCACAAACTTTCTTTTGCGGATTTAAAAACTTCGTGCGTCCACACGCATCCAATGTAAACCGAATTCAACCATATACGCGCCTTTGCGTTCACCATGGTTTTTACAGCTCCACCAAGTATGCGCGGCAGTATTCGTTCATCGTATTAAGAAAAATCCACATTTGAGCGTTCACACGTTATTGGGCCTGCAAAGGAAAATTTAGGGATACAACAGTGTAATGACATTTACAACGGCCTCAACTGTTATTTGTTTATATCAAAGTGCACGAGTAAATTTCGTTCCAACGTTTCAATTACTCGTTCCAACGTATTCATATACCCAAGTTTCTGCCTCATACAATTATAAGCGAAAAGTAGTCCACAGAAAGTAGAAAAATGCAATAATACCATTCTTTATAGATTGAATAATCATGTGATGATCCAATCTCGTTAGTGTCTCTTATAGTTAATTTTGCATATAGCTTTATTGATAAAATATTGAACGTTAGCTTTCCTTCTTGTAGGTTTTATAAAAGGAAAATCAAGACCAAATTTACTGAAACAAGAGACTTGTAGTTTAGCTTGCGTTTATCGGATATTATTTGGGATTTATAATGATAATTCACGCAGTGAATCACACGCGGACATAGATGCACGGTTGCAAAGGTACGTTGCATTTTCTTGACGGAGATTTTGTAGTGTATTCTCTACGTTGGTACGCCTATGTGAGAAACTGATTTCTGGCACGTGACATTTACCAGGTATCTGAAACGAATCTGATTTGTCAAAATCTTTCTTTAATGGACATCAGCGTCTTCGGTTGCTAAGATAGTAGAGATTGAGTAATGCTAAGCAGATACTCATAGAGTTTGCATCTTTAATTCTTAATATCTTTCTATAATTCTGTATATCTTTCTATATCTTTAATTGATATAACAGTATCGGGACCTCTCTCAATCTGGACGTCTTTCAGCACAGCAGTTTCTTTGTTTTTGACTCGTGGGCATTTTCGGCATGCCGTTTGTTAGTTAAAAAATGCCCAAAAACACAGATTTGTAATCAGAGCAACATTGAAATGCACAGGAATGTTATTTAATCACGTCCCTTCTTTTCTCAGTACACTCTTTTACAAGAAGCAAATAATTTTTTCTGATGTTCTTATCTTTAGAAACATTTTTTGCTCGGGTGTTCTTAATTTTAACTCTGTTTCAACATTGGTACATTTACAAGTACATTCTTCTACTACATTCTGTAAGCTACTACTAATTTGTTTTTAAGGCCGCTGAAACACAGCTTTGCATGGCGTTTTTAGTAGCGCATAAAATTAATTTGTTTTGTTAACATGAGAGAAACAAAATTCCTGTTAAAAAATTTCTGCTTATTTTCCAACTGAAACTGAGCATGTTCTCACATTGTTCTTAGGTTACCAGGAAATCGAGCCTAGGTGTTTTTATTTTGTAAAGTGTTCTTTTAAGACACATGAATACCACTTTGATCACTTCCTTTGAAAATTTTTAAAACTGTTAATGATCTGAATTCATATTTCATGAAGGATATTTTTCAAATTAGAACCTTTAATTGCTCATCGCAAAATCCTAATAATCTTACTCATTATAGGCCAAATCATATTACCTTCGGCACAAACAGTCTGAAGTTTTTAGGACCACAAATTTGGAACTGCTTACCAGAGGAACTAAAATCGTCGAAAAATCTTAATACTTTAAAGAGCTTGATAACTCAATGGGATGGTTCCACGTGCCACTGCAATGCTTCTCGTTTTAATGTAGATATTGTATAAACTACAAAAAATTGTTAACTTTTCTGTTTGATTTTGATTGATTATATATCCGTCTGTTTTGATTACTTTTCTTGTAAATTTTAATTGTATTTTGAAGACAAGTGTATTTGATTAATCGATGAAAAATTAATCTACTTTTGCTAGTTTAAGGTCTTTATTCTCCATCGTCACCAATTTTTTCTTCAAGAAATCTAATATTTATTCTTTTATTTCAGTGTTGCAGAAGAAACTCTTGTGTATTATACTTCGTTGGAATCAACTAAACATCGCGATGCTTGGACCTCGTTAGTGTTACTAGTTTTAACAAAGCTGCTCAAATTAGATGACAAGAGGGTAAAGTTTTCTCTTCACTTTAAAGATATTTCTTTTCTTGGGATATTCATTTTCCATCATGCTTAGTGTTGAAAACAGGAATGGCCAAACAGCCAAATTTTTGGATTTTTTGGGCAAGTTAGTACCAGGGAGCGGCTTATGGGGTTTTTGCACTAATCCAAACACCGAGCGGCTCTAGGCTATCAAATAAAACTTACCAAATGAATTATATAGCAATATTCCGACTTGGTTTTATTTTGTTCAGCTCTTCTAATGAAACAGACAAGTTCTACATATCAAAAGTGTTGCTGTCTATTGCTGCCGACCCTTTTACATTGCTACAAAATTTTGTGCTCCCTCTTCCATCAAAATTTATTCTTGATATTTTCTGTTTTAGTTCAAGGACCACGTACCGATTTTCTATCCATTCATGTGTGAGATGATAACTTTTGATGTAAAGATGGAACTGCGCTCAATTCTTTATAAACTTTTTACACGAATTAGACCAATATTTGGAATAGTAAATCAATCAGAGAAGGATAGCTAATTGGTTTTAATTACTGTGAAACAGTCAGTTACGTAGTAGTAACATAGATTTAAATGAATCTGCAAATTGTTTAATTGTTTATTAAGCTGTGCGTTATTGGACATTAGAACAATTGAACCCCCTAGTAGCATATTTTTTTTAATAGGGGTGAATATTTTTCTCAAGGTTTACGAGAGGGCACAGTTCATCACCAGGGGATTCTAATTATAAGGCACTGTTGGTGAAATAGCAAGTTTAGAGAATTTAGATTAGATGAATCAGAACGTCTTTGAATGCTTACCTCTAAAATTCTTACGTAATTTTATAATTCCTCCATTCATTTTACATATTTAAATGCTAGGATTGAAAAATTCCAACATTATGAAGATATGCCGGCTTATTTTAATCCCCTTAACCATGTCAAAATGGCAACAATTGCTGTTATGGTACTTATTTTTGCGACGTTCTGTTACAATTCCCATTAATAATAAATTGTTTTTAAACTTTGGCTATGTTGTTGAATGCCCTCATGTTGCTGCAAGAAACCTAGCTTTATTGCTTTGCAAAGAATTTCTCGAAATCTCCAGAAATCTCACAGGGTTTAAAGGGGAACTGAAGTGAAAAATGAAAATCATTTAATTAGTAGTTTTCATCGTGCTGATTTCGAATATCGACACGAAATTAGTGTTTTACTTTTCGTTTTCCTGCATTTAACGCGCAAAGTGTGAAATTTCTCCATTTCCGTGGCGGAGAGGTCTGGAGACAAGTTTCAGGCGCTGACGTAAAGTCGTGGACACGTGCCCCGAACCTAACGAAAACAACAGTGTAGTAGAGTGAATCGGAGGGAGGGAATTTGGTTAGTAGGTAAAATTTCAGATCGCAATTTTCACGACAGCTCTTCAGGAATGACAACAGACTTAAGATCGAGCGACGATGAAGTGTTTGGAGCATGTGGTGGTGAAGTACTTGCCCTACCAAGGGCGAACGGGACCTGCGAAAGTGGCGATGAAGATTAGCCTAGGCCCGATGAGATCCCAGAGGATGAGGATGAATTATCTCCCGCGACGTGCTCGTTTTGTTGGTAGAAATGAGGAAGTAAATAAATGGTACGTCGATCCTTGTTTTTTTTCTTGCAATGAAGGCAAGAAATACTCAAACTCAATTTCCTTATTTCCTTATAAAAAGTAAGATACAACAGAGAATGAGTAGGCTTCCTATTATAATCTTTCCATTTCTAAAATCTGAAATAATAAGGATTATTACATGTTACAATTTAATAAATATTTGCTTTGATATAAAAACGTTTATACATAGTTTGATGTGTAGCACGGAACAGGTCGACCTAATCCACTTTTGGTTTAAAAGCTGGTTTGTTTTGTGTACATTGACAAGTATTATTAAATCTTCCTGCAATTCAGATTTTTGGACTGATAATTCGAAAATGTCAAATATTTAATAGAATTGCATAAATATGCCTAAAATAGAATAATACCTAAAATTATATCCACTTTGCTAGGTATCTACAAACAGTGGCCGATCAATGTATGGTTTGCTGGTTTTTGGGTATTTGTGCTGGAATAACTGGACAACTTTAAGTATGCATTTATCACAAATGTAAAGAAAAGAACTTTAGTCAAAGAAGACAAGAGTTTCAAAATTCTGCAGAGAGACAATGAAAATGCAAAAATCAGCTACCTACTACATATACAGTGGAGAACATGGTTATATACACGGGGTTATTCAAAAGGATCAGACTTTTAGTTCATAATAGCAAGAAGAGAAATTTGTTGAAACTAGTGGGACAATGGCCAAATCTTGTCAGCCCTAGGCCAAATCACTAGATTAGTCACATCAAGGGGGGGGGGATTGAGCAAGGCTTGATATTTTTAAGATTCCTAAGGTGTACTTTTCAACATAGTTCACTCACATCAAAATGTGTAGAATAGTTTGGATTTGATCAAGATTTTCTCTTACAATAATGGTCCTGTACCACCTTCTTGGTAACATTTTTTATAAATAATCAGAGGAAAATGTTTTACCTTCAGGGTACAATGTTCTGTTAATGTATTCTGTCACTGCCTGTTGTTTAGATACACTGTTTTTAAATTTTGAGAATGAAGTTTTTTTGTGCCCAATGGTTGTATTTTTCTGAAATTCGCTTCAACTCAACATTTAATAAACTTGGAAACATATACATCATTTAATGGTTGTGCTTTAAATCCTCCCCCTTTATGTACATCCTGGTATGAATTGTTTTTTATGCCTGGAGTTAAATCAGAAAGTGCTTTGATATCATATTCTGTAGACAAAGCATGAGAAATCATGTTTGAAGGGGTATTTCTGAAGTGGGGGACCACTTTTATCATTTTCTGCAAGTAAATTGTGTTTGGTTTGCCAAGTTTCATGGCTGTATAGTTAACATACTAACGTATTCTGAGTACTGGGCACAAGTATCAAGTCTAAAAATAGTACAAGGGTAGTTCTGAGGATGGGGACCATTTTATCTTTTTCAGCAAGTCAAATTGTGTAGATTTCCCAAGTTTCATGGCTGTATGGTTAACAGAAATATATTTACCATACTATTGTATTCTGAGTACTGGGCACAAGTACCCCAGTCCAAAAATAGCAAGAGGGGCATTTCTGAGGGTGGGGACCATTCTTATCATTTTCAGAAGCCAAATTGTGTCGGTTTGCCAAGTTTCGTGGCTGTATAGTTAACAGAAATAGATTGACCATACTGACGTATTTTGAGTACTGGGCACAAGTACCCCAGTCAAAAATTGCACAAGGGACATTTTTGAGGGTGGGGACCATTCTTATCATTTTCAGCAAGTCAAATTGTGTCGGTTTGCCAAGTTTCATGGCTGTATAGTTCACAGAAATAGATTGACCATGCCAACATATTCTGAGTACTGGGCACAAGTACCCCAGGCTAAAAATAGCACAAGGGTTTTTTTCCCGAAATGGGTCTATATTCTATCTTGTTACGCATATCGAATTCTGTATTTTCACCAAGTTTCATGCTTTTATCACAATTTTCACGATTGTTACCTGTCATGAACCTTATCAAACTCACTACTACATTTCATCAAAACATATCTTCGTGTCCACCACTTTACGTCACAAGGTCACGTGACACAGTGGTCTGACCGCGTTCTCGCTCCGCCATCGATGAGGGCAAATTTCGACTTTAAAAACTTAATAACTTAAAAACTACATAACGTATTTAAAAAATTCAAACGGCTTTTGAATCAGCACGGGAACCTTTATCAGTGGTAAAAAAATCGTTTTTCACTTCAGTTCCCCTTTAAGCGCTTGATAGAGAACCGATAACGTGTGCCACAGAAAGTTAAAATCATAAATCATGTGATCACTTGAAAGATCCTGTCTCCAACATTCCTTCAATTAAAAAGTGATTTTGATTGGATAACACGAGTGGGCCAATCAATGACGGCCAATCGAATTTCAAGTTGTTTATGTGGCCCTTGTGCACGACCTCCAACATGTAGTAAATTCCTGCAAAGGAGAACCGTTTAGATTAAGCACCACATGGTGTCTTTCTTTGATAAAACAATTTTTACTAAGCACCAGATATTTTTAAACCTTTTCTGGTCTTATAAATAATGAGGTTTTTGTTTTAACAGGCACTGCCCCTGAACCTGGGGCGGACACTTGGTCAAAGATTTGGGGCAACTCTGTTGTTTGATAAGATGACATCTAATTTTCCCATTGTTTTAGAGCAAAAGACCACTGCCCTCCAAAATATTAGGGGCAACCGCCCCCTCGCCCCCAGGTATCCACCACTCCCCTGAATCGCCTATTTAATACCTAAACACCTTTAGAATGTAATCCTAATGTATGAACCCTACGATCTCCAGAAGCATCCTAAAGCGATACCCAAGAACAAATTGAAGCGTGAAGAAATATATTTTCCTTTGCAGGGATTTACTGTATTTAGCTATGTTAAAGAAAAGAAACAATTTCTTCAATTTATTTATTAAAAAGAAACAATTTCTACTCTCTTCAGTTATTAAGTAGGCTGTCGATTGCTGGCAGAAAATGGCACAGTAATTTTGCATATCAGCAGCAATTTAAAAGATTAAGAAGCCTGAACTTAACAGAAGCCTGAAACACAAAAATGTCATTCCGTGAATCCCAATTGTAATCCCAACTTAATTACGCTGCCAAAAATTTACACATTTTAGGGGTCGATGACACAGTGATAATAGCAAGACAGGGGTAGCCTTTAGCCTTCATTTTTAGGTGATTTTTTAATAGAAGAGTTATTCAGTTAGTAATGGTGAGTTTATTATAAACGTTATTTTGCACAATAAAAATGCATTGATAATGTCAAGTTAATAATTTGTCCATGGTGAATTGGGTTATCTTGACGCGTAGACGTCTATTGAACAGTAACTAGAGTTGGTGTTGAAGGAACTACATTAAACTCCCGATAACTGGAACCTCCAAGGGACCAATGAATTGGCTCCACAGGGCCCGCGGCACAGGGGGGCGGGGTGGCCATGGCCCCCATTTTTTGCGAAGCAAGTAGTTTTAAAGCTGCAGTAAAAGGAGTAAAAAAGCTATGTCCCCCTACTTTTTCTAGCCTTTGCCCTCCCTCCCCCCTCCACTTTCAGATTCGGGGCGCGGGCCCTGCTCGAGATAGCGAAGTTCGAGTTATCGGTTGCATAGTTAATGGTTGCATTGGGTAAGGGGAATGCAATACCAGTTCGACTTAGCGAATGTTCGAGTTATCGGGGGTTTGAGGTATGAGGTGTTTACTTGAGTCTTAATAAGAAGAACGCTTTGTGTACTTAAGTCTCAAATTGCACATGTAATTATTGGTGTCATGATTCTAGGGCCAATTTTATAAAACAACTCACTGAGGACTGGTTGCAATTCGCTGCTCATAAGGAGGCCGTAGGTCTCCACACTCTGTCCAGTTCAGGCAAATCTTATTCGTGAACGTGTTTCAATCCGATAATTATTGAGAAATTGTTGGCAACTTCATTCACCTTCTGCATTGTCAGTTTTTGACCCTCAATGATAGAATCTGTTACTAAAGAAGAACGAAAGAATTAACTTGAAAAGGACGATTTCTCTTTTTGTCCAAATTAATCAAACTTTTGTTGTTTTTCACTTGATGCGTGAATAAAAAGGGTTGTTTTCGCAAACAAAAGATCTTCATCTTAGAAAATGTTACTCTGTGAAAATAGCTAAAAAAGCGCTCATCTCGATTTACAATCAGTGTTATGCTAGCACACAAAGTTCAACACAAACATCCCACTGTAAAAACTGAAAAAAATTCTAATTCGCGGGTGATTGGGCTTAAATTTTGCACCTTGAAGTGGAGCTCAAGATGTTCTTAGGTTTAAGCTTGTGTTCTTGTTTAAATCAATTATGGATCGAAAGAGACCAGCCAACTCGTATCGGTGGTGTAAAAAAGCATCTGTTTTGAGTGTAAGCATTCTCCTAGGAATTATACCATTGTACACAGAAATTA